ATTTATTTAGTTGAGTTTTTTTTCAAAATTAAAGATTAAAAAAAGATAAAGAGAAAAACAAAATCAAGAGTTCGAGAGATATATATAAGTATGAAAACTTTTCTTTAGATGTATCGATTCATTTGCTCCTGTAACATGTTATCTTTGGTATAAAAGAGGTCTTGAAGAAAAAGACGCAGGAAATAAGAGGTGGGCATTGGTCGACAGGCTTATACTCGCGTCTCTCGAACGACAAGGGGGTGATATATTACCGCGAACTATACCCCCTCCTATACCCTTCATCCATATGTGCCTTTTGCCTGTGTGAGGCCTTCGCCGCCACTTCAAACTACCCTTGCCGCACGAGGAGGCTTTATTCGAAGGAAGATCCATCTCCATAATAACCCCACGCCTCTGGCCTTCCCACATGCTCCATCTGCATTGTATATATATGTGCCTTTCTCTAAAACTTCACGTATTTCTTCCTATATACATATATACAGCACATGTATGCAAATCTTTACTGTTTACGCTTTTTTTAACTTTGAAGAAAACTTCTAATTCTTTGATTTTCACTTTTGAAGTTTTAAAAGTATTTGTAATGATACACTCTATATCTTAGATTAAGATATTTGCGTCTTCATAAGATGTTTTGGAAATAAGACACTTGTGAATCGTATTAAGATACCCGTGTAGAAATTGAAACATGGTGCAGATCAGGACCAGATTAGGCGAAATATGGCCCTAGTGAGGGAAATGATCAAATGAAACACCTTACCTGAACTGGGCCTGACAATACATTTTGAAATTAAGGGCCAAATAGGGTTATCAAAGGGGCCACAGATGTCATTTTTATGTTGAATTAATTCAGTTAATAACCTCTTTCCTGTCAATAACATCATTAAAAAAAGACACGTTTGCATGTATTTTCTAGCTCAGCAATTAATAAAGTGCCGTTCGTCCTAAAATTATTTGAGATTTTACAAACTAAGTGAACAAAAATTATATAAATTATGATGTATTGATAGTAAGTAAAACATTTTGTTTAAATTACAAAAAAATAGTTTGGCTTGACAGTATTGAAAAAACTACAAATGTTTCTTCCTGCTCAACAATAACATTTTAATCATATAAAGATAATTAAATCACAAATTATAATTAATAATTGAAATTTTAGTGATTCCTTAGACTGAAAAATATAAATTTTATATAAAGAAATGTTTGTTTACTTTAATTTCTAATTGGTAAAGTTTTAAATCAGTGCTTTTATTATATATCTGGTTCATGAATAAAAATATTAAAATAATAATTATTATTTATAATTTATAATCAATACAATTAAATTTTGTAATAATTTTGTTTATATAAATTATTTTTACTATTAATTATTGAAAATCGAAATAAAATACTGAAATGAACAAAATTGTTAATCCTTTCATTTTAGTTATAGTAAATTTTTATTTTTTCAAACAAAATGAGATTATAGAGGATGCAATATATCTTTTGCATTGTTAAACGCAATTGCGAAGAGACCTATAGAACGCTGTCATCGCTCAAGTTAAATTTTTTCATCAGTACATCTGGAATAATTAAAAAAATTCGAAATTTCAATAAATAAATATCATCGATTAAATTTTAATAAAATAAAATTTTATATGTTTATATAATTACTTATTAGAATTATTTTTTTAATGATAAGAAAATTAAAAAGTTTCAACAATTTGTAATTTAAAAAATGTTAAATACTTAAGCAATATTAATTTCATGAATATAATGCAAATTTAAAGCTTTTTGAAATATTTTATTTAAAAATTAAATAATTTTGTTTCGTTTAAAAATAACTTTTTGCAAAATTTCAAAAGGTATCATTAACTTAAAGAGAAATAATTTCAAGAAACATGTTTTAAAAAATAAATAATTTTTTCCAGTCATAGAAATGGGCCGCATAGATAATTTTGGTGTAATTTAACTTTGCAACATGATATTCAGATAAAGAAAAATTATAGAATAAGTTTCTAAAATTAATTGTTAGAAAATCTTAATTAAAAATATTTACTTACTTTCTTTAGTGTTTTGCATTAAATTTTTAAGTCCTTTTATAAATCGATATCTCCTCACTCTTTTTGTACTTTTTTCCTTTGCCATTTTATTGTAACACTTCTTTATTTTAAACATTCAGGAAAGACATTCACTGACAATCTGACATTTATTTTTATTACTTGAATGTGGTCATTAAAAAAAGAAATACCAAAGACTTCATTTATTACTTTTTTTAAAAATGATTTTTGTAGTCTAGGGCCCTATCAGGTCCCGGTAATTCCCCGATCAGGCTATAATGAGGCAAACCTTATCAGGGCCAGATATAGCAAATAGGATATAACTAGATCAATTTCTACACGGGTATATACGTCATAAATGTAAGTTACTAAAATATGAAGTACTTTGGCAGTACTATTAACATCTTGATACAAGACATTTCAAATATAACTAAAAAATGACTACCAAAATATCTTCAATATAACTACCAAAACATCTTAAATATGAGATATACTTCTTTTTGCAGTGCATCTCTGGAAATTTTTGCTTTAGGAATAGAAAAATTACTTCTGAAAGTAAAATTTACTTTGGAGATTGTATTTTTTACTATTTCCAGAGCAAAAATTGACAGAAATTTTTCTCTTTATAGTCTTTTGTTTTTGGGTTTTAAAGGGCAATGTTTAAGCTTTCATTTCGTCCTATGCAGACACTTATTTTTGTATTTTAAATCCTGTCTCATATTAGTCATTAATATCATTATAGACATATAACCTTAGGAGGTCTTGTGTATATAACTGCGGTATATACAGTGTACAGAAAACCCTTTCAAATTTTCTATATGTGTGTATAAGAACCGTGCCTCCGGCTTTAAAAAGGGTGGTGGTCGATGCTTATAATTGAATACTTGGATAGGATACGATTGATGTTTCATGTCGGTAGCAATAGCGAACCGCAGTTCCACTGATGCTTTTATTCTTTAGAATGCTATATAATCGTCATATTACCGAATCTTTTACGGTCAATTGCCATTATTCAATAAATAATCTATACTGATTAGAAATTTGAGAAATTTCAAAATATATAGTTTTTACATCAAAAAAAGAATACAATCAAAAATATTTTCGAGAACTATAGTCGAAAGTTTTCAGGACAAATATTATACACCCAGACTGCAAAATATATCTGAACAGCAAATAATACCCGCACAGCTATATATATATAGGAGAAGAAAAATAGACAAAAAAAAAAAGAAACTTTTCCCCCGTTCGTTGGATGCTGCGGTCCAAGGGTCAAAAGAACGTCCGAGGAAGGACGCAGGACCAAGAGAGCAAGCTTTCAGGACATGGAACCCTAGAGTAGAGTCATAGCAAAGATATATAGGTAGTTGGGGGGTACACCTAGAAAGATATAGATAGAGAAAATGGTAGCCAATGGCGTTGGCTCAGCGTCGTTCAGCTACAGTATTGAACGTCTCCTACGTGGGGTCCAGATATCTCTCGCTGGCTCGTTTTCTCCATCTCTCTCATTCTCTCCTTTTTACCCCTCCAGTAAACCTGCACTTGGCGTATCCTGATCCACCTCATCCTATGCTTTTTCCTCTCCTCTCTCTCTCTCTCTCTCTCTCTCTCTCTCTCTCTCTCTCTCTCTCTCTCTCTCTCTCTCTCTCTCTCTCTCTCTCTCTCTCTCTCTCTCTCTCTCTCTCTCTCTCTCTCTCTCTCTCTCTCTCTCTCTCTCTCTCTCTCTCTCTCTCTCTCTCTCTCCTTCTCTCTTTCGTGACCCGGCAATGTCCTCCCTCCTCAGGGTGGAGACCAACTTCTTTTCACCCTCTCAAACCCCTGCAATTCCCCTCTGACTCTTTCTCGCTCTTGACATCTGTAGATAAGGGTGGAGGGAGGTATTCTCTGATCCTCAGACCTCTCTCCATCCGATGAAAAAAAAAGTGAGGAAGAGAGAATAAAAAGAAATACAAGAGACGGAGAATTTGATTGATGCTTTATTAGCTGAGTTACAGGTGAATTTAGTATAGTATCCTTGTGGAAAAAAATTTGTTGGGTTTGATGGTTTATGCTTGATGGTCAGAATTTCGTCATGATTGATGGTCGAGTGTGTTACTTGTTTAGGAATTGAGTTATTGTTGCATTTGTTTGTTTAACATCAATTTATTAGACAGTGTGAAGATACTACAATGTGAATTTATTGCAGGTAGTTAACTTCAATGTATATATTTTAAAAAAGTTTAATTTCAGTATAGCAAAAAAAAAAAAAAATTGCAAGTGAATATATATACATATATTTATCAAACATAAATAATTTAATTACTAGGTAAAATTTCTTCAATCATTTGATCATCAATTCATTACATTTTATGCTGCTTTGGCATTTTTTAGAAAATTTAAAAAAAAAATTAGTTATTTACTTCTTCTTTAAATTTATGTTCAATTTAATTAACTTATCAATTTTAATTATGGACGAATTTTATGAATAACTAATTATTTCATTTATTTTGTGATTTTAGTTGGCAACATTCTTTGAATAACATTCAAGCACTAAATATAACAGGATTTTTTCAACAACTTTCAATTATCTGGAAATCCAATGATTCCTCGTTTAATTCCATAGACTGCTGTGATTCCATTTCATACCATTCCATTGGGAAAAGACCATAGAGGAGAATCTCGCTAAACTCTCCACTGGAATTTCATTCTCAAATTAGTGGAACACCACTCGTCCACTACATTCATTGGTATTTTTACTCAATAAACTAAAATGGTTGACTCTTTATTTGCTTTTTTTAAAAAAAAGTCTCTGGAAAAGTTAAATTTAAAATTTCCATATATATATATAAAATTTTTATTTAATTAAAGCTCTAATTAAATAAAACTTAATATAAAAAAAATGTTTATATATGGATTATAAAAAGAACAATTTCCAAAATATTGGAAAATTCAGTTGCAGATATGCGTCTTTCAAAACAAACGATGGTGTCATAAAAAAAGAACTATATATTTATTTTAAATCACTGGACAAAGATAAAATAAAGCTAATCCTTCTGATGTACAAAATAATATACTGGTATAGTTATACTCGAGAGTAATTTTCTTTCGTCAACAATTGAAAAATTTATACTAAAGACACTTCCTCCACTTCACTTGGGTGCAGGAAAAAAATTCACTGTAAAGAAGGAATATTATCCTCACTTCTTTTATAGCAGTCCTTGAGATAGAGCGTTAGGCGTTACGCTAGGACGAAGATTATAATGCCACAGTGGAATCACCTTGGATATTTAACACAGCCAAAGTCTACTGGTAAACGAGGTGTAAGAAGACTTTTTTACGATAATGTTGTTCGCCTGCAACTAAAATTTCCAAGAGTTCTGAACCATCAGCAACACAGCTCTGAGATTGAAACGAGCTTCAGATATATATCTAGATACTTTCAAATGACCAATAATAATCGTCAGTACTCGTTAAAACGCAAGTCTGACTTGAAAGTTTAAATTCTCCGTCGTCTTTTACATTTATTGAAAAACAAGTGAAAAGAAACAGATTTTTAATTACATCATTTAAAATGATGCAATTAATACACCGTCCGACACGATTTTTCACACACGAAAAAATCAATGATTTTCAGAAACTAGGACCAAAAAAAAGATACCCGTGTCTGGCCGTTTTGCTAGATCAGGTCATTTTTTGCTTTTGGGGGTAAAAACAACCCTTAAATGAAAGGTGATAGGAAATCTTGTACAAATTAATAATTTTTTATGAAACCTGGTATCTCGGGGTTTTCCGGGTCGCTGATTACGATTTTGATGTCAGATTTTCAAAATTCAAAATGGCGGATCCAATATGGCGGTCGAAATTTATAAAAATTCACCAATTCATTTGAAAGTTGTTACTTAGGGGTTTTTGGGGTCGCTGATAACGAATATGATGTCAGATTTTGAAAATTCAAAATGGCGGGTCCAATATGGCGATCGAAATTTATAAAAATTCACCAATTCATTTGAAAGTTGTTACTTAGGGGTTTTTAGGGTCGCTGATAACGAATATCATGTCAGATTTTGAAAATTCAAAATGGCGGGTCCAATATGGCGGTCGAGATTTATAAATGTTATTAGTTTTTTATAAAACTTCGTATCTCTGGGTTTTTGGGGTCGCTGAGTACGAATCTGATTGTAGATTTTTAAAATTCAATATGGCAGACTCAATATGACGGTTGAAATTTATAAAAATTGTTAATTTTTTATAAAACCTTGGTATCTAAGGGCTTTCGGCGTCTCTGAGTACGATAATGATGTCAGATAAGAATAATAAAAACGCCAAATATAATAAAGGTAAAGATCACAAATCTGAAAAATAATTTGGAAAATTTAAATGTTCGATCAATTTTTTGTTAAAATTTGCAAGCCAACATTTTAAAATTTTTATTTAAAGTGATTTTTAATCTGAAAATTTGTATATTTATTAACTAAGTTTCTATTAGAATCAATAAATTCAAAAGTTTATAATCAAAATTTATTAAACAAATATGCAATAAAATAAAATTAATAGAAACATTTCATAACAACTCTTGTATTACGTTTCTGTAAATTTTAAACGCTTATTTTTACGATTTAAAGATTCGACCACCATATTGGATTCGCCATTTTGAATTTTGAAAACCCGACATCAAATTTGTAATCAGCAACCCCAAAAACCTTCAAGTAACAAATTTCAAGTGAATTCGATGAACTTTTATAAATTTCGACCGCCATATTGAATCCGTCATTTTGAATTTTGAAAATCTGACATCATATTCGTAATCAGCGACCCCAAAAACCCCGAGATACCAGGTTTCATAAAAAATTATTAATTTGTACAATATTTCCTATCACCTTTCATTTAAGGGTTGTTTTTACCCCTAAAAGCAAAAAATGACCTGATCTAGCAAAACGGCCAGACACGGGTATCTTTTTTTTGGTCCTAGTTTCTGAAAATCATTGATTTTTTCGTGTGTGAAAAAAAAGTTGAATTTTGTCGGACGGTGATATATACCAACCCTAATAACACAAGATATCTTGGGATATATTGATAATATCCCGCAGATATCCTAGGGATGTCCTATGGATATCAAAAGGATCTCTTAAGAATATCCAAAAAATCGGTTTGGATATCCTTTGGATATCCCATGGATATCTGAGGATATTTACAGGATATCTTCTGGATATCTCTATAGATTTTCATAAATGTCCTCCAGATATCCCATAGATATCGTCAGGATATCCCACAGATATTTTCAGGATATTCTCAGTATATCTTCTGGATGTCAAGAAGATATTCTCAGGATACTGTTTTTAAAGCCATTATGAGACTACAAGTGAGAATATTCTGTGAATTGAATTTTATATAAATAAAATAAAATGCAACTTGTTTTTCGAGAAAGTTGTTTAATTTAAAAAATTATTAACTAATTTTTTTTCATTCTTGATTCATTCCTTTATTCCTAAGAATATCACACGGACATCCTGAGGATATCCCATAGATATCCAATAGATATAATATCCAATAGATATTTTGTGGATGTCTTAGGGATATCCTGTGTATATCCTGTTTATGTCCCACCGACCGGCGGTTTGGATATCCTATGGATATCCCAAGATATCCTGGGGACTATTCTAGGATATCGACCATTGATATGGATATCCTATGGATATCCTAGGAATATCCTTTTGTTATGAGGGGTAATACGTATTTTTTATTGCAAATATTAATTCAATTACTTTGGATAAAAAATGATGTTTCTAAAGTGACTTTATTTATGAATCATATGCATACTTACTTTGCTAATATAATATCATTGATCATTTTTTTCATCATTGACAGGACATCTTATAAAAAAGAGAAGATTATAGCCATATTGCAAGTGATAAGTTTTCTTGAATTTGAGAGCCCATGTACTGTGGTATCAATTAATTCGCGAAATAGAGTTTGACGAATTAATTCCCAAATTTGTGAATCGAACTATATTATATAATTCATCAGCTATTTTAGTCATGTCGAAATTAAAACAATTATGATTATATTTTTGTTTATCACCTTAAATTACAAAAATGTATTTAACTGGCATCATGTTTAATATTAAGAATTAATATTATTTTTTTTTAAAACTTAACAAAACTATTTCAACAACGAAATTATTTTAGCAATTAGAGGATTATCTATATTTGAGTGTCAAACTTTATTTCGTGCTCCCTTTAGTCGCCTTTTACGACACGCGGTGAGATACGTCCATTCAATTCTAAAGGCCGAAATGGCAGGCCTATAAATTTTTAATATTTCAATAAATTGTAGTAAATCTTTTAATATTTTATATGAATTTCTTTAATATATAAGATATATTCATTGTTTTAAGTAATAAATACGAACTATATTTCTTTTGATAGGTCTAAAACAAATTATCATACATTATAATAAAACTATTTAATTTCTTAAAAATATAAATTGTTGAAAATGTAGAAAATACTGAAAATTGGCAATTTTTTTAAAACTAAGGCCATTTTTATCATTTTCAGTAAAAAAAAAAAAATGTTCAGTTTTGTAAAATTCTTAATTTACAAATTAAAATTATCGTATCTTAAAAGATTTATGCTATATTCCAATAAAACATATATAGTTGAAATATTTAATAATTTTCTAAAAAAAAATGTATTGTCTAGATATACATATATATATATATAATAATATCGGGTTTATATGACAATAATTTTAACCAATTATCACAAAAAAAAAATTTCATACATATTAATTTCATGATATTCTGTTAAAATTATTATATTTTAGTAAACGACAGACATCTATTAAAAATATCCGCATATATCAAAAAAATATATACTGCAACGAGTACAAAAAAAAAGCAATGAAATGTCGTCTAAGATGTAGAAATCTAAATAACTAAAAAATGAATTTTGTTTAAAGAAAAAAGAAGAATATAACACCTAATAAAATAACATTTATAAACTGTAATCGAATTGATGAAGCTGAAGAAATAACTATATAATTAAATTGAAAATTATACATAATTTACGTTTAACGACGTAAATGCGACAAAACAATAGTAACATTTATATTCTAATTGTTACAAATAACAAATCGCTTTACACTTTAATATAATATACAAAAAAGTAATTTATCGTGTTAGCAATTTTAAAGAAGCCATTTTCTTTTTTTCCAACTTAAAAACATTTTTTCTGATCTTCTACAAAAAAAATTTTTTTATCATTTTTTTTAAATTTAATATCATTCAGAAGTCGATGTTTCCATTTTACATTCATCCTTTTTTGTTTCATTAATTTTTTCACTATCGTTAATAACAATTTTTAAAGAGCTTTCATTTTTATCAATAATATCTAAATTTGCTTTTTCGCTCTTCTCTTCGTGCGAGTCATCCAAAATCATTATACAATCATCTTCTGATTCAATTTCCTTTGCTTTAGTATTTTCCACCTTTGTTGCTACTTCTTCTTCTTCTTCTTCTTTTTCTTTATTTGATAATTTTTTTTCCTTTTCAATAGTATTTTTTATTTCATTTGTCTTCTTATCGTCCTCTATTATCATAATATCATCATCATTGTCATCAATTTTTTTTGCATTTGTTTTACTTTGATTTGCATTATCGCCAACCATAAATTTATTAAGTAAACTCATTCGCGGTGATTTGGGAAATTTTTCACCTCTACCAACGGAAATCAAAGCGACTCGTTTTTTATTTACTGTTGGTGTTGTTGATTTTGTAGCCGTTATCTCTGACAGTTGTTTCTTCATTTCTTCCTGAGTGAACTTCTTAGTAAATTGAGTAATTAGTGGAACGCTCTTTTTCTCCTTTTCTTTATCCTTCTCCTTGTCGTCTTTCTCAATTTTTTCCGGAAGATCAGCTGCCACAGCCGCTGTCACAACTTCGATTCGTCGCTTCGGTGTTAAAATATAATTCCATCGATTTGGCAAACCACAATCTTCAGTGTTTAAATATTTTTTACGTACCTCCTCATTGACCATCCAACAATTTTTTTGATGCATTGGACCCTCTTCAAGGCATGCGGTCCATCTTCCTATTTCGCGAATTTTTTTCGATACACTCACTTTTGAGACGCGAAGTTCATTTTTCTTTGTCCAAAAGCACATGAATTCTTTAACAAGAAATCCACGACCATTTACATTTCCATGAACTAATCGAATTAAATCAGGTAATGCTTCTTCGGGGACGCGGGTTTTTTTTGCACCCGGACCCGTACTCAATCGTCCCGATGGTGTTCCACATTCACTTCCATTCAAACTCTCATTGTCGGCTGTCGATTGTAAATTTATTGGTATCTCGTTTATCCAAATTTCACGATCTTTCAGCAATTGTAAAACTTGAGAGTGAACTGAAAATTACAAAAAAAAAAAAATGTCACATTAATAAATTTAAAGAATATTAACTAATTCGGATCTTCTTCAATTCAATTATTTAACAAATTTTGAACTAAATTGATTCTTCACTAAATTAATTATTTTTAATAATTTTAATGAAATACATCACAAATTCAATTATATCAAAATTATTTTTCAATTAAAATTTTTATGAAATTTAACAATTGTTTATAATTTAAAAAAATATATCACAATAAAATTAAATTCTTTTTTTAAAATTTCAATTCAAAATAAATTAAAATTCAATTATTACCCGAAATTTTAATTCAAAATCAATTAAAATTCAATAATTATCCAAAATTTTCAATTTAAAATTTAATTATTTACCAAGTTTTCAATTTAAAATAAAATAAAATTCAATTATTTTCTAAAATTTCTATTCAAAATTAATTATCCAAATTTTCAATCAAAAATAAACTTAAATTAAATTATTATCCAAAATTTCAATTCAAATTCAATTATTTCCCAAAATTTTCAATTCAAAATGAACTAAAATTCAATTATTTTCCAAACTTAAAATCAAATAAAATTTCATTATTCTCAAAAATTTGAATTCAAAATTAATTGAATTTTCAATAATAATTTGAATTTAAAAGCATCTAAAATTTAATTATTTCTAAAATTTTCCATCGAAAATTTTTTTTTTTTTTTGAAATTTAATAATTTCAATTATAACTCTAAGGAAATTCTATTATTTTTAACTATTTTAATAATATTCTTTGAAAATTCAACTATCTGAAACCATTTTATAATAAATTTTTAGTGAAATCATCTAAAATTTTAATTAAAAATCACAGAAAGTTTCAATTAATTTCAAAAATCTCAATTTTAAATCTTTGAAAATTTAATTAAATTTAAAAAATGTTTTCCAAAAATTATTTGATAAATTATTTTTAGTTTTGTAAAATTTAATAATTGTTTGAAAATTAACAATATCTTTTGAAATTTAATTATTTCTAAAAATTTCAACTTTAACACTTCGAAAAGGATTATTGTTAAAAAAAAATTTTTTATTTAAAAATCTGTAAAATATTTTTGTTAAAATAAAAAACAAATCCACTTTTTTTGGAATATAAAACGACTAAAACGACTTTTTTGTGTCTTTAAGTTGATTCGAGGCCTGTGTTTTTATAATTAATATTTAATAGGTATTCGTTGGCCCCTGGTACCTTAAAAATTAATTTTTAAAAATAAATTTTTTTCAAATTATTATCTTGTACGAAATTTCCTGGCGCATCTTTTTTCTCATCATAAAATTTTTGTATTTGTAAACAATTTTTGAATGAATATACAACTTTAAAAAAAATTTCGTTGGTAAACGTTGTGTACTTCAGCTTCGTGAATTGAATTTTCGAATTTGGAATTTTAAAGAAACTTATTCCGAAATTTGGAAACACAATTATACAACTTTGGCAAAAATGAGAAAAAGAATTGTCAAAATTTGACACGTCATAAGATTACTATTCAAAAAAAACACGTGAAATCAGTAAAGGCCAACTTCAAGTTAGGACAGAAGGACAGACCAAGCATTTTATTATTATATAATATTCGAAAATTCAATTTTATTCAAAAATATAATTTAAATTATTATTATTTTAAAAAAAAAACTTAATTGTATCATAATTTTGAATAAATTTTTCGATAATTGAATTATTTTTGAAATATTTATTTTAAAATAATTGAGAAATATTTGAGAAAAATTAGAATAAGTTTGAACGTTCCATGAGTTCTAAATGCCAATTATTTATTTGAAAAAAGGTGCATTCTAAACCTAAACATTCTAAACTAATTCGAAATCTGCAAAGTGCAGTTACATTTATCATTTTTCAATTTATTTATTTCTTTTGATCACACATCTGTGACAATAGAAAATAAATGTTCTGCGCCTGTATTGGACAAACTGAGAGCTTTTATTACTATCAATTGTAAATTTTAAAACATGATTTCTCCAGTTACTAATCGCAAATCAATTATTTTCGACCAGAATTTAACTAAATCATTTTTGAGTGAACCGTCTTCCAAATTATTTTAAAATAACTGAGGTAAAACATTCCATTCTTCTTTTAAATCATTTTCATCATAATATCAAAAAAAAAATAGATACATTTGACAAATCAGGAAATTTTACTCTAGTTTAAGAATCCATTGCGTTCTGAAATTTTGTCAACGAGAGTACGTTCTCACTGAAATTCAGCATTAAATTAGTTAAAATTTACGCGTAATTCAAAAATAATTAAATAAATTAAATAAATTCAAATAATTCAAAAAAGTATTTACGCTTCAACTTCATCAAATTATTTGAAAATAATTATTTTCTGCTCTGCAGTCTTTAGCATTCAGTTCTATTAAATCACACAAATTTTATAAAAATTTTTTTCCGGAGACAAATACTGAACCAAAACGTATAAAAGTTTTTCATCAATTTTTGTATTTTCGTCTATTAATACAGAAAAATTAGTATTTTTTAAAGACTACTGTTTTTCCTTCAACTCTTTTACTTAAAACATTTTTTTTATAATTTGTGCACATTTCGTTTTTTCTAAATTTATCCCCACATCAATTTTTGAATCTTTAAAAAATTATTTTTTAGAAGAATTACTAAAATTCAAACCACATGAATAGAAATGTTATGGCAAGCAAATGATGATGCTAAAGCTACTTGAGCAGTTTTTATATTTCTTTTTAATTCGTCATTTTCATTAATTATGTTTTACAACATTTTTCCAGTATATTTTTTTAAATTCCCTGATATTTTCCTGATTTGTGACAATACTGTTTTAATTTAGAAATTTAAAAAAAAATTTTTTTTTTGAAAAGGAAGATAAAAATTGTGTCAGTGAAAAAAATGTTAATTAAACATTTCACTAAAAAAAAGAAGTATGTGAATTTTAAATAAAAACATTAAAATATTTACATTTCACAAAATGATTCCCTCACAAATATTCTGAAAATTCGTCAAAAATGTAATTAACATTTCTGTGTGGAATTCGTAAAATTTAGTAGAAAATAAAATTGAAAGAGATAATGAAAAAATGTTTAAAAAATATATGATTTAGAATAATATAACCATATTTAAATTAATATTTACAATTAGTAAATTAAAGTTTTTATACTAATAAAATATGAAAGCCTGCTAGGTGATAGGCTGGAAAACACACGTGTAATTGTGGTTGCATACTTTAAGGAGCGTTCAATTTATCATAGAATTTAATATTTTACCATTGTAATAATTTAAATTATTACAGACGAATTATATATTTTTCAGATTATTTTTCACAAAACTACATAATAATTTAAGAAAATAAAATAAAATTAAAAAAAAATTTGAATATTTTGCATTTCTTTAACAGATAAAACGGAAGTTTTCTACATCATTCACTGTCGATAAAATTTTTTCACGACAAATTGTATCCAACATTGATAAATTAGGAAAATAAATTTTTTTTCTATATTTAAATCGAATATAAAATAATAATTAAGTTGTAAACGATAAAAAAAAAATGTTAGAATAAGAACAATTTTTTTTTATTAGTAATAATTATTTTTTCAGATCCTTATGCATTAGAAAGAACAAAAAAATTTTAATGTAAATCCAATAACAATTGCAAACTTTTTAATTGTTTCTGTGAATAAACAATTTATTAACAATAAATGAAAAATAATTATGAAAACCAAAAATTATTATAACAATAGGTATTAATTAAATTTTATGAATTATAAACAAGTTAATTGAGAAAAAAAGGAATTAATTGTCAAAAAAGGCCCTAATTAAAAAAAAATCGCTTTTTTTTGCTTAGAAACTTAGAAAAAATTGAAATTTTATAATTTAACGATAAAGTTAATAAGATATAAATAAATAGTACTTACTGTTTGACGCATACGAATTATCAGAATTTTGCCAAATGCAACCAATAACTTTTGGCTTGAGTTGAGTTGTTTTAGCATTTCTTTCAGCTTCAAATTGTTCACCCAAAATTTTGAGTTTGAATTTTTGTGTTTCCGGGTTCTAGAATATAAAATAAAAATAAAATAAATCATATTTTTTTGCTATCTAGATAAAAAAGTATAAGTTTTCATTAAATAAAATTACCATATCCTCGTCATCTTCCGCCTGTGCTTCTTCTTCTGATAAATATCTGAAAAATATAAATTATTTTACAATATACTGCAAATTATGAAAATTCAAATATATATTTATATTTTAAAAAAAAAACCAACCCATGAGGAACCATGAATTCATTATCGACATCATATTCATTATCGTCAGGATTCTCTTCATCTTTTTCGTCATCCGAACCATGTAGAGACTCTCCTGGTTCCTCCTCCTCCCACTCTTCATCGGAATCAACTTCATAGTCGAACCATTTCTGTAAAATAAAATCAAACCAAAAAACGATTTAATAAAAATTGCAAAATTCATATATTATTTTATTAAAAAACAAAAAAATTAAATTATAAAATATTTCAATTTGTGAATAGGGGAAGATTTTCTTTTTGCTTCAAATTTGCTGCCCTGGGATTTTTGGATTTCCTAATTAGGAAATTAATACTAGGTTTTCAAAAAATTGATAAAAAAAAAATGTACAAAAAAAATCGAAATATAATTTTTGAAAAATTCAAGGTTACTCTGCAATTACAAAAATATAATAAATAAATTTCTACGATTCTCTGATGAAGTAAAAAAAATAAATGGTGTTATTCAAAATTTACGCGAATATATGAGACATTTAGTTTTTTTTTCTCTTCTTTAACTAAAAGCTCACGTCTGTTAAAGAAGTGTGCTTTTTTTTATCTAATTGGAATTTCAGTTGAGATCATAAATGGAGTCGAACATGAATAAGCAGGACGTCGGTATCAGAGCCACTTCCTTGACGTCTGATATCTGCTTATGTGCTCCAAGTTTGCACGTGTTTATAACGATTCTCTCTCTCTCTCTCTCTCTCGTTAGTCACGAAACAATAGTCGAAGACTTTATAATATTTCTTAAAGCAGTTCACAACTCAAACTCATGTGTGACACGCGATACAGCAAACATCTTGTCGTCTTGAAAAGCACAATTTTACATTCGTGACATACTCTATATAAACAAACATAACAAATTTAAATGACATCATTGCCAATAACAATGTTTTGCGAAAAAAATGAAATTTTCCAAAATAATTCCCAAAGATGAAAAAAAAAGAAAAAAAAAAGAATATTATCTACTAAATATCCAAAGTTTTTTAATTAAAAATAAATGACAAAACAATCATTGGATTTTTTTGGAGCAAAAAAATGTAGAAGCAAAATAAAATTTCCTTTCTTTGGAATTTTATTTTACAATACTAGTACAAGTGACAATAAAATAAGAAGTGTTAATGTGAATTAATTTTTTCTGAAATTTTCCTGTTGCCATCAATTGTACAAGGATATTAGATTTTTTTTTTTTAATCAAGTGCATCATTCGGAAGTAAAATACCGTAAGTTTATATTTTAAATTTAATTATTTTCGAAAACAAATGAAAAATGAATAAATTGAATCTACACCCAGAGAAATATTTTATTTGAAGCAAATAAAATTTATTTGAATAAAAATAAATAAAAATTATTAATCTCTGAGACAAATATATTTTTATATGCTCTAAATAAATTTTATTTGCTTCTAATAAAATTTATTTGAAGAAAATAAAAATATATTTATCTCAGAGTCTAATAATTTTTTTATTTGTTTTAAATAAAAAATTTTAATTAGCGCAAATAAAATTTTTATATAACGAAAATAAAATTTATTTGATTTGAAACAAATAAAATTTTTATTTAACCAAAACAAAATTTATTTGATTTGAAACAAATAAAATTTTTATTTAACCAAAACAAAATTTGATTTGAAACAAATAAAATTTTTATTTAACCAAAACAAAATTTATTTGATTTAAAACAAATGAAATTTTTATTTAACCCAAACAAAATTTATTTGATTTGAAACAAATAAATATTTATTTCGCTCCGAAAGAAACATATTTTTTCTCTTGGTGTAATCAAAGAACTTTTGATTTCTAAATAAAAATTCATTTTTACAAAAAAAAAAAAAAACATTGATTTTTATTGTTGAAATTTAATTATTTGCAATTTAAATAGAAAATCAACTTTATATTTTTATTTAATGATTATTTTTTGTCTAAATAAAAGGAGGAAAAAAAACAATTATGGGAATTTATGGGATGTAATAATATATGATTAGCGTTTGTTATCATTGTGAAGTTTCCAATCTTTACAATGACCATGAAAAGTTTCTTTTGCTATCATTTATAGACAAGATTAGATTCGTCCTGCTTGAAACATCCCGAGTCAGTGGGATGAAGTCAATGCACAGTATCGAAGAGATAAAAATTAATTTTTATCCTGCCAAACAATGCTAATTTTAAAATCGCATTTTTTTTTTTGCAAAAAAAAAATATTTACATGTTTTGATAATTCTTTGATTTTACAAATATAAAAAGTATTGACAAGTAAATATTTATAATTAGAAATAAATAAATTAAACCAAATAATTTCTACAAAAACAAATTAATTTCATAATTTTTTCTTTTTTTTATTTAAACTAGTAAAGACAAAAACTTTTTATGTGAAATAGAAATATATATTAATGCAGAATTTCCTGATGAAATTATTTTTAATTAAATTAGTAAATTATTATATAATAATAATAATTATTATAATAATTATAATAATATAATAATATAATGTAATTATAATTATACCATTATTTTATTTTATTAATTACTAATTATTAATTATTATTATTCTACATTATTTTTTATATAAATTTTTAGTTTAATCAAATAAATTATTCTTAATCCTCTTTTATTTAATCCATTTAAGTAATCAGATATCGTTACTTTTAGACAAATAAAAATAATAATAATAATAATTTTTCGACGTAGTGAAATTATGTTTTACAAAACCCTTTGACGTTAATGTTAGTGCCGACATGATTATCGTCTAAATAAAGTAGTATTAAATATCAACCCTCCTTAAAAAATATCAAAGTGCCATGAAATACCAAAAACAGATGCAATCCACTTAAAATGTCAATTTTGGTTTCTATCAAATTCAGTCCTTATCAAAAAATAAAAAATTTTAATTTCGATCGAATTCGTTTAATTACTGTAATTACACTGAAAAAAAATTTTAATTCAAATACTCGATTCCTCGACAATTATCAAATAAATATTTCAAATTCTATTTGAACCAATAATTTCTGTATTTCAAACAAATACCATTTAATTGACACAAATAATAATTATTTAATAGAAATAAATATTTATTTGATATTCAAATAATTATTTGAATAAAATAATTTTTTTCGTTGCGTATAATTTTCTTTTTTTCACGAAAATTCAAGATTTTTTTTTAGTTTTTGTTATATGAAAATAATTGAAGTAAAATTGACACCTCTATTTTATAATTCTTTGTAAGATTTAAAGACTTATTTATATATCCTATAGTTAAAATGTATTAAAAATTGTTCTTTCCAATTAATATTATAATATTAAGTGATTATCGTCTGGCTGAAGTGCAGTAAAATTATAATTATCAGCCTCCAAAAAAAAAAAATGTACCAGAGAGTGCCTTGAAACACACTAATATAGAAACAGATGCAATCAACTTAAAAAATATGACGTACGAGCCAGATATGCATTACTGTAATGTCTCAATGTAAGTGAGACAAAACCGATAAAACTTTGTAATGTAAAAATTTTCATTAGAAAAAAGGAATTATATTTCTAATAGTTTTGCTTTTAGATATTAAATAACATTTTCCAATAAATAAAGAATATAAACCAATTACTACTATTGAAATAATAAATATTTTTTTTTATCCACGTTTTCAATTTTTTGATAAAAATAAAAAAAAAATTCAAAATTTTAATATCTACAATAATTTTATAATTTTTATAAAAATTATAAATTATAAAATTATTATTTTCAAAGTAATATTATTTATTTATTAAATAAAAATAATATATATATATATAAATAATTTTGTCGAAGAATTAAAAAAAAATATATTTTTTTAACGTTAAATTTCATTTTTTTTTCGAAATATCCGTTTTTAATATTTTTAATTAAATATAAAATATAAATTTATGGAAAAAAAGTCGGTGATAAATATTCTATTAATAAAATTGATGATTAATTTAGTTTTTTTTAATATTTGTTAAATGTCTATGTAGAGATATCGCAGGGAATTTTGGAGGTATTCAGCAATTACTCAGAGTTGATTAGTTGACCTAATCAGCCTTGCACTAAGAGGAGCAGAACTAATCTCAATAGGGCATAAAACAGTCATTACAGATGGCCCGGCGTGTGACAACACATATAGTAAATAATAAATTATAACGTGCTACTTCAAACTTACGTTAAAAACTTTCACGATAAGAAACATTTTTTTATTCATTATGTATATTTCATCATTTGTGACAATTTTTTTTTTTTTTTTTTTTTTTTTTTTTTTTTTTTTTTTTTTTTAATAAATAAATAAATAAATTTTTTTTAAAATTAAATTATTAAAATAATTAAATAGAATTAGTGAAAATTTTATATGAAAAATATAAAAATTAATTTTGAAAAAAAATTGATTAATTTTTTTAATTTATTAATTTTACTATTATATTATTAATATAAATATTTCATATTAATATAATAATATATAATATATTAATAAAAATATTTATTATTTTTTTAATTTATTAAAAAACTTTTAAAAAATTATTATTACTATTAGTAAAATAACTATTAATTAAAAAACTATTTAAAAAAATATATATAAACAAAACGTTTTCACTAAAATTTTAATTTAAAAATCATTTGCGGAATAAAAATAATCTCGTATCGTTCATTGATACATATATGTCATCCTGTAATTAAATGACTTGAATTAAACAAGAAAATTATCTTTATATTTCATATCCTGCTTCTATAAATCGTAAAATAAAACTCATAGCATGGGTGTTTATGAGGTAGATAAAAAAATCGAGATCCACGTGCTGATGATCAGTCACGAGCCAATTGAAAACAAATCAGACTAAGTAGAAATTTTTTTTCTACTCTCATAATCCACAGCAATTAAAAACAAAACTTTAAATATAAATTTTTAATAAAAATCAACTGTTTTTTTTTTTTTTTTTTTTTTTTGAAATGAAAAAAAAACAGCAAAATATTAATTTTTTCCGAAAATCCGATGTGGCATTGAATTTCATTGAAATTATTTGGAAATTCATTTAGATATTTGGTATTTTAATAAATAATAATAATTTACTATATGCATATATATATATATAAAACTGATTGGAAATATTTTGCGATACTCAGATTTCATAAAAGAAATTATCATACATTGTTACAATCAGAGCCATAATTCTCTTCGTAATTCTCATTAATAAATGCAGATTAAAAATATCATTAAATAATAATCTTATATAAACTCTATTTTAGTGTGTATTTCCAAAAAAATTCTCGGCAAATAACAAACAACAATTTCAACGTAATTATCAAGTATTCAATTAAATTTAAATCAAAAAACGAAGTTATTGATAATATAAGAAAAAAAAATGAAAACAATAAAATGGAAGTTTCAATTCATTAAACGATTTCCATAAGAAAAAGAATCGTAATTAAATTTTAATATACTCAGAATTATAGAAACTAAATATTTTATTTATTAATTTATTATTAATTTATTTATTATAAATTTATTTATTATAAATTAAATTATTAACTAATTTAATATTTATTTATTTATGAATAATTTATTTATTTAATTATGAAGCAAATTTTTTTTCTTTTTTTTTTGCAGAATTTTCAACAGAATTCTAATTGAGATGAATTTTTAAATTCCACAAATTTTCATTTCATCAAATCTCTTCACTTATTTGAATTTTTATTTACAACAATTATTTAAAATTCTGTTAAATAAAAATTTAGTGTCCCAAAAATTCTGGAAAATTTATATTATTTTAAATTCAAATTAAACAGAAATTCGGCTAAAAAAAAAATTGATAAAGTTAAAAATTCCTTTAAATAAACAAATGGATAAAAAAAAAACTCTGTTAAAATAAAAATTTGGTGACACAAAAATTTTGCCAAATAAAAATTCGGATTTAATTTAAATTCAAATTGAATACAAATTCAAAGAAATGAAAATTTTGCTAAAAATGTCGGTGAAATTAAAATTCTTTCAAATAACCAAATGGATAAAGAAGAATTCTTAAATTTAATTTAAATTCAAATTAAACACAAATTAAAAAAAAAAATTCGGCTAAAAGAAAAACTCTAATAAAATTCTTTGAAATGGAAATTTTAATGAGTTTTTTTTGGGGGGGGGGGGGATATTCATACGCGCCCCGGAAGATTAGACGCTTGATTGAATATATGAAGGTGGAAAAAAAATGACAGATGTCAAATTAATGATTATAATGAGAATCGAATGCATGAGAGAGAGATAGAGAGACACACGCTCTGAATTATCGAGAAATTGTGCTCGTAAATATTGCAAATTAATTCTCCAATAATTAGCAGAGACGATGGAGCGACGATGGTACCACGCGTCTGGAGTCTCGCATGGTCCCTGAGATCTGGGATTAGCCTGGACCATTTCTGGTCCCAGGGGAGATTATGGTGACGGTACCGGGTGGTACAAACACCGATATCACAAATCTCGAAGCGAGATCGTCTCTCCTTGAATTCCGTTGACGAACCCTCCAGTTTTCAAACGACCCTCGAGCGAGATGGTATTCGTTATTCGGTATTAATAAATATTCTTCTAACGTGAAAACAACAACTAAAATCCCCCGACTATCAAGAAACAAAATATCAACAATAATATTCCTTTAAAAAAAAATAATAAATTAATAATTCAAATTTTAATTCATTGAATTCGAATAAATGAAAAAAAGAAAAATAATTCAATTAAAAAAATAAAATAATTTTTTTTTTTATTTAATTTTTTGAGTTCAAGTGAATTTGGTGATTCAATAGTAAAATTGGGAATATTTCATTTTCAAAATGATCGAGGATAGTTCAAATTTTACTGTAAGTACTGCGCGAATTTAATAATTTCAAAAGACATTTAATTTTTATTCAAAATTCAAAAGAGCGCAAAGTTTGGAATTTCAAAATTAAATTTGATATGAAAAAGTCAGAAATTGTAAAATATTTGAATTTAATAATTTCGAAATTACTTCAACAATTTTTTGAAAACTTTTTTTAAAAAAAACTAAAGTAATATAAAATATTTTTTTTGAAATTTACCTACTATGATTATTTTTCTAATGATTTGTTATTTTTTATTTTAAAAAAATAAAATTATTTTCAAATAATAATTTCAAATAATTTTAAATAGTTAAAAATAATAATTACAAAAATCATTTTTCAAAATTACTTATTTTTTTTAATTGAAAATAATATTTTTACAAATTTTGAAAAATGAGTATTGTTGTATTTTCAACTACTAAAAATTATTCAAAAGAAATTTTTTTAAATAAAAAATATTACTGCATAAAAATCGTTTACAATTATAAAAATAATAATAATAATAATTATTATTATTATTATTATAGAATTAATTTAGTTTTTGATTTTATTTAATGAATTTTAATACTAAAACGTAATGGCGCATATCCAAAAAAAGATTTTATACTGAAAAATAAAAAATTATATTAATTCTTAAAAATTTTGAAAGAACTTTCAAAACGATTAAAAAATAACAAATAGTTCCAACTTTACAATGATTGTTATAATAATAATCATTATTATTCCATATTTTGTAAATTTGTCTTAAAATCTTGGTAAAGTCATATATTTTAACCAATTTTAATAAACAAAAGCAAATTTTTTTCATTTGAAAGATTTTATTTTGATTTGTTCAAAGAAAAATAAAAAAAATTTGTTTTTATTATGAATATTTTTTAAAATAAATTCCCATTGGTGATTCATTCAAAATTAAAATTAATTAATATTATTGTTATATTTTCTCCATTTAAGCTTTTCATGACAAAAATTTTTTTTCTAAAAATGCTAATGTTAAAAAAAAAGTTTTTAATTTTAAAAATTATTTATTAAAAAAAAAATTGTACTGATTTTAAAAAGCATACGGATTTTTTTTTTAATTTTTGAAAATAAAAAAAAAGTTAATAATATACCTATAATGTGTAAAATTGTCTGTATTATTTAAATCGAAATATTGTTTTGAAATTAAATTTTTTTCCACGATATAATTAATTAATTGGCGTGAATGTCATGAAATATATTATATATATATCAGAAAGGTCGACAACGTGGCAGCAATGACTTTGTTTCAACGATATTAAAAGCCGCGTAATTCATTATACGATTAATTTTTACCACATACGGCGAACGTATATCGAGTGACTTGACAATCACACGTTCTTAGTCATTTAAAAATAAAAAAAATGTCCATTATTCCCATTAGATATAAATAATAGAAATGCCAATCGATTGTATTCTCGAAATCAATAATTTTTATTTTCCAGTTAATGATTGAAAAAAGAAATTTGTTTTTTATACATAAAGAACAATTTCATTCAATTTTAAATCTACTGCCTTTATTAATAAAAAAAAAAAAAATAAAATTCCTTGAAAAAAAATCGAAATTAATAAGATAATGAAAAATAATTTTTAGAAAATTTTTTTTCAACAATGAATTTTTTCAATTCTTTCAGATGACAGACGAATTACTGTTTTCGGCATTAGGATTGGATATGGATGTTCTCAATGAAAAACAATTACAATCTCCAACAACGTCTTTTTCATATGAATATGAAACTTCCTGCACAACATCAATTAGTGATTATTCAGAATTTACGGAAAATTCATTTAGTCTAACAAATAATAATGGAATCGAGTGTTACACGGATATAAAATATTCACCTGAAGTACAATGGAGCAATTGGTCAACAAATACTTTTACTTCTTCAAGTAAATAATAATTATAACTGAAAATTAATTCACTTATATTATTAAATCAACTAAATAATTCAATTAATTTAATAAATTTCATTATTTTAAAATTAATTTCAAAATTGAAGAAATATCTATTAAAAATTAATTTTTTTTTTAAATTAAAAATTTCAAAATTAATTAATTTTTTCATTGGAATTTTTTTTTTTTTTTTACAGATTGTTTCAGTGAATTAAGTGAACTTGATACAGAACTAGATTGGTGTTTAGACAGAGAATGGAATGTGGGACTTCCTGAAAGAACACCACTTTGTACACCAGGATGCGAGGGATTTTTGCATCTTCCATTACCAAAACCTCAACAGCCATTTCAGCATGATGAGCCATTATTAGTTCTTGGTATCGATCTCAGGACATTGGAGGATTCTTTAAGTTCCACAGAAATAGGTGATTTTAAAATAAAGAAAAATTAATGTGAAAAATAATTTCAAAATTAAATAATTAATAATTGTAAATAATTTTAATTTGCATATTAAAATAGGAAAAATATTACGTCAGGTAAATTCATTATAAAAAAAAAAAAAATTAGAAAAATTCCCCTTTTTTAAATCTAAATTTAATTTTTTGGATTTCTAAAAAGAATTTAATTGCAGATTACAATAACAATCAAATAGAAGAAAATAATCAATTGGTACCCTCATCTGCGGATGTGGCTTTAGCGACTCACGATTATACGAATCGAAGTTTAACGCAAGCGGCTGAAGATCGCTGCTTTCCCTGCACATATCAAGGCTGCGTAAAGGTAATTTTAATCAAATTTCTTCGTTTTTTTTTTTTTTTTTTTTCTGTTCCAAAGAACACAGAATCAAACGAATTATTTTCTATTCGAATCTATTTAAATTTAATTTAATTTAAATTTTAAATACGAATGTAAATTTTAACAAAAATCGAATTAAATAATCGAAAAAAAACAGATATAAATAGAAATAAATGAAAAAACTATTTTCTTTTTAGGTTTACGCGAAAGCTTCACATTTAAAAGCTCATCTACGAAGACACACGGGCGAAAAGCCATTTGCTTGCACGTGGGCAGGATGTGGCTGGCGATTTAGTCGATCTGACGAATTAGCCAGGCATAGAAGATCACATTCCGGAGTTAAGCCATATCCCTGTGAACTTTGTTCAAAACGATTTGCCCGCAGTGATCATTTAGCGAAACATCGTAAGGTTCATCGAAAAAATTCCTTTGCCGTGTTTCAAGGGGGAAGAAATTTTCGCACTTCAAAAATAAATTTACTACCAGCAAAAAATTAACAGACAATAATTTGCAAACCACAGTTAAAAATTTGCCAAAGAGAAATGCAGACAAGTGCGAAATGGATTTTGAAAACAAAAACTCTAGTTAACTGATAATATATAAGAAAATAATGAGAAAATAAAATTGTGCCAGAAAATTAATTTTTTTTTTTTTTGTAAACTAGAAAAAAAAGTATTGTAGACAGTGATAGAATTTCGATGCTGCTCGTAGATTTCTGTTTTTTAGAATTATAATAAAGAAAACAGGAGCGTGAAAAGTGCCTTTTATAATTATGTATGAGAATCATACATTCTTCTAAATAATTAATTGAGATTAAAAATCTATAGTTAGTTTTTATAAAATGTATACTGAACTTTAAAAATAAAATTAAATAAATCTCGATGAAATTAAATGCTAAAAATAAAGCGCGATATTATTCCGAATGGTAGTGTCATCGTATTTTAAAAAATTAATTTAAAGTGATTCCATTTGCGGCAGTTATACTTACAGAGAATATAATTTTAAGTAATACAAAAAAAAAGTCGCAAAGAATGAAAAAATATAAAAATCGTTTTTAGCTTGTATGTGACAAGAGATTATGTATAAATAAATAAAATCTTTGTAATGATGAATTTGGAATATTAAAAAATTTACAGTGAATTATAAGTTATAAGAAATAAAAAAAAACAAAAAATCTAAATTAGATACAGTGTTGCCAAAAATTTTTTTTATAATTTTCCCTGACTTCCAGATAATATTTTGCGTTTTTCCCCAACTTTTCGAATTTTGTTTTTTTTTTCTATTAAATGTGAATTCTATTTTTAAAATAAAAATTGTGATAAATGAAAATTCGATCAAATGAAAATTATGTTAAACAAACAATGTATAATTTGTTAAAAAAAAATTCAATTACATATTTTCAAAAATTTTAATGAAATTCTTTTTAAAATTTCAATTATTTTCAAATCATTTCAATTAGAAATTGTTTTAAATTTTATCATTAACCAAAAATTTAGCTGAAAAACCTTAAAAAATTAATTTAAAAAATTTTAACGAAAATTCTTCGGAATTTCGATTACTTTCAAAAAATTTTAATTAAAAATTCTCTAAAACTCAATTTTTGTTAAAAAAAAATTGTATAAAAAAAATCTTCAGCAACTCAAATTTACATAAAACTCCAATTTCAAATCTTCTGAAATTCAATTAATTCTAAAAATCTTAATAGTAACTATAAAAATCTTGAACTATACAAAAATTAAAGTATTTATAAATTTTTATCTAAAATTCTTCGCAAAATCCATTATTTTTAATAATTTTAATAGTTTTTCAAAAATTTTATTATTTTTATCAAAAAACTATGTGAATTTTAAATAAAAACTTTAAAATTAAAAAACGAAATTCTATTTCATAAATTGTTTCTAAATAATTTTTACTCGACGGAAATTTTTGTATGGAAAATATTTTTCATAAAAATTGAAAACTTTTTCTGTATATAATCAAACTCAATATTTTAAATAATTATTTTATATTAAAATATTGAATTAGAATCGATAAATGAATTTCTTTTTCCTACCCTCCAAAAATTTTTTTTATTTTACAATTTACCAAAAATCAAATAAAAATTTCTGATTTTTTTTTTTTGGAAATTATTTTTTAGCTACAATTTGTTTTTTTTTAAATTGTTGATCGAGAAACATTGCAAATTTTTTTTTTTAGCGATAAAATATGATAATTTGAATGGAAATATATTTTCCTTCTAAATCATTGATCATAAACGTTGTGAATAAAATAATGAGTAAAATTATTGAAATTTTTGTAATCATACATCTCTAAAGAATATTTTCTCCTCTTGTCTATGAAAATTTATTATCAAGAAAAGAAAATCATTGCTTTATTAAAAAAAAAAAAAAAAGTTAAATAATAATTCTTTAAAACAAAAACTTACCACATCTTTGGTGAATGGTTTTCGTGGAGTGATTAAAGAACTTTTCTTCCTCCAAGTTCCTCGATAGGGAGGTCGTCGATTTTCATTGAACATGAGCAATTTTGCACGATGTTTCTCCACGGTGACATTTCCACGATCCACAACATTATATTTTTCCTCCTTGTTTTCATTCTCTATGGAAATTAAAAAAACAATTACAACATACTTAAAGAAAATTAAATTTTATTTTAATTTTACCTAATATTACAACGTCATCGTCGTCTTCCTCTTTTGTCTCCGGTGGCCATGTTTTTCCCGATTTTCTTCTAACATATTCTTTATTTTTTATTTCACCCAAATATAATTTACATTTATCCAATGATTGATTCTCATGATTTTCGTCAAATTTTTGCCTCTCATCGTTAGTTATAAATCGTCGACAAACCGGTGCAATTCTCATATCGGCTTTCACTTCAAATGGCATAAAATTATTTGTTATAATCTTTTTTTGCTCAGTCTTGATTTCTAATGATGGTTTTTTTGTCACAAAAAAACTGACAAAAGTTGAAGCGGCTTTTTGCTTTTTTCGTTCGGCTTCCAATTTCTCTTCTTCTTTTCTTCGTTTCTCTTCTTCTTTTGCCTCTTCGCGTTTTCGTTGATCTTCTTTTTTTGCCTCCTTCTCCTTTTGCTTTTGTCTGGAAAATATATATTTTTTATAAATTAAAAAAAAAAATTAAATCAAAAAATTAGGAATTTGAAAAAAACAAATTATTACTCAATTTCCATTTGCTTCTTTAATTCCTTTTCTTCTCTCTCTTTCTTTTTTTCTTCCTTTAATTTATCCTTTAATTTCTTGCGATTTTCACGTTCCTCGTCTCTTTTTCTTTCCCTTTCCTATATATATAAAAAAAAAGAAATATTAATAAAAGTAATTTTATATTTTTTTGGATGGATATTTGAAAAAAAATTACCAGTCTTAATTGTTTTCTCTCGTCTTTACGTTTTTGTTTCTCCATTTGTTTTTCCAATTGTTTTGGTGTCATTTTCTTTTGTTTCAATTCAATTTCTTTTTTTGAACGTGGTGTCAATAATTCATTATTTTTTCTCTTCTCTTCAGATTCATCCACATCTGTTTTATTATCCGTAACTTGATCATCATCAGAACTTTCACTATCCGATTCAAATTTCGAAATATCATTCTCCTGTTCCAAATCAATTTCATCTTTTTCACTTTCATCTTTTTCAATATTCTCCTCTATTGTTGATTCACTGGTGACTTTTGTATTATCCAAAATTCTTTCGACAATTACAATTGGTGTTTTCATTTCTTCCAATTCAGAATTATTCGTCAATTTAGGTTTTACATTTTCTTTAAGTGATTCAGATTTATTTTTCGATAACTCTTTATTCTCAGTTTTAGTGAGATAACGTGTTAGCGAACCCAATTTAACAGTTGATTTTTCATCGGGTTTTTTTGTTTTTGACTTTGGAGTAATTTGTATGTTTGACGATTCATTATTGTCGATTGTTTCATCATTTACTGATTTCTCATTATTTAATTGTTCACTAGCCTTTTCATCGTCATTATCAAGATCGATAACTTCCATTACTACATTTGTTTTTGGCGAGTCAAATGAATTTTGTTTATTCATTGTTTTCAATAATTTTGGACTTTTACATTCAACAAGTGTTGGAGACGCGAGTTTACGCTTCTTGTTCACATTTGGCGATTCAGCAGAACTCAACATTTGAAATGATAATCGTGCTGGTGAATTAAATTTTTATTTAATATTAATAAAATAATAAAATAAATAAATGAAAATTTTATATTAAAAAAAAAACGGTTTTAACGAAAAACAAATGGAATTTAATAAGCCAATGATTTATTTTAATATAAAAAAAAATGCTAATTATAAAATTAAAATAAAATTTTAAAAAGTTAATTTAACAAAATTATTAATTATTATTATTAAAATTTTTATATGAAATATCTATTAAAAATAAGGCAGATAAATTAATGTAAACATTACATAAAGAATGTTGAATATAATTATTTTATTAAAATGAATTTTGATAAATAATTATGAAAAGTTAAAAGAAAAATTATTAAATTAATAAATAACATTTAATTACCCTGCTTTAGAGTTTTTTTTTTCGGCATCGCAACAATTTCTGCACTGGATTCCTCAACTTTAACAGGCTCCTCCATAATTTATTAAATCACTTTAAATTCAAGGACACCAAAGAAAATCAAAAAAATTGTTCTAAAAAAAAAGAGTAATTCTATAACAATTAATTATTCTTTACTTTACAATAAAGTAACCAATTGTAAAATTTTACCTTTCATAAAAAAAAGGATATTTTATGATAAGACACACAAAGAAACTTTTTAATGTATGTTTGACGTGTTTAAACTTGACATAACCTTTGAAAATTGTTATATACACACAAATTTCATCTATCCCAGAAAGCGCATTTTCATCTAAACAATGTTGACTAACGTTGACAATCAACAAAAAACAATAATAAAACAAAATATTTATCTATTTCAATAAATTAACAAAACTTATCAATGTCACACACCCGGAACACTATAAACTTTATTAAATTCGCGGGAAAACAACTTTTTGAGGTGGGAACACATAAATACAATAGTATCTAGAGGGGTTTGTGTATGGGTAAAATAAGTCTCTGCAGCGACATCTTTGAAAATTAAAACGTTAATATCTATAGTCGATAAAATCGCAAAGGCGGGAAAATGTATTCGATTATTTAAAAAAAAAAAAAGAGTTTTTTTTAACTTCCTTATAAATTTTACAAGTTACGAACAAAATTTTGCTATTCTTTTATCAATTTCTTTGTAAATTTAATTTATTACTTTCTTTTTTTTTGTTATGAGATTTTCAAATTTCAAGAATTCAAATTATTTGGAAAATAGCCGCACAGTTGGCGTCCCTGAAACGTGTGGCGCGAAATTTCAAAATAAAATTAGAAACAAAATTTGTGAAAACATTTTTAAACTTGACATTCATTAATTGTTTTTAATACAAAAAAATAATTAGTAATTTAAAAAAAAAATTGATAACAGAAATAATTTTGTATGATATCCAGGGAATGAAATATAAAAAAAAATTTTTGCTTCTAACTTGAAGTTGGTTTTTTATCCTGAAGGAGAAATAATCTTAACTTCAAGTTAGAAGCAAATAAACAGTTTTAACCTGAAAAAAAGTACAATTTTTAAACATTTATATCTTTTAAACTAGATTTGGGACCAAAAGGAAAATTTTGATGCAGATGTCGAATTAGGTAAAAGTTGTGAGAATGTTAAATTTATTTATTTTTCTTTAACACGTAAATATTGAGATGCAAAAGTTGACAAAAATTCAGAAATCGAGTACATTCAACTTAATATTTCTTGTATATTTAAAATAAAAATGAAGAAAATTCTAAGAAAACCTGAAAGTTCATCACAAATATTCTATATTCGGTGAGTTTTTATTTAATTTAATAATTTCACTTTCTTGTAATTAATTGATAAAAATCGTAAAAATTTTTAGGTTATTTTACAAACCAACTTTAGAAATATGTTTTTATTATGATTTTTTCACTAGTTTAATTATTTAAAAAAATAATTAACTAATTTTAAACATGAATTAATAATTCTGTTTACATTTTTAAGAATTTTTCTATTTTTTTTTTTTTGTATATTTTCTAATTGCTAAAAATAAGTGACACTTTTGCGCAACTTTTCAACTTTAAACGCATATTTTAAGAAAAGTAAGAAAAATTTTAACAGAATTCTTTTTCTTTCGTTCCCTAGATATTATACAGATTCATTTTTGAAAGTATTATTTTTTTTCAAATTAAGCCGCATCGAAATTATTCGAAACATATAATGGTCTTGACTCTACATTTAGTTTTTGAAAGAAAATTAATGACCAAAAAAAAAATCGAAAGAAAAATACTAAAGAGTAAATGAAAAAAATCAAAAAAGATATCATTTGACAGGCAATGTAAAATTTATTTAATTTAACCAAATAAAAATTTCTTACATATATTAAACGTATAAAAAAATAAGTTTTTTGATTACAAAATAAATAGGGGTTTATTAGAAAAATCTACTAAATATATGAAAAATAAAAAATTTTTGTTTCAATAAGAAATAATAATATTATAAATATATAAAATATATGCTCACTAAAAATAATTTTTAAAAAAGTTTTTAATAATACAAACATTAAAAGTTCCTGAGATTTGTCCATACAATAAATTATATTATTATAATATAATAAATTATGACAAACATGTTTATAAATTATATATATATAATATAAAAATAAAAATTATAGTTTATACGTATACTTAGACTGTAAATAAAATTTCTTTACAATACAATTTCAATTTTTAAAATTGTATTATAAAATATATATCTTTAAAAAGTAAATAGTATAAAAATAATGTATTATATAAAATCTCTTGTTTTACTCTTAATTATACAATTTGACATTAATGACATTAAATTAAAAACTTTAATATTTTAATAATTTAAAAAAATTTTCGGCAAGAAAAAATATTGATATTTTATAATAATAAATAATTATATTATATTATAATATATTATTATAATATAGTATAATTCTATTTTAATATTATAGTTGCAAAACCTAATTATATTCATCATTAAAATAATTATGATAAAAAATTAAAATTTAATTTTATCCCTGAGATATTTACTATATTGCAGTATTTTTAAAAAATATGTTGGTAAAAAAAAAAATGAGCCAAAAGTTTTGAACGAAATTTTTTTTTTTTGCAACTTCTTTAAGTAGGAATTTTATTACAAAATATTGTTTCAAATATCTAAAAAGAAGTTATTAATTTAATAATTGTTTAATTTACTGTTTTATTTTACATTGACATTATAATTTTTAATAATTTATAGATTGAAAAAAATATTTTGTTCATTTGAACGTTTAGAACTTTTGGCTCATAAAAAAAAATATATATATATATTTTATGGACGATGTGAGGGAAATTTATAAACTGGATATCGTGGTGCAAAATGATCATTAATTCCTATCACATGTTGAGAATCATCGTCATCCTGAAGATTTTCAGCGGCAAAAATAGATTCTTCATAAGTTGGTGGAGCTATAAAAAATATTTAAATATTAATAAAAATACCTATATAAATTTATTCATGAGATTTATCAAAAAATTTCACCCAAATAAAATTTTAAAAATTTTTTTCAATTTAATAGAAAAAATAATATTTCCTATAATGTACTTTGAATTTTTAAAGGTAATTTATAAAATAATTATTTAAATAAGCGTACGTTTTAAAAATATAATAAAAGAATATAATAAAAAATCTAACAAAAAAAATCTAATAAAAAAATTATAAATTGAAAAATTAATAGAAAAATACTTACGTAATTCGAAGTTTATAACTGATGAGTAATTCGGAGGCGCAGAAGAAGAAGGTAAAATTGAAGATTGTGTTACCGAAGAAAGTACTGATGTAAAAAAAGGACAATTGTTCAATGGAACCGTTCCTATTAAAACTTGAGTTGTAAATTTCAAATTACGACTGCATCTATAGAAAGAAAATTAATTAATTATTAATTAATTATAGTATTAATAATAATTATGAATAATTTATTATAAATTAAATTGATATTAAAACGAAGGAATATCAAAAAAAAAAAAAAAAAAAAAAAAAAAAATAGTAAAAATTAAGAAATAAAATAATACATACAATTTATCAATGTAAAGTTTCAATTCTACTGCATATTGAACATCAATGATACCACATTGATTTAAATTAGAAGACGGAAGAGAAGGCACTTCAATAAATTCATCAAAGCTGACATTATTATTTTCAATTTTACCTTCATGAATTTCTTTAATTGTCGTCTTCTTTTTTCTCTTTTGTGAACGTGGTTTAGTCACTTTAAAAACCACTTTCTAGAATAAATATAAATATAAATTGTATAAAATAATTAAATTTTATTTAAATAATTAATTTTAAATTATTAATTTAATTATAAATAGAAATTAAATTAAATAGAAAAATAAATATAAAACAAATTGAATATAAAAATAGAATTCAAAGACGTTTATCCACGGAAATGCAGACCACCAGAAAAAAATAATTAATTAACATTTAAATATATAATTAAAATAATATATTATTATTTGTATTATTTTCTAAAAGAAAAAATATCAATTTTAAAGAAAAAAATTGAAAACCAAAAAAATTTATTTGTTTATTGTTGCATTAGATAGAAATTTTCTGTTATATCGCTTCTACAGAATTTTTTTTTTAAATTTGGCAGATTTTAAATTTTTTTCTTGAAAATTGATATTTTTGCTTTTTCATTCAGAAAATATACATAATTAATAATATTATTTAAATTATTTAAATGTTAATAAATTATTTTTTTCTGGAGGTTTGCATTTCAGTGAATAACAGTCCTTAAAAAAAAAATAATTGTATCTCACCTTTATTAATTTTAATCTCACATGATAAATAGTAACGCCTGATTGATTATTAATACTTATATTAATTGGAATTATTTGTCCTGGGACGTATCCTCCAACTGGCATGGAAAGTGTAGCAGTTAGAGGTGGTGTAGTTGAGAAACAACCAAAATTATGTGTTCTTGATTCAACAATGGGACGCTGAAAAATTAAGAAAATGATTTTTTTTTTTTTTTTTTTTTTAATCCAAATGGAAAATTTCTTGTAATTTTGAATAATCGAATAATCAATTAATAATTTTATTAATACAAAAAACAAATAATTATATAATAATAAAATGCTTGGTCTGTCCTTCTGTCCTAACTCGAAGTTGGCCTTTACTGATTTCACGTGTTTTTTTGAATAGTAATCTTTATGACGTGTCAAATTTTGACAATTCTTTTTCTCATTTTTGCCAAAGTTGTATAATTGTGTTTCCAAATTTTGGAATGAGTTTCTTTAAAATCCCAAATTCGAAAATTCAATTCACGAAGCTGAAGTACACAATGTTTATTAACGAAATTTTTTTTAAAGTTGTATATTCATTCAAAAATTGTATACAAATACAAAAAATTTATGATGAGAAAAAAGATGCGCCAGGAAATTTCGTACAAGATAGTAATTTGAAAAAAATTAATTTTTAAAAATTAATTTTTAAGGTACCAGGGGCCAACGAATTCCTATTAAATATTAATTATAAAAACACAGGCCTCGAATCAACTTAAAGACACAAAAAAGTCGTTTTAGTCGTTTTATATTAAAAAAAAAGTGGATTTGTTTTCTATTTTAACAAAAATATTTTACAGATTTTTAAATCAAAATTTTTTTTTTAATAATAATCCATTTCGAAGGGTTAAAGTTGAAATTTTTAGAAATAATTAAATTTCAAAAGATATTGTTAATTTTCAAACAATTATTAAATTTTACAGAACTAAAAATAATTTATCAAACAATTTTTGAAAAACATTTTTTAAATTTAATTGAATTTTCAAAGATTTAAAATTGAGATTTTTGAAATTAATTGAAACTTTCAGTGATTTTTAATTAAAATTTTAGATGATTTCACTAAAAATTTATTATAAAATGCGGACAAAATACAATAATTTGAAAATCATTTTTAATTAAAAAATGGTTTTAGAAAGTTGAATTTTCAAAGAATATTATAAAAATAGTTAAAAATAATTGAATTTCCTTAGAGTTATAATTGAAATTATTAAATATCAAAAAAAAATTTTTTCGATTGAAAATTTTAGAAATAATTAAATTTTAGATGCTTTTAAATTCAAATTATTGAAAATTCAATTAATTTTGAATTCAAATTTTTGAGAATAATGAAATTTTATTTGATTTTAAATTTGGAAAATAATTGAATTTTAGTTCATTTTGAATTGAAAATTTTGGGAAATAATTGAATTTGAATTGAAATTTTTGATAATAATTTAATTTAAGTTCATTTTTGATTGAAAATTTGGATAATTAATTTTGAATAGAAATTTTAGAAAATAGTTGAATTTTATTTCATTTTAAATTGAAAACTTGGTAAATAATTAAATTTTAAATTGAAAATTTTGGATAATTATTGGATTTTTAATTGATTTTGAATTAAAATTTCGGGTAATAATTGAATTTTAGTTTATTTTGAATTGAAATTTTTAAAAAATAATTCAATTTTATTGTGATATTTTTTTTTAAATTATAAATAATTGTTAAATTTCATAAAAATTTTAATTGAAAAATAATTTTGGTATAATTGAATTTGTGATTTATTTCATTAAAATTATTAAAAATAATTAATTTAGTGAAGAATCATTTTAGTTCAAAATTTGTTAAATAATTGAATTGAAGAAGATCTGAAGAAGATCTACATTTTATACTAAAAAAATGTATTTTATTTACATTTTTTTTCAAATGTAAAAAAAAATGTCGCATTTTATTAAAATAAGTCGATAAAAGTCGTATTTTTGAAAAAAGTCGGAAAAAGTCGTATAATCCGAGGCCTGTAAACATATAATTTTCATTATTATCATTTAATATGTAATAATATTCTAATAAATTAAATTATTATTGATAATATTAATCTTTAATTTTCCTTATAACAAACAATTAAATACTCAATTTGGCGCGCGTTTTATTTTGCTAGTAAATAATAAAATTTTGATAATATTTTAATTTGAAGACCATTCTTCAAAGATAAAGAATTTTAATTTATTATTTAAGAATTTTTTGTATCAGGGAATGCAGACCTCTAAAAAAAATATTTATTTGACGCATTTAAAAAATTAATATATTATTATTAATAATATCTGCTGAAAGAAAAAAATACTAAGTTTTAATAAAAAAAATTTTCAACTCAAAAATTATTTATTTATATATTTTGCATATTTTTTAAGAAACGATATTAAGAAAATTTTTATTATTTGCAAAATATAAATTAAATAAATTTATTTTTGAAAGTTTAAATTTTTTTTAATAAAACTTAGCCTTCGTGGATATAAACGACCTTAAGAAATTGTTTATTATTAATATATTAATTGTTTAATTGTTTATCTAAAAAAAATTGTTTTTTTACAAATTTGTTGATTACTAAAAATTACGAGAATTATTTTTTTTAGGTAAAAAATTAATAGAAATTTCTATTTAAAAAAAAATTTTTTTTTTTAAAATCGTTTATCATAAACGTTGTGTGTACTTCAGTTTCGTAAAAATAAAATGTTAGGATTGCAATTTTAACGGTCGTACACTGAAAAAAAAATTTATTTGATTCAAATAATCGATTACTTACTTGACTATTATCAATTAAATATTTATTTGTATCAAATAATTATTATTTGAGATGATATTTCTTTCAAATACAGTTTATTTAATTCAATTAAAAATTATTTGGTTCAAGTAAATATATATTTAATTAATAATAATCAAGTAACCGATTATTTGAATCAAATAAATTTTTTTTTTCAGTGTAGAAGTTGAAATTGAATAGGTTCTTAAAATTTGAAGAATATTTAGATAAAATCGTTTCTTTTTCAACAATAGTAAGTAGTCAAAGAATAACAAAAATAAAAAAAAATCTATACTTTTTTTTTAAAGAGATACTTAATAATGCGGACATTAAAGTTTAGAACATTACATAATGTCAAAGAAACGAAGAGAATGATAAAGAAAATATTTACGGAAGCATTAGAATCGGTATTTAAATCGTATTTAGAAATCACAGTGAAGGGAGATTTTGTTTCAATGTCAAATTTCCAAGGTAGATCAATTATGGCCTTTAATGTATATCTGATGTATCCTAATTTCGATTCAAAACTACTTGGCAATCTTGATGGTAAAATAAATTCAAATGGAAAAGAATGTATACCACGAGCCAATTCCACTTCATCTGTGAATTTATAAAGAAAATTTATTATTTACTCATTATTATATTCACACTAATTTTAAATAATATCAAATTAATATTTAAAATATTCAAATTTGATACAAATTTTTATATCATTTTTAATATTTTTTGTATCAAATTTGATACTTTTAAATTATTATTGCTTTCAAAAAATTATTTTAATTATTTTAACAATTATTTATTTTAAAAAGCCATTACAGCATTATTTATTAATAAATTAATACGTAATTAAAAAATTTTGTTTTGAAAAAAAAAAAAATTAACTTACCACTTTCACCACCAGTAAGATATTGTTTTATAGAAAAATATTCTTCGTGACCTGTATATCGCGTTTGTCCTTTACCCGCACTTGTATTCCAAGAAGTTTTTGCTTCACCTTTTCCTTTTATCTTTAATCCTTATTTAGAAACAAATAATAAATTAATAAAAATTATAAATAAATTAATATATATATATTGAAAATAAAAGATCATTGTCAGATATAGAAAATTTTAATAAGCAGATTATTACAGTTTTTTTTTTTTAGAAAAATACATTTTATGGTAAATACGACACTGGGTATATATATATATATATATATATATATATATATATATATATATATATATAAAATACAATGTTTAAAATATTGTAAATTTTTTAATTATATATCTACATATATAATTAAACCTATTGATAATGAAATAACACTTCCCGTTATCTGCAAAAAAATTTTTATTTCCTCGTAATATTAATAACAATAATTCTTTCTATTCTTATCTAATCATACAATATTAATCATATATATATATATATATATATATATATATATATATATATACACATTTTAAAGAAACATTCGTTATAATATTAACTCAAAAGTAAATGGAAAATATTTTATAAAGTTTTTATTTTAAATGTAGGAAATTATTTGTAACTAAAAATTGAAGTTCAATTAAAAAAAAAATATGCAAATTTTATTTGTTTATTTGAAAAATTATTATTTAATTATCTTAAGAACTTCAATAAAAAATTTCCTGAATTTTATTATTTTTTTAAAATGTCATAAAATATGAAATAAAAACTTTTTTTTATATTAAACTAACAAATGGGTTATTTATGTTATAAATTGAAAAATAAATATACTATTGGCTCAACAACATTTCTGACAAAGGTATAAAAATTATTGATTCAAAAGTATTTATAGAATTTGTAAAAATGTAGATTCTATAGCATATTGAATCATTTTTTTTTTACCTCTATCAAAAATGCTATTAATTCAATAGCATATTTTTCTCAGTATATATTTAGGATAGTTATAATAATAAAAATAATAATAATTTTATTATATTATGGAAAACTTTATTGGGTCACAAAAAAAATCGATTTACATTTACATTATTAAATCATATAATTATTATAGTAATTATATTAATATTTATATAATTATTAATTTCTTTTTATAAATTATTGATAGTTTTATCACTATATTTTACTATTTTATTTATGTACGAACCTCTACATTTTTTTGGCCAATCGAGAGTTAGAGAAATATGACCCCTGACAATTTCTGCAGGATAATAAGTTTTCACAGGATTTTCAAAAATAATATTAAAATTTTTTACTCCCATTGTAAAATATATTCAATAATATTTGGAATATAAAGAATTTTTAAATTAATTTATTATAATTTAAAAATTCAAAATTGTTTCATTTTTTTGTTTTTGTTTTTTTTTAAGTCACTTAATTATGTATTATAAATTTGAAGTATAAACATAATTATATATGTTAAATTACAATACGTAGCTAATACACAACATTACCGACCACATTGTCAGCACAGTACTGAAACTTCAAGTATACTGTATTGAATCGTTCGATGCCAAAACATAACTATATATATATGAGAGATTCTTTTTCAATCGCCCCAGCCCAAAAAGTCAATGTTCTGGGATTGGCTTCATACTTTGGTAAATTGTTGTCCTATATGATAGTAATAAATCCCTAAAATATAAACTCATTAAAAAAATATTTGTAGAAAGTAGAGGGGGTTGAAGTTTTGACGTTAAGGGTAACCTTGTCATTTTCAAATCCGTTTAACTATGACAAAAGTTAATGGATTTTAATTTATCTATAATGAATTTTATTGCATTTTTCACGTACTTTTCAAAAATGTATACGAAATTAAAAAAAAAAAATTTTAACCCCTTTTTTGTCAAAATCAACCCTTATTTTTCGATTTTCACCCCTTCGGGTATTTTTTTTTTTTTTTTTTTTATTTTCATTGGAAAGCTGAGGTTTTTTCCGATGAGCTATGTAAATATGAAAATGGGACAACAATAATTTTGTGAGAAACAGAATATTAAAGTAGGCGGTGCCGATAAGGGGTGTACCTGGAGATCATCTTTGAGGATTTAGATAGGCACCGCCTTATTTAATATTATGTTTCTCACAAAATTATTGTTGTCCCATTTTTATATTTACATAGCTCATGGGAAAAAACCTCAGCTTTCCAATGAAAATAAAAAAAAAACAAAAAAAAATTCCCGAAGGGGTGAAAATCGAAAAATAAGGGTTCATTTTGAAAAAAAGGGGTCAAAAATTTTTTTTTTTAAATTTTGTATACATTTTTGAAAAGTACGTGAAAAATGCAATAAAATTCATTATAGATAAATTAAAATCCATTAACTTTTGTCATAGTTAAACGGATTTGAAAATGACAAGGTTACCCTTAACGTCAAAACTTCAACCCCCTCTACTTTCTACAAATATTTTTTTAATGAGTTTATATTTTAGGGATTTATTACTATCATATAGGACAACAATTTACCAAAGTATGAAGCCAATCCCAGAACATTGACTTTTTGGGCTGGGGCGATTGAAAAAGAATCTCTCATATGAGTCATAGATTATTATAAGCTTGCTGGAAAATGAACATATATGTATGTATATAGATATAAGTATATGTTTCTATACACTACTTCGTGAAAGCAATTTTTATGCCTCTTCTCGGTAGTTTTCGGTTATTGACGAAAATATACGCACAAAGACGCAGATGTTTTGAAATGAATAATATTATGTAGAATGTATACGCATTTTAGAAATTAGGAATTATTTAAATTTTTTTTCGATTTTAAATGTCGTTTGGATGTTGAAAAAATTCGATTTGACAAAAAACTTCCCGAAGAAGTTGTGCAGAAGACCCCTCTGGATACCAGATTGACTGTTTTTGTCCTCTGGATGTTTTGAAAAAAGTCGATTTAATAAAAAAAAAAAAACTTCCCGAAGAGTTTGTTCAGAAGACCCCTGGACACCAGTTTAACTATTACACTAAGAAAAATATGCAATTGAATCAACAGCATTTCTGCTAAAGACATAAAAACTATTGATTCTGAAGCATATGCTATAGAATTTGTAAAATATTATATAGATTCTATATAGCATATGATTTTAAATCAATAATTTTTATGTCTTTGGCAGAAATGCTGTTTATTCAATAGCATATTTTTCTCAGTCTATTTATTTCATCAAAAAGCTCGATTTAACAAAAGATCACTTATCAAAGAAGTTGTCCGGAAAACCCTTGGATACCAAATTGTGTACTTTTGTCATCCGGATGTTCAAAAAGTTTATTTAACAAAAATTTCCCCAAAGAAATATTGTTCAAAAATCAAAATACAACTGGAAACCAGGTTGTCCTCCGGATTTAAAAGATACCTGACAATAATTAAACACTTCCTTTTCTCCTTGTTAATTGTCACTAGTAACTCGTAGTTGAAGAGTTCATGAAATTAAAATAATTTTAAGGTGCATTTTTATTTCTAGCCCTGCAGACTGCTTTACTTGGGGTTTTGTATACTTCAGAAATGATTACCTGGCTTAAAATGCAGGATAAGAAACGGACACAAACGTCAGATTACTTTTCGAATAAGATCGTACAAAATTCGGACAAAAAGTATTTAACTTTCGGACCCAGAAAATGAAAGCTAATTCAATTGAATTGAAATAAATACACTTTGGGCTTCATTGAATATTGCTTAGCAACAAATACGAATTGGACCTTGCCATAAAAAGATAATTCATTTCAATTCATCTGAATTAGATGTTTTTTAACGAACAGGATTCGTGTTAAACCGAAAAAATGTCGTGTTTTCAAATTAATTACAAAATCTCTTAACCAGATTAAAGACAGACAAAACCTTACAAGAAACGGACAAAATTTAAGACTATTTTATATACGGTTCTGTCTTAAATGTTATCCGACTTTTGTGTCCTGTTCTTATCCGACATTTTAAGCGCAGGGTTCAAAATAATAATTTAATGGGTACTTAAGTGCTTGTGTAATGTTTTATTAAATATCTTATACAATCAAAGTGAACCCTAAAAAATACAATTTAACAGAAAATTTTCGAGAGAGCAGTTATAGAACATTAATTACTTGATTCGCAATTGTTGGTATCTTCTCAGTGAAAGCAAACCAAAAAAGTACTATCATTCCTGAAAAGCAGAGAAATTATAAAAAAGATATTTTGGTGCATATTTTATTTTATTCATCACATGCTTTGAATCGTCTTCTTCCCAAAGATTTTCAACCACAAACATTGATTTCTCATAAACTGGCGTAACTAAAAAAAAATTAGTTTTGTAATTTTAAATTTTCCATTACGTGCGTCTTCTCGTACATATTCATTTTTATGTATACAATTGTTAGAAAATATATATATATGTAACTTACTTGTTAACAACGAAGGATTTACAAATGATAGATAATTCGCTAGAGGCACAGTTCCTATTACAATGGGAGTAGAAATTTTCAAATTTCTACTAAACCTAAAATTATTAAAAATTTTAAAAAATGTGTCAAAATATTTTTTCTTTTTTCTAATAATTAAACATACATTCTGTCAACTTCTGCTTCAAGTTCAATTGCATATTCAATGGAAATTATACTGCAAGTGTATCCAATATTTGAAGGTGGAATCGGTGGAATTCGAAATTCATGATTAAAACTAAACACAGCTTCATTATTTTTGGTCCTTTTCGTTTCGATAATTGTTATATTAACATTTTTCTTCAGTGATCGATAAGGATTTTCTACTTGTAAGTATCTGGCATACTACAATACAAATAATTTTTCATCAAACATTTGCTCAAAAATATAGTCAAAAATTTGCAGAAATTTAATTGCCTAAAGAACTACTACTAATGGAATTTGCTTTATCTGATAAAAAGAAAATTTTATTAACAAATATTCACCATTTCTAATTTCAGTTTTATATCATTAACTTCAACGCCTGATAGATTATTTACATTAACTGTGATAGGAATTATTTGACCTGGCACATATCCTCTAAATGGTAGTGACAAAGTAACACTCAGCGGTGGTGAATTTGAAAAAATTCCAAATTTTTTAGTTTCTTCCACGCAAACTTGTTCCTGAAAAAGTTTCCACATAAACTAAATTTTTAATTAAATTTCTACTAATTTAAAACTAAATTTAAATTAGATATATATATATATATATATATATATATATATATTACTGATGCAGTAGGATCAGCGTTAAGATCATATTTAGATATAACGGTAAAAGGAGCTTCTGTCTCATTGTCAAATTTCCATGGACGATCTATAATAGCTTTAATAATATATCGAATATGTCCTTCAGTATTCACCAATTTCAATTCATAACTAGTTGGTAATTTTGGTGGCAAAACATATTCAAATGGAAATGTATGTTCACCTGTATGTAGTTCCATTTCACCTAAAAGAAATAAATATTTAATATCAACATAATTGTTTGTTGAATACAATTTTTAAACAAAATTTTCGAATATAAGAAATTAAAAATGTAATATCGAAATTTTTACCTGATACTCCTCCAGCAATGTAAAATTTGGATGAAAAGTATTTTTCACGACCTCGAATTTGTTGGGTTCCATTGGCCGATGGTAGCATCCAACGTGTCAAAGCTTTTCCTTTTATTTTAATTTTAATACCTTAACAAATGTGTTGCATGAACAATGTTTAAATAACTTCAATAAATAAGATTAAATAAAGAATTAAAAACAATTATGTTCTGCATGCATAAGCTAACCCATTGCTATGATTTTGAAAATCAATTTATCAAACAATAATAAATTTCCTAATTTAAAGCACCATTGGTTTCAATCTCAGAAACGATTTTCTTTTGGAATTGAAAAAAATTGATTGACCAGCAGAATATTAACGAATCCTTTCAATGTAGTTTGAAACAATTTCGCCAACGAAAATCACAAATGAAATGAAATATCCAACAAGTAGAATGTGGAGCAAAAAAGGTAATAAAGAAAATTCTTCTAGGTTTAGCAAATTTACATCATCTCTTATAAAAATGACATCAAATGGTTTCATCCAATGTGATATTAGACCAAATTCTAAGAGATTTGTTATAATTTTATTAAAATCATTAACAAATGTTGATGCAGGTTCTAGAAGCATACTTTGGGGTAAATAAGAGAAAGCTTCATCAACTATTTTCATTTGTGGACTACCATCAGAATTTTTATACTTTTTAATGAACAACATTGCCATAGATTGTCTAAGGAAACAATAACATTTTTGTATTGAATTAAAATTTCCACACATTCCTCTTCTTTCATTAAAATCAATGTTTTCTTCACTAAATCTCTAATAATTTGTTCTTTACTCCTAGAAAATCCTAATGCATAACTTTGTCTCATCATTGGCGTAAGATTTGTTTCATTTAATTTTTTTAATGTATCTACAATTATCATTGGATCCATTGTCATTTTTACATCTGTTAGAATTGCAAAAATCGAAGATGAAAATATCATTACGGCAATCAACATTGATGTAAAGAAAATTTTTTCACCTATATTTCGAGGTTCTCCAGGTACAGTGAAACCAAGCGTTCCTCGTAGTATATAGTCAAAAGACCAAAATTGATCATCAAATTTGATAATCGATGTCACCATTTTTAGAATTAATATAAAAATTACAAAATAAATAAAAGACCATTGATAGCGTATGTTCCACTTTGATTTCTCGGATGTTGGTATCAAAGCACAGAATCGATCAAAATCAATGACTTTTGTTCTGGGAAATATTGATTTTTCAAGATAAGTTCCCCAATTTGTAATGTATCGAATTTTTTTGTTTAATAACTGTTCAATAAGACTTGTAACATTGTTATTGTTTTTTGATTTACTGATCCATCCAAACCATTCCTCTTGTGATGGAACTTCTACTATTTTAAAATGCATTTTTTTTGCAAATTCACGTATTATCTTTACAGTTGGTCCAGAAACTTGAATGGGATGTCCAGTAGAATTTCTTTTTACAAAAACAAATGGAGGCAAATTAAATGTTCCTATTTTCATTTCAAAATCATTCATATTTTGCAATTTATTGACAAAGATTTGTTGCTTTCTTTCGCTGTAATTTTTTACTTTATAAACATTAGTGAACGGATTGTACCAATGAATTTTGATATTTTCTGATCGATTTTGACTAATTTCAACAATTGTAAAATCTAAAAAATCATTTAACCACATTTGCTCTAGAAATTTTTTGTATCTAAATCTTTCAAATCCGGCTGAAATTATCGTTAAACATTTTGTACGCGATTCATATGCATGTAGAGGAATTAAAAATTTGTTTAATTCAAAAACTTTAGAAAAATTTCTTTTTTCAAGAAAGATAATTGTTAGAATTAATGTTGTTGACTGTAAATCTTTAAATTGTGTCTTTTGAGACATTTTCTTTGCATATTGTAATGTAGCATTTTTCAATCCAATTACATTATGTGGAACAAATTTCAGTTTTTCAACAACATTATCGATTATGTAATGTTTTGTTGTAACATTATTGTCATCATCAATAATTAAAAGTACCTGTGAAATTTTCGAATCTTTCTCTATGTACTTTGTCAAATGATTTAGCCAAAATAAATTTGTAGAACCATTTGGAAAAGAAGATGTCAAGATTATTAAAGAGAACACAAATGCCAAATTTTGTAGCATCATTCTATAAATTCACCTTTTTGGAAAAAAATTAAAATATATTTGCTCTCATTATTTTTAAAAATAATTCTAATCTCTTTTTCTATTGCACAAAATAAGGAAGCAAAATAATACACTTTGGTGAAATTCATTTAACAGAAGAACTATTTCTTTCAAGTTTTATAGAAGGAATAACTTGAAAGGTATTTTTTTTTTATTTCAAAGAAAGGAATTTAATGTAAGGAAAAAATGTTCTTGTTTTCTGATTATCTTCTTTAATTTAAAAAAAAGAATGTTTGCCATTTTATCAAAATATCTAAACTACTTTTTGTGTTGTAAAAAAATCGAAAATCCATGAACTTATAACCTTTTTTTTCATTTCTATGGTAGGGGGAGAAAAAATTAAATCGATATTGTTAAATTAAAATTGGTCTTTTGGAAAAAACTAGTTTTCCTGAAAAATGATATCTTTTATTATATTAAGTTAACAAATTTCGAAAAACGACACCGACCCCGTGACCTCGACACCGTCCTTGAAAAATCTATTTTCAATTATTTTCAAATAAATCAAAATACTTTGCATATATGCTTTTAAAAAATCTTACAAACTATTTTTATGTAACATCTTTTTTCAATTTTAAGATAAATTTTATACAATATTAATAAGATATTAATTTAAAACATAAATTATATATATAATATACATAAACTACAATAAGTAAACAACAATAAGTACAATTTTAACCGAGCGAGCGTTAGCGAGCGAGGAATACATCGCTAGTTTAAATTAATTCGAATCGGTTCCGCTATATTTATAATAATATAAAATAATAATTTCAAAAAATAATACTAATATTCTTCTAATATTTTTTACAGTATATAGTAATTGTAAATTCTTATTCTTCTTATTGCTGAGTAAATCTCTTTCCGAGAAGGGAATTAAGATTTTAGTTCACCGACGCTATCACTAGAGCGCGCGCTTTCAATTTAATATTCAAATCCAATGTGCTATTTTTTAAATATTATAAAATTAAATTCAAAAAGAGAAGTATTTCGTTAATTATTCAATAAGACAAATTTTTTTCAATGATTTACTGTTAATTATTGTATAAGCTTTACAGGAAGACCTAATATATTTTGTATTTAAAAAAAAGTATATTACATTTTTATCCTAAGTAGTTTTTCGTTATCAAGTTAGGAAATTTTTTTCTTTTATTGATTTTATTTCTTTATGTTTGTAAAAAATTGCTACAGCAACAATATATTATTAAAATAATATAGTTCAACCTTAAAAGATGGATTGATTTTCATTATATTTGTTTATTGAATGGTCTCTATAGTAACAATCGTAAAAATAATGGTTCGATATGAAAAAATCAATTAACACATATGGGCGATTCTATATATAACAAAATAATCAACCTTTTAAATTCGGCTAAATATATTTTTGTCCATCTTTACAGAAAAAATTTTTTAAAAAAATATCTCCGGATTTTTTTATACTAATCAGTAAAGCTATACCCAAGTGTTATGCTTCGATTGCAATCAAAAATATAAAAAAAATAGACACATATTTTTTATATCGGCAAAAAGTTCGATTTTAAGGGTATTTTTGGGTTCGCTGATTATGAATTTGAAATTAGATTTCAAAAATGCAAAATGGCGGATCCAATATGTCGACTAAAAAAAATTTTAATTTCATATCTGATTCGCTCAAAATTTATTAATCGAGGTGGTTTTAGGGACACTGAATCTAAATTTGATGCCAAATTTTAAATGTAACCAAATTCTGAGCGAATTTGATCAGATTTTAAATTTGTTATCACCATACTGTATTCGACATTTGGAATTTTTAAAATCTGATTTCAGAATGGTAATCAGCTACCTCAAAAATCCCTAAATATTAAATTTCAAGCGAATTTAATAATTTTTTTAAATTCATTTATTTCAACCCTTCTTTCAATAAAAATTATTTCTACTCTTAGAATGGAGTTACATGTTGATGTAAATGCAGAATGCAAAACCGAAAATAATGAGAGTGAAAAGGACAGGGATATATCACTATCCTTTTCACTTTCATTATTTTCGATTTGCATTCTGCATTTACATTAACATGTAAATCCAACTTTAGAATCAAAAATTTGCCGAGTATCACTTGAACAGTTTTTCTTGATATCTATAGTTTTTGATTCGCTGATTGCAAAAATCATAGTAAAAATACCTGCAAATTTAATTTTTTTTTATTCTAAATACCGTAAAAAAGTGCTAAAATTTATGGTTTTTTTGGGGAGGTGGGGTAAAATATGAAAAATTTTGAAAAAGTACATAGGATATAAAAAATGTATTTAAATGAGATCTACAACTTACTTCTAAAATTTTGTTTGAAAATTTTGCATACTTACATTTAAAGCCAATGAAAAGTTTTTTTTTTTTTAAATAAAAAGCACATGTGCGCAAGCTGCATTTATTTTTCCTGTGTTTTTACAACAGGATATGCGCAGAGATACAAAATGAGAATATCGGCGCCAGTTTGTCTGAACTAAACTTTAATATTTTTCGACATAGCTTTCTTTAAGATTTTTACATTAAAATTCTAAACAATATACAATTAATTATCTATTATTAAATAACATTAGTAAATAATTATTTATTGAACAAATAAAATTACTACACATTTACATAAAATACAAAATCGAACAATCAATTTTTAAAAGCAAAGTCAAGAAAAAGCCATAATTTATCACTGCTTTTAAACATCAATACAAATTTTGTTGTTCATACCTCGACATTTTTTACTTGAATTTAAATCTAATAGAATTCGTCCGCTTACAGTTTCCCCAGGAGTATAGGTTTTAACAGGATTATCAAAGAGAATTTTAAATTCTTTTATTCCCATTTTAATATATATAAAGAAGTGTATATAGGTAAATAAACAAAAATAATAATATTGCTCAGATTGTAAAATTAATGAATTGATTTTTATATTTGCAGAAATTTATATATATATAAAAAAATGATATTATTATATAACTGAGTTAATATTTTTCATACTGCATTCGGATCAAATAAAACTGCAAACTATCTATTGGTATTTTTACTTAAATTGTCGCATTAAAGTTCTGCGCATACTCTTAGTATATATTCTTCAATTTATTTTCATATGATGTCATCATATAGATAAAACGTTAATTGTTGACTTTTTTTTACAATATCTTTATATTCTAAAACAATTACATTCAATAAAATAAAAAATATATTTAAATAAGAGTTTTTGGAAATATTTATAGAAATATTTTTTAAGTATAAACATAAATTTAAAAATAAAACAAAAAATTTTTTTTTTAATATAATTAGGTAATTAATTAATTAATATTCCCTTCTTTGGTAAATGGTAAATAAATAAAAAAAATCCTTCTTTGGTAAATGGTAAATAAATAAAAAAATCTGCAATTTTTCTCAGCCTTTTTATATTTTTTTATTTAATGACTTATTAATAGTTCAATTACACTCTTATAATTTAGTTTGAAGAAAATTATTGTTATCATGAAAACAATATCTTTGGAAACACAACAACGTATATATTAAGCTTCATTATTTAATACAAAATTATTCTACGTCAAAAATGTTATCAAAAATTATTTTACATTTATATATCCAACAAATAGGAAAGAATTTTGTAAAAAGAACATACCAATAGTATAAACTATATATATATTTTTTTTTGTGTCAAAATATTTTTGAGCTTTTTCTTTTTGTGATAAAAGCCCCAAGGCAGTGACAGTTAAAGCATCTTTAAAGATTTTTTTTTGTATCTAATGTGTCAAAATATAATAATACACTTTCATTAATTTTTGTCCCTTATTTGAATATAATTATTAAATCCAGTACAATTTTATTTATGTAATAAAAGTCTTTTTTTTTGAATATTTATAATATATTTAAGAAATTTAATAAAATACTCAATTATCAAAAATAACAATTAATTTTGTTACCATATAAAAAATTATATACAATCGTATCAAAAAAACACATTAAATTTATTATTGTATAATAAATAGTAAATAAACTTTTAAATTTCTTTGTGCATTTTTCTTTTTGCATTTTAAGCTCTTTTAATTAAGCGTAAGCAATCAATTCTGTCATGTATTCATAATGAAAATTTATAACGAAAAAATTAATATCACTTTTATTGAATTGTTCTTAATTTCCATAGAAATTAATGATTTTATGATTAACTTTGAAATTATTAAGTTTGGGCAAAATTATAAACCGGATATCGAGGTGCAAAGTGATTTCTGGTACCCATAACATGTTCGGATTCATCGCGATCACGTAGACTTCGTGCTCCATTCATTGATTCTTCATAAGATGGTGGAGCTGAATAAAAAAGAAAAAAATATAATAATATACACTCTAAATTTTAAAAGTTACTGATGAAATAATGAAAACTCTACCACCAAATCATTCAGTAAAATTTCACTGATTAAAATTTAGAGTGTCAAAAAAAAAATCCACTTACGCAAATTGGGATAAAGATTTCCAATTGGTGAACTGTCGGGAACAGCGTACTCCGGAGCTAATTGTGGAGCTGACGGTGTAAAATCACCAGCAGCTGTTTTCTCTGGATTCCATCCATAAGAATTATCTTTTATTGGATATTCCGGTTTTGCAGGAGCCACTAAAGACTGATAATTCGCCAATGGAACAGTTCCAATAAAGACTAGAGTACTCTTTCTTAAGTTTTTGCGATACCTAATGTGAAAATGCCACATGAATTTTGTTGTCAATTATTAATAATTATTTAATTCGACATAAATTAAAAATAAGTTATAGAAATATATTAAATTTACCATCCATCGACGCAAGCTTCAAATTTCAATTCGTATTTAAGATCAATGATACCACAATTATTTAAATTTGAAGGTGGCAGTGCGGGAATATCCAAAGATTGTTCATAGCTAACGTTTCCATTACCGTCGACTGGACCTTTGCTTACTTCTGCTATTGTCATATATTCTGTTTTTGTATCCGTATGAGGAGTATTAACTCGATAAGTAACAACCTATGGAAACAAGTTAAATTAACATTAAAGTAGTACTATGCACTGAAAAAAAATTCCTAGGCAATTTAGCTAGGCGAGAAGAACCCACTAAAAATCAGTGTCACATTAATTAGGATTCCTAGTTATCGCAACAAATTCCTTGCCATAATAACTAGGAATTCTAGTTAATGTAACTCTGATTTTTAGTGGGTTCCTCTCGTGACTAGGAGCCTAGGCATTTTTTTCAGTGTGGGAAATTTACCATTGGCTAAACATTGGAAGCCAATGATTCGCAACAGTGTGGACATCCTAAAGTTTAGCCAATGATTCATCAAGCTTCATATTGGTAAATTTTTGCTTCTATATATCTAAGGAGGTCTCTCTTGCCCTGAATAATTTATGGCTTATTGTTAGAGATTTGGAGATGGAGGTTGCTCCTAATAAAACCTGTTGCATCTTCTCAAGATCTAGACTCTTTTTTGAGAACTGCGGGATACACATATAGGAAATACTCTTATCAGATGTGACACAGACTGCGGGATACCTGGGCCCATGTAGGACTATAATCCCGATGTTGAAGCAGTATCTACTTTTCAGCGAAACCACTACACGACATAGAGAAACGGCGGTGATTTAGCAAGCCTTTTCACTACCGATGAAGGGGAACGTTCATGGGAAAATTGCTGCTGTATGGCCTTAAGACCAAAGTGGTATTAAGAAGACCGAGCGCCCTTCCAGGAGGAAATGGTTAGTATTGTCGTCCTTCGCTCAGACAAGATTCAAGGATCTTGAGTAGGAAAAGAGTGGCAAAGTACCCAGCGAGGACCTCATGGAGGTTCCGTCTCCGAACTACGCTCCGCTTACATTGAAATATCTAGATATTATTCTTAAATAGAAAACTCACATAACTTTCCCATGTAAAGCAAATTACTAATCGAGACACTAGAGCCCTTGGTATCCTGAAGTTCTTTCTCTTATACACGGAAAAAATTTTGGGCGAATAAATGTTCCAATGAGACGAAAATGCACGAAGTGTAGCACGACTTTAATTTGGAAAAGCAATGTTTCTTGCTTGAGCAGGCTGACCGCCCGAAATGGTCGTTGCTGCAGTTCTAAAAATAAGTTGCCCAAAACTTGAGCCACCGAAGAAGAAATGCGTTGTAGAAAGCGTTTAGACCGAAATTTTTAAGTTTTTTGAGACGAAGATGTCCCAATTTGGAAACGAATGAAGTCCCTCTAAACGAACTCCTTTTTCCTCCTGACATTGAGGTCGTTAGAAAGTTTGGTAGCTATCTCTGTTCTGCTAAGTTGGTAATCCGATCTCTGACTTTGGCTTTTGTTATTCTTAAGCCCATTCATGTGGATATTCATCATGCCGATTAAATTATCCAGTATGAAGTTCCTTACACTATAGGCAGGACTTAAGTAATGGTAGAAGCTCTGGGTCTGTGACTACGTTCTCTCTACAGTGTGGCACCAATCAACTTCCTACAGAGAGGATTATTTCTATAAGAACAACAATGTATTTAACAAAGTTAAAATAAACTTTGCATTTCATCAAGAACATTCAGACTCAGAACACTGGTAGCCACGTTCTATAGAAGCCCGACAATCATTCAAGTAATTGCTATTTATTGCCATGTAGTAAAAGTGCAGCTGCACCAAAGGTGACCAAACTGTCCATCAACTGGACAAAGGACTATTTAAACTCATTCTCTCAAATTCAATCTCAAACTTAACATTACATTTAGAGGATTTTAATTATATTTATACCCAAGGGTTAGTTAAATTTTAATTAATTTTTTTAACTTTTTTGTATTTTCCCTTTTATTTAAGGCTGAAAAATAGTTTCTAAACAAAAATCTGAAATTGACCAAAAAAAAAATTATTTACAAGGAAAATGTGTGTACCTTCTGAAGTATCAGTTTTACAGTTGTTACTTCAACACCAGACTGATTTTCAACATTGACCTTAATTGGCATCGATTGTCCTGGAACATATCCTCGCACTGGAAGTGAAATGTTTACGGAAAGAGGCGCCGAAGCACAGCAAAGACAACAAAAAGTTTTTGTTTTTTCCTCCATAATTGGTTCCTGAGTGTAAAATAAAAAAAAAATTGTTAAAAAAAATACCTGGTAAAAATTTTATCAAGTAGAAATTTACCGTATTGTTTTATTTTTTTTTATTTCTATTTTAAATTTCAAAAATCACTTTGATTTTTCTCCGAATAATATTTTGATTTGTAATCTAAAAAAGTAAATATAATGTATATAGAAATTATGAAAATATTACCATTGCTCTGGATTCAGTGTTGAGATCGAAAGATGATACAACTGTGAAAGCATCTTTGGTTTCATGATCAAACTTCCAAGGTCGATCCAGAATGGCTTTTATTGTATATCTAACGTAACCCAAATCCGACTCAAAACTGCTGGGTATATTTGGTGGCAATGAACACATGAAGGGATAGAAATGTTCACCAGCTTTTAATTCAACTTCACCATCTGAAAAATAAAGATTTAATTTTAATTTTAGCTCAATTAAGGCTAATTACTGATGAAATCTATGAGCTCGGTTAGGAAAACAGACTCTCTTGGAATCAAAATTCAAGAGGAACTTTGCTGTCGATCTCCTAAAACTTAACAAGATATACCATCAGCACAAAATAGGTAGACAAGTTTCATCAAGATGCAGACTTTGTGATTATAATGAAGAATCATCGATTCAAATTCTACTTTCTAAATTTGAATTAATAACTATTCGCTGATTCCCAGCTGCATACTCTGGGATAATTAAAATAGCGACTATTCGCTAGTAATCAGCGAATTCAAATTTAGAGAGTATGTCACTGCCTTTGCAGCAATTAGACATCAATACTGGGCACAAGCGTTTATGGACCGAGAATGGATTCATAGTCTCTCAGTTATAGAGATTTTGGCCTTCTGAAAAAGGACGTACATCTGAGTAGGTTATTTTGCATCGAGCTTCCTAGAGATATAGGTAGGGGAAGTGCGCCGATTGTGGGCAGGTATTTTTTGACAGCAAGTACACTGAGAGAAGAAAAGCACAGAATCCGTACTGTGACGAACGCCGGCCGTGTAATAAGGGTGTCAGTATCAGTTCTTTAGTTCTGTTCAGTTGGTGTCGTTCATAGTTCAGATACTAAGCTCTAGCAGCGCGGCAGCGGTGTGAACTAAGTTATACGGAATCTGTCTCATAGCGACCGACAGATACTGTACTTCTGAACAGTTCATAACTGTGTACAGTATCTATACTCAAGCCAAGTACAACATTCATTTCACATTTTAGTACGGCGTCTATCACACAGTGACGCTGCTGCTGCGCTCAACTTGGTGTACAGATGCTGAACTTCTCTATTTCAGATTCCGTGCTTTTCTTCTCTCAGTGTAGATGTTGCTGATCTGAGTACGATCAAACGTGTATGTTAACAGTACACTGCTTTTCTGTTAATACCGAAACGACACGCGCATTTGATTTTTTACTTTTTTCCAAATGTTTTTTTAAAGATGAATTTTGTTTTTATAACTAAATAGTCCACTAAAATCTGCTCGACAAATCTGAAAGTTTAAATCTCTTTAATCTTCTATAGTTTGGTCTTTAGTTACACTGTGAAACGAAAAGTATTAATTTAATATCGACTTTAGGTACAAATTGTTATTTGGTTATTCTATTTTGATACCTAAAATCGGCACTATTTTATTACATTCTTTTTAAAGTGACTTATAACTCACAAAGCCAATAACCGAATTGTTCCATACAAGAATAAAATTTTATAATAGTGTATTCCCTAACTCACAAAGCCAACAATCAAAGTGTTTTATAAATCAAATTTTATATTAAGATGTTTTTCCTAAATCACAAAGCCAATAACGGAATTGTTCCATAAATGAAATTTTATAATAAGGGGGTTTTCCTGACTCATAAAGACAACAACCGAATTTTTCCATATAAATAAAAATTTATAATAAAATGTTTTTCCTAACTCACAAAAGCAACAACCGAATTGTTCCACAGAAATAATTTCGTAATGTGTTTTCCCAAATTCACGAAGCCAACAACCGAATTTTTCTATAAATAAAGTTTTATAATAAGGTGTTTTTTCTATCTCACAAAGCCTTAAAGACTTTTTCCAAGGAACAAAAATTAATTAATTTTTTTGCAGATTTTGATATAACAATGTGGAAATGAAACAAAATCATAAAAACCATGGGCGAAATCGATTGCCAAGGAAAAAACGATTAGACCGATAACGATTAAAAAAAATATTCCAAGGTTTCCAAGATTTCAGCAATGGTTTAAAAACCGTAAATTTAAAAAAAAAATTCCCATGGTTCAAAAGATTTTAGCAATGCAATGGTCAAAAATCCGTAAATTAAGAAAAATAATTTTCCCATGGTTCGCAAGATTTTAGCAATGGTCCAAAAACTGTAAATTTAAAAAATTAATTTTCCCATGGTTGGCAAGTTTTCAGCAATGGTCCAAAATCAGTACTCCCAATGATTGATCAGTGTGTCAGTAGTACAATTATATCTTCCTTGAGGATTTATGTTCCATAAATAAAATTTTGTAATGACGTGTTTTTCCTAACTCACAAAGTCAACAATCGAAATGTTGTATGAATAAAATTTTATAATAAATTGTTTTTGCAAAAAATTTGTAGCCTGAATATTTGAATGTTTTTTTAATTTTTCTTGGTAGGTTATAAGTTTTGGAGTTTCAATCCAAGTTGTTTCGTTCATTCCAGAAATGCTTTCTAGGTTAATCTTCTATTAAGGTGCATTCCAAGATGTTAAAACAATACCAGCCCCATGCAGAAGTTGATTATTTAGTTTTATTTGAAGACACGTGTTCTTCCGCGTATAGTGAATGTAAAATGAGAATAAACTTGGATTCATTAACAAAAATTCTCCATTTTTAAAACCTTTTTCCAAAAAATTTTATGTGTTCTTGTAATTTTGCTAATTCAGTATTTACAGAATCGTAAAGAAGGAAATAGTAAAATATTTGTTTACATTTAAAGGCAATTAATTGTAGATCAATCTAGTGAGCGATAAAGATCAGATTGAGTGTATATCTTTACAATCTTTATCATTTTCTATGATCTTGAAAATTTTTAAATCATCAGCATTCAATGAAAAATATCAACACTTAAAGAAGAAATATATCTATAATAAGAAAAGATGAGAACTAAAAGATAAAATAAATCAACATGTAACTCATATTACAATCTGTATATATAATTATTTATGTAATACAATGAATCATTAATTAGAAAAATAGAAATAAATATAATTATGCAATTCTCACCAGATGATTGTCCAACGACATTATATTTTATAGAAAAATATTCTTCGTGACCAGTAAGCAATTGTTGTTCATTTTCGTAACGACCTTCGTTATTCAATTGTTGTTTGTCCGCTGTCCAAGAAGTATTGGCCTCTCCTTTCATCTTTACACATATTCCTAATACATATATGTAAAACAAAATTAATTATTTATTTCTAAATTTTAATTAATAATAGAAATAAAAAAAATGGTTTTCTTTTTATTTGCACTTATTTATTGAAACTAAATTGGAAATTCAATTTTTGAAATATTATATCTATTTGAAAAAAGTGAAAGCATTGGGAAACTAATAAAATTTTATGATTTCTAGCTAAATCTAGAATAATTTTATTACCTTTTTGCTACCTACTTCCGACAATTTAGTATATGGAATTCGACAAATAGAAAACTACTCACGTCTATACCGTAGACAATAATGTATTTTTAGATTGTGAATTATTTTTACATATATTGTTTGTTCAATAATGTAATTTTTTTTAATCATTAATTGAAAATCATTTACTGAATAATTTATTAACTTTTAAATTTTAAATGCAATTATTGTCTTCTTTATCATCATTAGAATATTTGGTAATGACTATTTTTAATTATTATTATTTTCTGATAAATTGTACAAATTTGTTAAACAAACCAAAATTTTTCTAGTAAAAAAATCTTTGGTTACTTATTCACATATCTTCTAGTTAATATTACCAGAAATTAACCATAATTATTCAACTATAGAACTGTCCTCTCTAAATTTAAATTGGTGAAAAGTGAGCTACTAATTTTCATTAGTAAGAAGTTTTACTAATTTTTAGTAAAATATTACTTTTTGATTTACTAAAGTTTTAGTAAAAAATTAGTGAAAATTCTTACTAATTTAAATTAGTAGCTCATTTTTCACTAATTCAGATTTACAGAGTCTAGTTTTATTAACTAGTAACTTTAATTAGAATTTTTTTTTCAATGTTCATTTTCCTCGAAAATCTTATATATTTTTGATAAAGAAAGGCAATTAATAAATTAAATTAATAAAATTAAGAAATATTTTCTTTCTCTAAATCTGAATTAGTAAAAATGTTTACTAATTTAAATTAATGACTCGCACTATTTGCTTTAGAATTAGTTAGTATTTTACTAATTGTTAGTAAAAGTTGCTAATAATTAGTAAAATTTTACTAATTCAGAAGCAAAAATTGCGTCACTAATTCAAATTAGTAAACATTTTTACTAATTCAGATTTAGAGAGTAAATAGCATGAATTTTTAAACTCGAATTTAATCATTTAATTTTAAATGTCGAATAAAATATATATATATATATATATATTTTTTTTTAATAAAAACATAATATTAAGAATAGAATATGAGAATTATTATACTATAATTAAATAAAATATAGTAAACAAATATATCAATACAAACCACGAATTTTTTTCGGTGAATCTAAAACTAATAGAATTCGTCCCGTGACATTTTGTCCAGGATAATAAGTTTTCCAGGGATTATCGAAGAGAATTTTAAAATCTTTTAATCCCATATTTTTTTGAAATATCACTCAACCGGTTTTATAAATTATTATCGGTGTCTTTCTATACAATCATAACACACACACTATATATACACCGAATGTTGAAAAACATAAATTCGTATATACTATTTTTTAAAAATATATAAATTTTTAAATTACTATATCTCGCCGAGCACTGAAGTTACATTTTTTTAAAAAATGGAATCATATGTGCTTATTTTTTTTTTAAATAAATTATAACTAAATAAATTGTTAGAGGTAAAAATTTTAGTATTTTACTATATCAATAGTGGGTATATGTGTAACTATGCAGCTCGGAGTTAGTCGTATAAGCAAACTTGGGTGAGGGTCTTTTCTCTTTTTCTGCGCATACTCTACACCATGACGTCAGTCAACCTAGTGATAAATAAAATGTATTCCCACTTAGATGCAGGAGAAAGAAGATGAGAGACAAATGTGATGTGTTATGAAATTGACGTCACTGACCGCTCTCGACAATTCCAAAAATTTTTGCATTTCATTTTTTTTTTTTTTTCATCTATTGATATAAATAAATGCGAAATTTTTTTAATTATTTGTATTTTTTATTTAAAAAATAATTATTATTTCTATTTTTAAAAATTATTCTTAAAAAAATGCCCAAATTTTAAAGAAATTAAAATTTATAATTATTATTATTATTGTTGTGTTGGTAATTTTCATGGGTTTTAAGATCCAAATAATTAAATCAAATAATTATTGTTCAAACGTTTCAATCCATATATGTGGATCTTCATCAGTGAAATTTTTATTATCTAAACAGAATAATATAAAAATTTCACTGATGAAGATCTACATATATGAATTGAAACGTTTGAACAATAATTATTTGATTTAATTATTTGGATCCTAAAGCCCATGAAAATCACCAACACAATATTATTATTGTTGTTATTATTTTTATTATTATTATTATTATTATTATTATTATTATTATTATAAGTAATAAAAAAAGATTAGAAAAAAATAATAAAATTGTTATCTATTTATAAAAAAAGAACATTTAGCGATAAAAAGAAAACTTTTTTCATCTGCTTTTTTAACTTAATATTCTCTTCCAATCAATTTGTCACAGATTATTAAAAGAATATTAAATTAGTGCGAGTATGATTTAATGAACATTAAATTTCTCTTTAAATTGAAATCCAATATTGATGTGCAACTTGGAAGAAAAAATTTTTTTCTCTTCAATAAATATTATATACTAAAAAAATCAAAATGATTTCTAATTAAATTACATACAAATATAAAATAGCTAAATCGATTTCAATTTTGATTTGAAATTACTATATTAGACTGAAAAAAAAAATAATTTTAAGACTTTTTTTTTAACAAACAAAATTTTTCTACTAATCCAATCTTTTTGGGGATTAAAATCGGTTTACATTTTAAAAACTACTTGTGAATTGAGAAAAAATTCTATATATGTTTTTAGATGCTTGACCCCAGACAAAGCGTTTATGAAAAAATTTTGTAGAAAAAATAAAATTCGTTTCAAAAACCATAGGTATACTTTTTAGAGAAATTATTTAACTCAAACATTCCTTGGGGGTGAAAATTTAGTTCTCTCATGTATCATATTTTTTTTTTAACGAGCAATTTTCTAAAAAAAAAAAAAAAAAAACTGTCATATAAGTGACATTGCGTCTCAAAGAGTATATCTTTTTCTTGATGGAAAGCTCACGCGCGCAAGCTCAGACGGCCTATTGATCCGTTTTTCCAACATTCTATATGATCTTGTGCCAGTGCAAGGTGTACGCTCTAAAAATCAAGTCTTGTGTTTCTGGAAAAAAATAAAAATTGAATTAAAAAAAACCAAATTTTTAAGGATAAAGTGTCTCCTAAAAAGTGTGAGGAACGACGATGGGGGGTTTTGACGGTGGGTTTTTTGATGACGGCCCAAGCATCAAACCTGTCGAGCCCGGTGAGTCTATTTATGATGATACTGATAAAATATTACAATACCAACCGGTTGATGATAAACCATGACATAAAACATGGCAAATATAAGAATCGAAACAAAAATAAGTGGCACATCGATCTCTCAATATGACAAAAAAAAAAAGAACTGGCATATTTTCTTGGTACAAATTACTTTCGCTTTATTTTTCAAAAAAAAAATCATCTTTAAACTCAATTGGAAAAAAAAATCAAAGAGTCTGCGTGGGATATATATTGTACCCGCAAATTCCCTGGATGAGTCATTTATTGAAAGGGGAGAATTTTTTTTTTGCAACTGTATAATAATTTTTGAGACTACGTAATAGGAAATGAATTTTTAAAATGAATTTTTTTGGGTGATTTTGTATATTTTATGGGATTATTTCTTATTGAAGGCAATAACACATGGAAAACTTCAAGACGTCGCCATTACAATATTATATATATACCCACCCTTTGATGCATATGTCAAAGGTGCATGTCACTCAACTTTTCATTGAATATCACACGAGAGTTGTATTATTTTTCTGAAATTCAATTTTAAAAATGAGAAAATAATTTTTATTCAAAAATAAAATGATTTTAAAGCATGAATTATAATTTTTTTTTTTATTAAATATCTCTATTGCACTTTTCAGCGAAAGATATTTTTAAAATTAATTAAAATTTAATAAGGGACTGAAATTCCAATACAGTTCAAAAATGCTCAATTTTTTGTTATTTTTTTTAACTTCAACAATAAATTTTGGCTCAAATATCTAAAAAACAAAGTTTATGATACACAAACATATTTTTTTAAGCCTTCTAAATATTTAATCCAGTGAGCAAAAAACCATGTTCGTTCCAAAAATATTTTTAGAATGTTTCATGCCAGCCAAAAAATGTTCTAGAACATTATTTAAATATCCATGTTCTTAAAATGTTTTAGAACATTATTTGACGGACATGAAACGTTTTATGAACGTTTTTAGCGAACGAACATGGAGTTTTGCCCACTGGGAAGGCAGTAAAATTACAATACAGTTCGAAAATTACCAATTTTTAAACTCTAACACAAAATTTTGGCTTTAAATTTTAAGGCAATAAAATTCCAATAATTTTGATTAAAAATTTTTTTCTGCTTGTGGCTTTAATGCCTAATAATAAATTGTGCATAATAAACCCAATTAGAACAGAATATATAAAAAAAAAAAATTTACCAGTTATTTGCAGTTTTTATCTCTTTTAAAGAATACTAAATTCAGATTCTTCTGAGCATACTCGGAATTTGGCAGAGATTTTACTAATTTCAATTTTCCGTAAAGAATTTAGAAATCTTCTATTCGATGAAAATTAATGAAATTTCTGACAATTTTCAAAAATACTCAGAATTTGTGAGAAATACAAGTGCGCTTTATGAAAAGAAAAATTCATTAAAAAAAAATTATTACAGTCTCAACAGCGGCACTCATTGGAGCATGCCTCGGTACATCGGCCGTCGTCTGTGCCGTAGTAATGACCTGGTGGCTCTGCCGACGACGTAGAGAACATACAAAATTAAATTCCGACAAGTCCCTTGCATTTAGACCACCACATCGGAAACCAACAGCTGTTAAGAGTCCAGGAAGTACAACTCATTATCTAAAGAAAAGTCCAAGTCCCACTGGCCCGTCAAAGAGTCCTCCCGGTTCAGGTGGTCAAACACCGAGTCCTCCAGGTTCTCAGCATTCTCAATCCAATGGTCATGGACCACAAGTTCATTCACCTCAAGACTCGAGATCACCAATTCAAACGCCATCTGGTGAAACGACAATGGCCATTGAAAATGAAAGGGACAAGGCTGAATTGGAGAATAGCGAGAAGGTTGATCGAGGAAATGGAAATTTCCCCGATATTGGAAAGGATGGTCTTGGACAATTGGTTTTTAAATTACGTTATCTCAGCGAACAAAATGCACTTGCCGTCACTGTTGTCAAGTGCAAAGGTTTACCGGCAAGAGGTCAACATAGTGGTAGCAGTGATCCTTATGTGAAACTTCAACTTCTACCGGACAAGCAACATAGAACCAAAACACGAGTCTTGAGAAATACCCGGGATCCAGTTTATGATGAGGATTTCACATTCTTTGGAATCTCAAAGAGTCAGCTCCAGGTATTAATTTAAAAGAAAATTTTTCTTAAAGATATTACTTTTAAAGCCAAACTATAATAAAATATTTTGCAGAAAATTAGTCTCCACTTTGTCATCATGAGCTTTGATAGATACTCACGAGATGATGTGATTGGCGAGGTAATTTGTCCTTTGCTATCGGTGAGCGATTTGGAAGAAGCGATGAATCGACAAATATCTTTGTGTCGGGAAATTTGCCCTCGAAGTTTGAAGGTAATTGAAACTCTAAATAAAAACACGAATTTTAGTATCTTGGGTTAAAATTAATGGAATTGAATATAGTAATATCGTTATTGATGTTTCCGACATTAGAGCTCTTCCCGAACCTAAATTTTAACTAAACTTTATTTACGCCAACGAAACATTGTTTTATTCTAATTTATGTATTGAACTGAAAAAATTAGGTTACGCTTTTTAAATAATTCGAGCGAAAGTTATTAACGGTTCGACAAAAAAAATTTACTAGTCACAACCCAAAACGGTTTAGTTGCTTTTATATCAAATAGAATGTTTTGAAAGGACAGCGGGAAATTGCGTTACAATGTAGAAAATCTTTTTTCGAAAAAGAAGTGAGACGGTATCTGGCCTGGTCTATCGGCTTGCGAACGGTATGACTCCTGTGGACAATAATCCTCGTTCAACTTATTTCTTTTCTTCAGAAATTCGCAAATTGATTATTCGTGTCTCTTACTGTATATATCGTCGTTCAAACATTCGTTCAACATAGTCATCGTTCTACAACACTGACTATCAGTTTGTAAATTAAAGTGATCGTTTTCCAATAGTAAGGATAGGACACCACGAACACCCTCGATTGAGGGCGGGACTTTTCCAATCCCTAGGAACTAGGCAGGTTGTGGGGAACTTCGCGACATTTTGATTTTAATTAATATTTTAGAGGATAAGGGTTTAGCTCATGAAAATCGACACAATGTATTTGAACGAAGACTCCTGAAATCCATGTGATTTAAAAAGAGATTCGACCAGCGGCGAAATCCATTGAGCAGTTGCGAATAAGAATATTGATTGATCGTACTTACCGATTCGCAGATCGCTGTTTCGCTGGTGATTCCTTTATCATTAATCCATATTAATGAAGGCGCAGAAATTAATAAAAAAAACAAACGCTTCTCTCTGATTTTTAAAATCAAGCGCAATCATAATCGCAATCTTTAAGACCCTTCGTGTGGGGTCCGATAACACCCGAATATTTAATTAGTTCAACGACCAATAGTCGCGGTAGCTATCAGGCTAGTGCCTGGCGCGATGAGTTCTGAAATGGGAAAAACCACCAGGAACAGCATATTTATCATAAAAAAAAGAAAACGATTTCGATCGTTACAAGATTCTTGCTCTAGTTGTTATGCCGCAACTCACATGTCGACAGTTTTAAAGAAATCTGATCAGTTTCTTCTCTAATATCTCGCTTTAAGCGATGTGAGTTTTTAACCACTGCCCCACGAGTCCAATACCAGATGACCAGAACAAGGAGCGATGTATTTGCCAGAGCAAACACAAGTCCAAGTGGGCACCCGATCCCCGTGGTACCATTAGACTCTGGTACGAGTACCAGTTTGAGGATTTTATTCAAGCCTCGAGCCTGGCCTTATTAGTTGCCTTTTAGCATGAGTAATGGTGCAACTGGTGGTTTAAAAAGTAATTTTTTAGATTCGCGTCTTGTATTGCTTTTCCCAAGAAGCAGAAGTTTAGTAGGTACAGGAAAAAAATAGTTGAACCGTAAAAGACAGTGTAATGGAAAATTAGAACAGACTACAAAGTACGCTGAACGTAGGTTTAAAGACGCATATAGCATTAAAAAGCACTGATGATGCTAATGCTTTAAGTTGACACAGTAATTAACGATCATAGTATAAAAGCTTCTACTAATATTCAAATGTCTGCCTCACCTTACACTAGAACAGTAATAAAAGCTTCGACTGTAACGTCAAAGAAAAGCAGGTAGGTGATAGTTTTAAGACTCAATAGCCAGAGAATAAAGCAAGCAGTTATAGTCTCCGACCAAGAACAAGCGGACAGATTGGAAAATTTGATTTTATATGCTGCCCGATGAGGAAAAGTACTGTTTGTACCATATTTGGTATGTAGCCCCAAAAGAAGAGATTTAAGACAGCAAACCCTACCGAAAATTCCTGTACAAGATCTTTTACAAAAAAATGTATAAGTCATCAACTTGTACCAGTTCTGGTACAGAAAATCTACAAATTTGGAACAAGTCCTTGTATGCCGAAATTGTACATTTTATTGACCAGAACTTCAGCTGCTGATGACTTGTACATTTTCTCGTAAAATCTACAGGTATTTTCATCAAGGAACAAAAGCCGACCATAAATTGATAGATTACAAGAAGAGCCCAAACTGTTTCTTATGTAGAGAAAAAATTGTACGGAAAGGAGAATTCCAACTGCATTACAGGCAGTGCAGGATACGGAGACTTTAGGTCAAATTTAGAGGAAGCAAATAAAACTTTCGCAAATACCCTAAAGAAATAGGTCAAGCAACAAGAACGGTATTGAAGAATCGTGTAAGGGAAAAAACCTCATCTACAAAGCCTGAGGATCTGTATAGGTGATCCAAAAATTTCATAAAATCTTCCCTAACAGTATTTGAATATTCAGGATATCCTACGAAATTTTTAGTGATTCCGGGGAAATCGGTGTCGATGTCTGCCGACAAAAATTAAATAGAATGGATTTTCTAGTACAGTAACGGTGATTACAGAAATAATCCGTTCAGTCCCATAGAATCCATATTGAATCTTTATGAAATGATTTTTTTAACTTTTCTTATTGTAAACAAAAACACAGTAACACTGTATTTAGTAACGCTTTTCCCACACTGCACCTAAATTTGCAGCAATATTGGCAACATTCCTACACTGAAGAAGTCTTGGGCATTTAGAATTCCCAACACATGTATGAGAAGCACCAAATAAAGAGATTCTGCACAACTTCATTGTGGGGCTAACTGTTTCCCATCTTGGGTGCTCTGAGTGCCTAAGTCTGATGCTGCAGCATCACCAAATCTTGGTAACAATAACGTGGAACATCTGCTCGCCCAAACATTTAGCATAGAGGTTGCTCAAAATCATGCTCCAGATACTCCAAAGCAAAGAGTTACTGCATTTCCACTGTTGGAACTGCTGATCGCTTAAGACTTTTTCAGTGTAGTGGGTAAAAAACCATGTTTGTTCCAAAAAAACATTCTTAATCGTTGCGTGCCTAAGCTGGGTCCCTCGGACCCAGACAACTTTTTTTTCATGTTCTTCAACATATTCGCTTGAAAATTGTTACTCGGAGGTTTTCGGGGTCGCTGATTACGAATCCGGTGTCCGTTTTTCAAAATTCAAAATGGCGGATCCAATATGGCGGAAGAATTTTAAAAAAATCGGTCGGTATCGATTGAAAATCGTTACTCGGGGGTTTTTGGGGTCGCTGATTACAAATCTGATGTTTCTTTTTCAAAATTCAAAATGGCGGAACCAATATGGTGGATATATTTTTTTAAATTTGACTATTTTGCTTTGAAACTTGTTATTCAGAGGTTTTCATGGTCGCTGATTACGAATCTGATATTAGTAAATTGTATTGATGTTAAAATCTAACACAATGCAAAAATTAGAAATTAAAATCATCCGAAAAGTGGAAATTTTGACTTTAACAAATTAAAAAACATTATTCCAGATACAATCTCAGGGCAGGGGAGAATTATTGGTGTCATTGTGTTGGCAACCAGCGGCAAGTAAATTAACAGTTGTTGTTTTGAAAGCTCGCAATTTACCAAAAATGGATGTCACTGGATTGGCTGATCCTTATGTGAAAATTTATCTTCTCTACAATTCACAGCGCATCGCCAAGAGAAAGACTCATGTGAAAAAACGCACTTTGGATCCAATTTTCAATGAATCCTTTGTTTTTGAAATACCAAATGGCACCGAGGGACTCAGCAAGACAAGTCTTGAATTTGCTCTTCTTGATTGGGACCGTGTTACAAAGAATGAGGTGAAAAAAAAAAATTTCTTTATTTTACATTAATTTTAAAAATACTTTTTTTCTATGAGGAAACTAATAAAAAAAAGGGAATTTTTCATAAATAGTATTTTTACAAATCATCATTATTCCACAGGTCATTGGAAGATTGGATGTCGGTGGTCCAAAATGTCAAGGATCGGCTCTCAATCATTGGAATGAAGTTTGTACATCGCCAAAACGTCAAATTGCTGATTGGCACAAGTTGAGGGAATAAAAAAACAAAAAAAAAAAAAAAAAGAAATTTCACAGTTATTCTCTATCAGTTTCGTAAAAAAAAAAAATCACATCAGCGCCCAAAACATTTCTCCATATCTAAAAGAAAACCCGTGAAAACAATGGTGATTTCATCTCTTGGAGAGCACAGATAAAAAAAAAAAAGGTGTCTTATTTTATAAACCTATACTATACTCGTTGTGTAAACCGATATTAAGGCTTCAAGATCTGTGCAGCTTCCGATTGTATAATAGATATTATATCATATATATATACTGAAAGCTAAGGTCGATCGAAGAATAACAAAAAATTATGAAGGTTAATAGAGAAAAGCGTCGACTTCCAAGAAAATGCCTAACACATTGAAAGGTTACGACGTCACAAATATTTCTATAGAAATAAATAAGAAAAATATATCCATCTCTTGAGATTTGAAAGGATTCACGACCATCAGGAAGCGCAATCATTTTTGAAAAAAAAAAAATTAAAATAAAATTTGTCTCGAATTTTCATAAGTTGTTCCATTATTGAAGAAAATTATTTCGATTATATGCAATTATTAATTATTTAATTATTATTATTATTATTATTATTATTATTATTATTATTAAACTAAAAAAATAGTTTATTTATATTTTATATATTCTTACTGTTATAAATTATTATTGTTTTGTTTTTATTTTCTATTCCTGAGAATTTTAATAATATTTATTAAATAAATTATTTTAATTTGTAAATAGGTATAATTTATTAATTTTCAAATAATAATTTTCTTCACTGATGAAATAACTTCTATTGGTGTCTTGTCAAAGGGGAGTTTCAATGATGATATTAATAATAATGCGAAACTCCCTTTAATTCCACTAGTCATTGGAATAATGTTGTAAGAGATATTTAAAACTTTTATCACTCGCTGTTTAAAAAAATAATAATATATATATAGTAATCAATGTGACGCAAAAAAAAAAAAAAAAAATTCTAAATGCAAATTGGAAAAATTATTTCCAAGAGTGTTACTTCATTACTATATATATAATTAAATAATCAGCAGAGATTACTTTCTCCTTAGTGAGAATCAATTCTCTTTCCCCTGTTAGTGAAAATAAAATTTTAAGATGAGACGAATTTTCAATTTAAGCTTAAGATGATAAAAATCGTTTATAAACAAGACGATTATCAATAATGGAGAAATTTTTAACGGTGAAGAATAAAAATAAATATCAATGGCCAATATTATCACTATTTTAAAATTGTATAATTTTTTTTGTATTTTTATTATCTCGATTAGTTTTTTTTTAATTTACTCATTTAATAATTAATTTGAAAAAAATATTTAAAATAAATTCATTTAAATATAAAAAAAAAATTGTCTCATCAAATGAGAATTTTTTTTTATATTTACTTCTCAATATGGAAAATAATTTTAAAGTGATAAAATATTGAAGGTGAATATTTCTTCTGAATGCAAAATTTGAGAGATGAAAATTTTCGAAAGGTTGAAACTTTCCTTTCTTGAATAATATATAGGCAACCATTTCTGTAAATATGTAAGTGATATTGAAAATTATTTATTTGTTAATTTATTTTCTAACATATATATATAAATATATATTTATTGACACTGTTTTCTAATCTTAAATAGAAAAATAAGTTTTTTTTTAAGTCCATTTTATCTATATTTTTCACTCTTTCGATTTTTTTTTTTTTTTTTTTTGTAAATCTCTAGAATACATTTATCGCAAGGATCAAAATATTTTAATGAGTAAAATTTCTGAAAAGTTTTTCTAACACAAATGAAATATTTGAAAATTATTTTATGGAAAAATATGAAAATTTTCATTTTTTTTTTTTTTTTGTTCTCACACGAATGTCAATTTTCATAGCAACGCATCTTACGAAATAAACACTCTTGTGTATTTTTTATATAGTCAATTGTTTGCAGTTTATTGCAGAAAAATGAGATTTACGCTACCAGGAAGAAATAATTTTTTCTTTTATTTAATTTCGCATATATTTGAGAAAAAAAGAAAGTTGGTAAATAAGTGTACAGAAGCTAAATTAATTTAGCACTATTTTCCAATTTAATTGAAATTTAAGAACTATAATAATTATTTTTTTTTGCTTTAAGTGGTAATTAAATATAATATTGGTAAATAATTAATATATATGAAGAGAAGAATAGATTTTCTATTGGAGAGGGACGAGTCACTCTAGTCATTGTATTGGTAAGAAAATAAAAAGTACCTTTGAGGGTAACAAAGCTGAAAGTATAAGTCGAATGTTTAAATGTAAATCATAAAAAGACTCAATGGATTTTATCGAATAAACGATTAAAGAAAACAAAATACTGAATTATATCAATAGACATAATTAAAAGAAAAAGAAAAAAAAAAAACTTAATGAAGTGCAAAAAATGTATTGTAATCAAGATTTACCTACTTAATTAATTGCTAATAATGAAAAAAAAAAACAATTACAAGGTACGACTGTAACAAGTAGAAATAATTACTTTAGATAAAAATTGTGCTTCATCTTTTTTGCTTTTACAGAGTTTGAGATAATATAATAGTAATTATAAAGATTTTCAATGAAAAATTCTGCAAAATAACGAAAAAAAATCTCACTCTGCAAAATCACAAAATAATTCAGCTGTATCACTCAATGATTTTTGAAATAGAATTTTTAGGAAACATCAAAACCATTTAGACTATTTTATTTCACTGATTTCAACTTTTTCTCAAAACAAAAGAATAAGTGATTTTTTGCATATTATTAAATAATAAAAATTCTTAATCTGATTGAAAAAAAAAATCATAAAATTCTATAAAGTATATTCTTTCAATCTGAATGGTTTGATGAATTGCTTCCTAAAATTCTTCAACACACACAGAAATCAATGCGAACTGTAAAACTGTGTGAACAGATTTTAAGGCTGTGCGGTCAATAAAGAATTTAAAAATATGTCGTTTTTTTTTTCTTTAACAATCCTTCATCATTTTTCTCCTGATTATTTTTTAAAAAACTATCTACTGTTAAATTTCGATTAACTTTTTTTGTTTTTGGCACAACGTTAGGAGCGTATGATTATTCCATAAAAATGATTTTTCACATAAATTTTTATTTTACAAAATAACATTTAATACAGAATTTTTTTTTAAACGTATGTTTACTCAACGGAATTTTTAAAGTGCCAAATTTTAATTTGACAGAATTTTTCTTTACCCAACTGTTTCTTGAAAAGAATTCTAATTTAATTTTATTTTTAATTTATTAGAATTCTCATTCAGTAGAATTTTAAGTAATTCAAATTTTTAAATCCTAGAACTTGGTATCAGAAGCTTATATATAAAATATTTGGCATTTTAAAATAACAATTTTAATTAAAAATCTTCGAAAAATTCAATTATTTCTAAAAATCTTAATCCAAAATTCAATTATTTTTAAAATTTGTATCTAAAATTCTTTGCGAAATTAATAATTTCAATCCAATTATTCAAAAATTAAATTAAATAAAAACATTTTTTAATTAAAAATTCTCTAAAATTCAATTACTGTTTGAAACTTTGTTAATAATTTTCATCAATTCTAATTTACTAAAATTTTAATTCAAAATCTCCTGAAATTCAATTATTATTAAAAATTTTGATTCTAATTTTTTGTTGAAATAATTATTTCTAATAGTTTTAATCAATATCTTGGCATTTAAATAATTTAAAACATTTTTTCAATTCAAAATACTCTAAACTTCAATTATTGTCTGAATTTCGGTTAAATTAGAATTATTAAAAAAAAAAAAAAAAAACAGTTCGGTAAAGAGAAATTTTGTAAAATAAATTTTTTTTCAAAACAAAATTGCCAAATTAAAAATTCTATTGAGTAAAAGTTCGTTTAAAAAGAAATTATCTTAAATGCTATTTTGAAAAATGAAAATTCGTGTAAAAAATAATTACATATTATAAAGCAGTAGTTCACGCGTTCAATAATAAATCATCAACTTGGCGAGCTTTTCGGAATCAAAAAAATTCGCTAAAATTTAAAATTCTTGAATTCTGTCATTTTTTAAATTATTTTTTTGAAAAAAGTAGCATTTAGTGGTTTTTGGCCAAAATTAGTAGTAAAAAAGTAGTCTTGTTTAAAAAAAGTATCAAAAAAAGTAAAAAAGTGTGTCACTTCGAAGCCTGTATTATTTTAGTTTTTTTTTTTTTTTTTTTTTTTAATTTTGTGATCCTGTGATATTTTCAGAATTCCAAAATTTGTTTCAACAATGGTTTCAATAATAACATAAACAGTATAAATATGAAGTAGAAAAATATTTTTTATTTAAATTTTATCATTTTTCTTTACAAATTTTTGGCGAAATATATATATGTATATGTATATAACAAAATTTTCACAAGGAATGCTGCGTTGCAACAGTTAGATTATATCATTAATAAACACTTTCTTTGTTATAAACTATTGTTAAACATAGAAATCAGAAAATACAATAAACGTTAAAAAAAATTATCATTATTCACCCAACTATACAATAAATATTAATATGAAGATTTTTTAAATAACTTCACATGACGCTCAAATATTGTTATAAACTGATTCTTTCAAACCATTCATAAATAAATTCATAAATCATTCACACTGTTTTTTTTTCAATGTTAAAAATATTTTTAAAAAATTTACAAAAATTAAAAAATATTAAAAACATTAATTACGACAAAAAATATTTTAAAAAGCATCGATTATTCAAAGAAAGTAAGTTAATAAGGAAGAATCGGACAAAAAATTGACAAAAAAAATTTTTTTAAACAAAAATATTAAAATAAAACTCACTTTTTAAATCCGATTTTTTTCTAAAGTTTTCATTAATGAAAATCTGGCACATGTTTTTTTTTACAATTATTAATGCAGATTTCAAATTTTAAGCGTATAATATTATTTTTCAACCTGCAAGCAAGTTGATGAATCTTTGTATTAAAGTTTAAAAGCTTTTTTGTAGTTATCAGCCTTTAAAATTAGACATATATATATACTTAATGTAGTACATATATTTCTAGATACTATAGTAAAATTTTTCAATTATATCAGTTAAAAAAATAAAATGTATAAAATATTATATTTAAACATGTTTTTTCGAAAAAAAGAAAAACATAAAAATTATTATACACGAGAAATGAAAATTTTTCATTCAAAAGCAACGTGTTGAAATATAAATGTTTATATATGTATAAATAACGAGTTTTAACTCAAGAATATAACAGACAAATTTTTTTTCTTTTTCACAACAAAAGACAAAGGTACATAAGAAGTGGCATAACCAAATTATCAACTTGCTCGGTTTTTGTCTCTACAATAGAAACTCCAATCACAGCAAATGTACTTCTAAGCAAATGTCTGTTATCTTCAATTAAACCTAAAAATAAATTATTATTTCATAATTATAAAATATTTAAAGCTCTAATTTTTTTGGTTATTTAGCTCAACTTTTGCTTTTTTCGAAATTTCAATTGAAAAATTGTATCTAAATTTGGAAATTTTATTGTTTAGATAGAAAAAAAAAAAAATATCGATTGTTAATATTTTGAATAAAATTTAAAATATAATAGAAAATACTCACCAAAAAATGCAAGAAAATAAATTAAAATCAATTGTGAAATAATACAGGCAACTAAACCCTCCATTGTTTTTCTCGATTCATTTAATTTATGTTTGCCCCAATTGCTGCCAACAAAACTGGCAGCCGCGTCTCCAATTCCAACTGTGAGAACACCGCTGAGTAATGGTAAAAGTGCTGTATCGTTGGCTGGCATCCATAAAGGATAAGATAAACCACACAGCAAATAGAGCGGTGTTAAAGAAATAAATTCATCCTTCTCATCGGCAAACAAATTATATCCTTGACGCATAATTTCCCCTAATGGTGGTATATTTAAAAATCTAAGCAGCTAAAATTTTTTTTTTTTTTAATTAATATTTAAAAAAAATTTTACACAATTCACATTAATTGGATATTTTTAAAACTTACTTCCAACACAATTAGTAGAGCAAAAGCAACACCACTAGCCATGTACAGTAAGACAGGTTCCCAAATTAGTCCTGTTATAAAAACTATTGACGCTAAAATATGAAAAACTTTTCTATCCGAAGTTGTTGCTTTTGTTTTTGAATGAAGTTTATACATTATAAAACACCATGCCAATAAAAAGCATATTGACCAGCAGATCATCAAGAATATCTGAAAAATGTGTTTTTTTTTTAGAGAGAGAGAGAGAGAGAGAGAGAGAGAAAAAAAAGACAAAAAAGAAATGTAATCAGTAAATGGAAAAATAAATTTTCATGATAATTGGTTTTATAAAATATTATTAAATACTTACTCTTGACGACTTGCTGAATATATAAAAGAATATCCATAGAATTGGACTCCGATCTAACAGAGTATGTAGAGATGGAAATATCCATAATGATATTGTAATGAAAATCCATGCGTAAAATTGTTTCGTTTGTCGTAGTTGAGGGAAAATTTTACACACTAAACAAAGGGACAGTACATAAATAATTCCCACCTGAAAGATTTGTTAAAAATTCAAACGTAATGAAAAAACCTGTTTTTAAAGAGGATCATGCATTATTTATAAGTGCATTCAAAACAAAACAAAATGATTTAGTATGTTTTATTATTATTTTTTTCAGTAAATCTTGTACAATTTACAGGCCTCGGAATGTACGACTTTTTTCGACTTTTTTTCGACCATTTTTATATTTTTCTTTTTTTTTACAAAATTTTAAAACAAAATACGTCATTTTTAATATACAAAGCAGATTTTTTTCAGATTATCTTTATTTTAATTATTTAACAAATTTTTAACTAAAATTCTTCTCTAAATGAATTATTTTCAATAATTTTAATGAAATTCCTCACAAATTCAATTATTTTAAATTAATTTTCAATTTAAAAATTGTATAAAATTCAATAATTGTTTAAAATTTTTTAAAAAATTAGTAAATAAAATTACCCAAAATTTTAGTTAAAAATCACTTGAAATTCAATTATTTTCAAAAATTTAATTATTTTCAAAATTTTACATTTAAAATTATCTGAAATTTAATAATTAAAACTATAACACTTCTGAAATTTAACTATTTTCAAAAATCTGAATTGTTAATCTTTGAAAATTCAATTATTTAAAAAAAAAGTTTATCTCAAATTATTTGATAAATTATTTTCAGTTAGCTGTAAAATTTAATTATTGTCTGAAATTTAACAAAATATTTTAAAAGATTTTAAATTCAATTATTTTTAATAATTTTAATATTTCTTTAAAAATTCAATTATTTAAAAAAGTTTCAAACAAAAACTCTAAAATTGAATTATTATAATAAGAAATCTAAAAAAAACTACAGCAGTTTAAATTTGCAAAAATTTATTTCAAATTTAAAATCTTGTGCAATTCAATTATTAAAAAAAAAAATTTTAATTAAAAATCTGTAAAACTTAATTATTGACCTAAATTTTTTTGTTCCATCAAATTTTAAGGATAAATTAATTATTTTTTAAATAAATTAGCTAATGAATCCAAAAGAAAATCAAAAATAGAATTACCTGTATTTTATTGTATTTAAATTTTAACTGTTTATAAATAATAATTGTTTAAACAAATTAAATTTTGAAATTGTTAGTTCCATTCTAAAATATTCGAAATAAATTTTCTTGATAATATTCTCATAGTATTATTCTTATTAAGGAATTAATAAAATTAATTTAATATTTAATAAAATTTGTTATTTAAAGTAAAATATTTATTAACTAATTAAAAATTAAAATAAAAAAAAATCGTCTTTTCTGAAATTTAAATCAACTAAAACGACTTTTTTGCCCTTTAAAGTCGATCCGAGGCCTGAATTTAAATTAAAATTTTTTTTAATTGCAAATTTTTATTTTTAAAAAAAGAATATTTATTAATAACAGTGGATTTTATTTATTTTTTTTTAATATTGTAAAAATTGAGTTTTTAATGGGAATATTTTTGGAAATATTCAACTCACTTGCAATATTACTGTGGCAATATCATTATCATGAATTGGTGGTAAATGATATCTAAGGGGAATATTTGTGGCGGCTGATAATAAAAACAGGACAAGTCCATGTGTCACTGCTGTAGCCTCGCCAACAGTAAAACAACCAGGAAAATTTGACATCACTTGAACAACACCCCAGGTACTTAAACTTCCAACACTTGAACCCCATGCTACACTCACTAGCAATCCTGCTCTTGATTAATTAAATATATCACAGTTTTATTAAATAAAGTAACGTAATTTGATGTCGTCTTTTAAATTACATTAATATAATTAAATATTTATAATTATACTATTTGGATATAAAAAATCAAAAAGGGAACAGGCACAAATTCATTGAGAGTTGAATTTTTTTTTTCACAAAGAATCTTATGTTGCGAATATTTGGAATAACATAAAAAACGTTAAATAGAATTTTCATTTTAAAGAATTTTATTCGAAATAATTATTTTTTAGATAAATTTTCATTTTCCAAATTAGCAATTGCTTTTTATATATCAATTTTTGTTTAGCAGAATTTTTATTTTATAGTCATTTAATTTACATGAATTTTTATTTAAAAGACTTTTAATTTGATCGAATTTTATGTGACAGAAATTCCAATTCATTGAATTTTAATTTGCCCAAATTTTTATTTGTACGAATTTTTAAGATGCCAAATTTTTATTTATCCGAAATTACAAATGTCCGAAGAAAAAATCGACAGAAAGATTTTGGCGCAATTTTTTGTAATTTTGGATAAATAAAAATTTGGCGTCTTAAAAATTCTATCAATTAAAAATTCGTATAAATAAAAATTCAGTGAATTGAAATTTTTGTCATTTAAAAATTCTAATCAAATAAAATTCGATTAAATGAGAATTTTGTCAAATTAAAATTCGCTTAAGTTAAAATTCTTTTTTATAAAAAGTCATGTAAAGAAAATAACTGTAAAATAAAAATTCGGTACCTAAAAATGTTATGTAAAAATTTGTATAAAAAGAAAATCTGTTAAATTTGAAAATTGAAAATTCATCGAAAAAATAATTATTTCTAATAAAATACTGTAAAATAAAAATTCGAATTAATTATTTTTATAGGAAATTAATGCGCTCCAATCTAATTTAATTTTAAATGCAAAATTATTTTCCAATTTTCTATTTCATTAAATCACAAAATTAGATTCTTCATGATCTATTTTTTTTAATATTTAGTAGAACGCTGAAAATAAATTAAAGCTTTTGAGTGGATATACCTTTGTTAGCAACAAGAAGTAACAATGTGGATGTTACGATACAGGGAAGAAAGTAAACCACCTGAAAATCTTTAACCACTACATTTTTTGTGGATAAAAGTATATAGAGTATGAAACAACTTATAATTAATCCAATTCCAGTCAATCCTTCCAATAAACAGATTTCAGAATAACTATGATCTTCATATAACAATGTTGATGTCGCACAAAAACCCATTAATGGACCAATCCATAATCCAGGACTATTTTTTGTTCTAATAAAAAATTAAAAATAATTATTTTCAAATTAATCATACCTTAAGATAATTAAAAAAAAGTTTTTTAGATTAAAAAAAAAATTATTTTTCATATTTGTGAGTTAATTTTATTTTTATTACTATTATTCTCTTTTTTTAATATTATTTTTTGTTATCGAAATTAAATAATAACATTTTGTTTCATACAAAATCTGACAAAGAAAATTATTTCAGAAAAAAAAAGTTGTTTTTCATCAAATAAAAAAAAAACTGCAGGTATTATAATGTATAAATTAGCATCGTTTTCATTTATATAACAAAGTGCAGTCATCGATATATTATTATTATTATTATTATTATTATTATTATTATTATTATTATTATTATTATTATTATTATTTAGTTCGATGAATAAAGATATAAAATAAAACAATAACAAAAAAAACTGTTTGAAATAAATAATTATGTTTGAAATGAATATTAAAATATGTTTGTAAATGTTCTTCAAAATTGAAAAAAAGTAATAAATTATTATTAACAACTTAATTTTTTATTTTAATAAATTTGCAGTTTCCTTCATAATATTTTTTACATTCACTCGAAGTAATCGTTATATTCATACTTCATTATTAAAAACTATAAATAAAATCATTATTATTATTATTATTATTATTATTAGAATAAATAATAAATATTAAATTAAACATATGTAAATCAATTTTGGCGATAACAAAATTATTGTAATTCAATTGAGTTCTAAATTTCACAATTTTCGCAGTTGTAAAAGCATTGATAAAAATTTCAATAATATATGCAACGAAAGATAATTAATTTAATGTAAATTAATAAATTATTGAGAATTAAGTACACAAATTACTGTATCAATTATACCAAATGAATTTTTCTTTCGCAAATCAAAACTTTTATATCACGAATAAAAAAGTTTATGAATGAATAATACTTTTTTAGGTTATGTTAACTTTGTTTATAGAAATAAAAAAAATTTCTTGCCTGAAATATATATAAATATACATACCGGTGACGTATTTTGTTCAATTCCAAGTTTTTTATAATTGTTTCTCCCATATTTACATATATTTTGGTTACAGCATCCATGGTGTTTTTTTTTTTTTTTTTTTAATTATAATGATTAAATGACAATGTCATTAACTATATATGGGGATTCATTCACAATATATTACACCCACACACTATGTGTGTAAAAAATACATGTAAGCAAATAGTTGACTGTAAGGAATTTATAAAAATCAGCGGTATTTCTTCAAAAAAACTTCGCATATATCTACACCTACACTAATATATGAAAATGCAAAGTTAGAAAATCAACATTTTTGTTGCATTTTGCAATTTGTTGGTGCAATGCAGGGTGACCAACAAGGTGGCCGCAAAAAGTTCTAGTTTTGAAAGTAAAAAAAAAAAAAAGTACCAGAAATTACAAAGTCGAAGCGCGGTAATTTCAAAAATTAACTAATATTTAAATGAAAAATTAGACGAAATAGAGATTTAAATATTGAAACTCTATTACAGTAAATAAACAATATATACTAAATATGTAAAAACTCGATGAAGTAAAAAATATAACATTTACAAATTATGTAAAATAAAAATTATACAAAATATAATTAATAATAAAAAATAAATTTTATGATAAATAAAATTTTTAAAAATACATCATTTTTAAAAGTTTTTTTTTTAATTGTATGTTTTTTTACGTAAACTTTTCTAAAATTCGGTGTAAAAAATTTCAGAAAAGTAATTTTATATTTTTTGAAATTTAAAAATAAAAATTTTATTTTTAAAATTGTAGTGTTCAATTTTTTTATTTTTTTTATATTTTTTTTGAAATATCAAATATATCAAAATACATATTAATGTACGTAGCAAAAAAGAATTAGAGGTAATTTGAAAAAAAAAAAATTTAATTTTGAAAATATTGAAAAAATTTGTCCACGACCGGACTAGACTTAAAATTTTTGAAGAACTTTTTTTGAAAATATTGAAAAAAAAATTGAACACTACAATTTTAAAAAAGAATATTTAATTTTTAAATTTCAAAAAATATATAGAAAATTATTTTTCTAGAATTTTTAGCACCGAATTTTCGAAAAAGTTCACAAAAAATACACAATTTAAAAAAAAAAATTTTTATTCATACATTTTTGAGTAAATTATGATCATTCAAAAATAAAAAATCATAAATTTCGGAGATTTTGAAAAATTTATATTTCGTAAACGATTTGCTAAAAAAAAAATTGAAAAAAATCTTGAATACTAGTGTCTCAATTATTATAGTTCCAAAAAAAAAAGTTTCAAAAAAATTTGAGATGTAAATGCAAAATTGAAGTTAATGGGAAGGTACCGGTGAAATTTCAGCTCATCGAAATATTAATGTTGTTAAGGGGTGTCAATTTTTTTCTTGCATTATATTTGGGATCTAAAATATTATTGTGAATTATTAAAATTTTAAAGAAATTTTTTTTTTTATTTATACCATTTTAGAAATTTTATTTTTTGAAAATATTAAAATTTTTAAAAATCCATACAATTGCGATTGTTCAGAATCGAGAAAAAAAATTGTGCCGATAAAAAATAATAAAAATTGTTATGAAGAAGTTCAATTATTAAAGAATTATTGATATAAAATTTAAACAAAAAATAATTGGTCTTATTTAGCGATAACAATTAAAAAAAAAAAATTTTAGAACTTAGAAATTATATATTTCACTATGAAAAATGAAAAAAAAAATTTTTTTACCCGTGTGGAAAAGTGATGTGGGCCCCCAGCGGGGGCCCTTATGGATCGCCCTCATGCCATGAGGGCCGCATATGGATGATCCATAGGGGCCCCTCATGGAAACGACATGCTCATCGATGAGGGCGCCCGCATGGGCGATCCATGAGGGTGCCCCTACGGGCGCCCTTATGGGCCCTCACGTTTGCCCTCATCTTGCCCTCAAGTTTGCCATAATGTTTTTTAATCAATAATATTAATAATAAAAGTTAATTAATAATAAATAAGCTTAAGTTATGAATAAATAACATATTTATTTAATAATTATTCAATTTTAAATTAAATTCTTACTCAAATTCAATTTATTAATTAACGTTCTAATTAATTAACTGTCGGATATAATTAAAAGTAATAATAAATTAATTAATTAAAAAATTAAAAAATATTTAATTTATGCATACTATTAACGGATATTTTCATTTTTCAATTAATTCATACATAGAATTAATGATTAAACGCAAACCTGAGAAATAAATAAATCTAACGCATGGGGGGAATCGAACCTACGACCTACGGACTATGAGTCTAACGCTTTACCAACTACGCTACGTACGCTACTTCAAAACGAATGCTAACTTCTTGATGCTATTTAAACTTCAAAAATACCTAACAAAGAAAAGTGCTTAACATCATTTAGTTAAATTAAGATATTAAATTATATTTTCCAATCAAATGCAATTTATAAAATATAATTAATTATATGCTTTATGATTATTATCATGAATCATCTCAGGCGAATTTTCAAAAAAGTGTAAATATATTTTTATTAAAAACGCGTTTTTCGTTGTTTTAAATCATTGGAAACATTCATTTTTTGTTGATAAAAAAATATTTGATTTTTGGACTTAGAAAATTTTGCTAATCGATCATGAGGGCGATCCATGCGGGCCCCTACGGTGGCCCTCATCTATTTTGCCATAAGTGTGAGTGTTATTTTCAAAAAAGTGTAAATATATTTTTATTAAAAACGCGTTTTTCGTGGTTCTGAATCATTATAAACATTAATTTTTTGGTGATAAAAAAATATTTGAATTTTGGACTTAGAAAATTTTGCTAATCGATCATGAGGGCGATCCATGCGGGGCCCCTACGGTGCCCCTCATGGATTCGCCATAAGTGTGAGTGTTATTTTCAAAAAAAGTGAAAATATATTTTCATTAAAAACGCGTTTTTCATTGTTGTGAATCATTATAAACATTAATTTTTTGGTGATAAAAAAATATTTGATTTTTGGACTTAGAAAATTTTGCTAATCGATCATGAGGGCGATCCATGCGGGCCCCTACGGTGGCCCTCATCTATTTTGCCATAAGTGTGAGTGTTATTTTCAAAAAAGTGTAAATATATTTTTATTAAAAACGCGTTTTTCGTGGTTCTGAATCATTATAAACATTAATTTTTTGGTGATAAAAAAATATTTGAATTTTGGACTTAGAAAATTTTGCTAATCGATCATGAGGGCGATCCATGCGGGGCCCCTACGGTGCCCCTCATGGATTCGCCATAAGTGTGAGTGTTATTTTCAAAAAAAGTGAAAATATATTTTAATTAAAAACGCGTTTTTCATTGTTGTGAATCATTATAAACATTAATTTTTTGGTGATAAAAAAATATTTGATTTTTGGACTTAGAAAATTTTGCTAATCGATCATGAGGGCGATCCATGCGGGGCCCCTACGGTGCCCCTCATGGATTCGCCATAAGTGTGAGTGTTATTTTCAAAAAAAGTGAAAATATATTTTAATTAAAAACGCGTTTTTCATTGTTGTGAATCATTATAAACATTAATTTTTTGGTGATAAAAAAATATTTGATTTTTGGACTTAGAAAATTTTGCTAATCGATCATGAGGGCGATCCATGCGGGGCCCCTACGGTGCCCCTCATGGATTCGCCATATGGATCAGCCCTCATGGGCCCCCGCCGGGGGCCCCGAACTCTTGAGGGCAAGATCGTGGCTTTTTCCACACGGGTAATTTTATAATTTTTTTTTATATTTTTTAGAAATTTTGATTTTTGAAAAAATCAAAAATAAAAGCATATGTAATTATTTATTTATTTATCAATTATGATAAACTTCAAAAATGGGAAAAACAGAATAAATGCATATTATGATCAGACGAAATTAATGGAATACGAAGATTATTTATAAATTTAAAATAAAAAAAAAATTATTATTAATAATAATAAATTCTAATAAACAAATAAATGGGATCCCCTGAAGTGTAAATAATATTGAATTACTTTTGATGTCTGTCAGATAAGAGCAATAAGGAAAACTTTTTAAAAGAAATTCATTTAATTTGTATAAAAATGATTCACAAGAATTGTGATTCCCCGATTCGCAGAGTTTAAGCTGTGCATACAAATAAATGCATCATATGTATTATATCTATACATATAAATGTTCGATAGTTCTCACACTATATATAAAGCTTCTTATTTCAATAAAGAGATTATTCTAAAGTCAGATTTACGACAGAGCGAACATATTACATTAAAGTGCTAAATAGTAAGTATAATAGTTTTTAATTAATATTTTATAAACTCCTATTTAAAAAAATAAATAAATAAAAACATTTTCTTTAAATTAAAATGGTTTTTTTTCTAATTAAATAATTTTATTGAAAAAGTATTATTGTACATTAAACTTTTTAGCATAAAAAATTTTGTAGTCAAAAAAATAATATTTTGTGGATATTAAATTTAATTTATAAATAAAAATGAGAAATTTTTAATTTGGTATTTAAAGAATTTTTTATTATAATTATCGTTTGCTAAATATTGAATTTAATTATTTAATTATTTTTAATAAATTAATTATTTAATTATTTTTAATAATTAAATTATTTTTAATTTATAGAACAAAATTCAACATGGCCAAAACTACTGGTGCCTTAATTGTAGTTGCACTTTTTGCATTTGCCGTCTTAGCATCTCATGCAGAACCACAAGAGGTAAACAGTAGTAATACATCTTTTTTTTTTGGTATAAACAAAGTTAATAATTTTTTACAATTTTTGTTAAATACAGAATGTTTGAATAAAAATTAAAATTACTTATTTTGACATTTTTTTTCTCAAATTTCTTGTTAATGAAAAAAAGAAAATATATTTTTATTTTTTTTTTTTTAGCGTGTTCGACGAGAGCCAGGTAGACCAGGAAATATGCCAAGACCTCGTCCAATACCAATTAGACCTAGACCACCACATCCCGTAAGTGTAAAAAATATATACATTGAGAAAAAAATTTATTTGATTCAAAAACTCGATTAATTGACTAATTATCAAATAAATATTCACTTTTGAAACAAATAATTTTTATTTGAATTAAATAAATTCTATTTGAACCAATAATTTTTGTATTTTAAACAAATACCATCTCAAATAATAATTATTTGATAGAAATAAATATTTATTTGATAATAGTCTAGTAATCGAGTATTAGAATCAAATAAACTTTTTTTTTTCATTATATAATTTAATTTTCTTATGATTTATTCAATATTCAATATTTGGTTTTCATTAAAATATATTTCATAATAAATTCAATGGAGTCTTTCTTCACTATAAAAAATTAAAAACCAATTTTGGAAATTTCGAAAGTAATAAAAAGTAAAAATCTTTTTGTTTTTGCAGCGTCTTCGTCGTGAAGCTGAAGAAAAAAAGGCTTTAGAAAATTTTGAAGTGGCAGAAGAAACATTAAGTACTTTGGAGGTGAAAATAAATTTTATATCTAAATTTTAGAAAACCCAATAATTTTCTTCATTTTTTGTAAAATATACGATTTTTGAATAAATATTTTATCATTCAACTATTTTGAAAAAATATAAATTAAATAAATTTTCAATTTTATAGCGTGTTCGACGGGAACCAGGTAAACCAGGAAATATGCCTAAACCTCGTCCAATACCAATTAAACCTAGACCACCACATCCAGTAAGTAAAAAAGAGGATTTATTAATTTTCTTAATTATTTTTAGTTTTCTTTACTTTTTTTTTGTAAAATTTAACGCTTTTCTATATTCAAAACAATATAAATATAAAAAAAAAAACCAAACATAAAAGTAAAAATCTTTTCAATTTTTTAGCGTCTTCGTCGTGAAGCTGAGGAGGAAGAGGAAAAAAATTTTGAAGAGGCAGAAGAATCTCTATCTACTTTGGAGGTGAATAAAAATTGAATATCTAAAAATCAGATTCAATTTTGTCATCTTTAACGATATTTTAATAAAAAATTTTAAAAACCCATCACTTTGATGATATTCCAATTTTTTTTTTTTTTTATAATTTACTGTAAACGAGAAAATATTAATTAAATAAATTTTCAATTTTATAGCGTGTTCGACGAGAACCAGGTAAACCGGGAAATATGCCAAGACCTCGTCCGATACCAATTAGACCTAGACCACCACATCCAGTAAGTAAAAAAAAATGATTTATTCATTTTCTCATTAATTACACTTAAAAAAAAAAAATTTTTTTTATTCAAATAATCCATTACTTGACATCAAATAAATATTTTTTTGTACCAAATAATTATTGAGATGGTATTTATTTCAAATACAGAAATTATTTCAAATATATTATTTATTTAAGTCAAATAAAAATTATTTGGTTCAAATAAATTTATTTATTTTAGATATTGATACCGATTATTTGAGATAAGGAAATTTTTTTTCAATGTATTAAGAAAAGTTTGTTTTCTTTAAGATTTTGACAAATTTTAATGAATTTTTTCTATTCAAGAAAAAAAAAAGAAATAAAACCAACATAAAAGTTAAAATCATTTCAATTTTTTAGCGTCTTCGTCGTGAAGCTGAAGAAGAAGAAGAAGAGGCTTTAGAAAATTTTGAAGAAGCAGAAGAATCTCTAACTACTTTAGAGGTGACAATAAATTTTATATCTAAATTTCAGAAGTCCAAATAATCTAAATTTTTAGAATTTAAAAAATTTTTTCTTCTTATTTTGTTAAATATCCGATTTTTGAATAAATATTTTAGTCGATATTTGGACTATTTCGAAAAATATTATTAAATAAAATTTTTCTTTTACTAGCGTGTTCGACGAGAACCAGGTAAACCGGGAAATATGCCAAGACCTCGTCCGATACCAATTAGACCCAGACCACCACATCCAGTAAGTAAAAAAAAGGATTTATTAATCTTCTCATTACTTAAGTAAAGTTAGTTTTTTTTTTTTTTAATTTTTCTGAAATTTAATGAAACTTTTCTATTGAAAAAAAGAAATAAAAGTAAAAATCTTTTCAATTTTTTAGCGTCTTCGTCGTGAAGCCGAAGAAGAAGATGAAGCTTTAGAAAATTTTGACGAGGCAGAAGAATCCTTAAATACTTTGGAGGTGAAAACAAATTTTAAAACCTAATTATTGGAGAATCGAATAATTTTTTTTTTTTTTGTTAAATATAAGAGATTAAAATTGAAAATTTGGATCAAGAATAATAAAAATATTAAATGAATTTATAAATAAATTTTGCCTTTTTTAGCGTGTTCGACGAGAGCCAGGTAAACCAGGAAATATGCCAAGACCTCGCCCAATACCAATTAGACCTAGACCACCACATCCCGTAAGTACAAAAAAAAATATTAATTTTCTTTTTATTTATTTTATTTTAGCTTTCTTTTAAACAAATTTTATAATAATAAAATGCTTTGTCTGTCCTTCTGTCCTAACTTCAAGTTGGCCTTTTTTGATTTCACGTGTTTTTTTGAATAGTAATCTTATGACGTGTCAAATTTTGACAATTCTTTTTCTCATTTTTGCCAAAGTTGTATAATTGTGTTTCCAAATTTTGGAATAAGTTTCTTAAAAATTCCAAATTCAAAAATTCAATTCACGAAGCTGAAGTACACGCAACGTTTACCAACGAAATTTTTTTTAAAGTTGTATATTGATTCAAAAATTGTATACAAATACAAAAAATTTATGATGAGAAAAAAGATGCGCCAGGAAATTTCGTACAAGATAGTAATTTGAAAAAAATTTATTTTTAAAAATTAATTTTTAAGGTACCAGGGGCCAACGAATACCTATTAAATATTAATTATAAAAACACAAGCCTCGAATCAACTTAAAGACACAAAAAAGTCGTTTTAGTCGATTTATAATAAAAAAAAAAGTGGATTTGTTTTTTATTTTAACAAAAATATTTTACAGATTTTTAAATAAAAATTTTTTTTTAATATTAATCCATTTCGAAGGGTTAAAGTTGAAATTTTTAGAAATAATTAAATTTCAAAAGATATTGTTAATTTTCAAACAATTATTAAATTTTACAGAACTAAAAATAATTTATCAAACAATTTTTGAAAAACATTTTTTAAATTTAATTGAATTTTCAAAGATTTAAAATTGAGATTTTTGAAATTAATTGAAACTTTCAGTGATTTTTAATTAAAATTTTAGATGATTTCACTAAAAATTTATTATAAAATGCGGACAAAATACAATAATTTGAAAATCATTTTTAATTGAAAAATGGTTTCAGAAAGTTGAATTTTCAAAGAATATTATAAAAATAGTTAAAAATAATAGAATTTCCTTAGAGTTATAATTGAAATTATTAAATTTCAAAAAAAAAAATTTCGATGGAAAATTTTAGAAATAATTAAATTTTAGATGCTTTTAAATTCAAATTATTATTGAAAATTCAATTAATTTTGAATTCAAATTTTTGAGAATAATGAAATTTTATTTGATTTTAAGTTTGGAAAATAATTGAATTTTAGTTCATTTTGAATTGAAAATTTTGGGAAATAATTGAATTTGAATTGAAATTTTGGATAATAATTTAATTTAAGTTCATTTTTGATTGAAAATTTGGATAATTAATTTTGAATAGAAATTTTAGAAAATAGTTGAATTTTATTTCATTTTAAATTGAAAACTTGGTAAATAATTAAATTTTAAATTGAAAATTTTGGATAATTATTGGATTTTTAATTGATTTTGAATTAAAATTTCGGGTAATAATTGAATTTTAGTTTATTTTGAATTGAAATTTTTAAAAAATAATTCAATTTTATTGTGATATATTTTTTTAAAATTATAAACAGTTGTTAAATTACATAAAAATTTTAATTGAAAAATAATTTTGATATAATTGAATTTGTGATGTATTTCATTAAAATTATTAAAAATAATTAATTTAGTGAAGAATCAATTTAGTTCAAAATTTGTTAAATACTTGAATTGAAGAAGATCTGAAGAAGATTTACATTTTATACTAACTGTTTTTATAGAACGAATGTAAAAATAAATTTTTTTTTATTTTTTTCAGCGTCTTCGCCGTGAAGCTGAGGAGGAAGAAAAAGATGAAGAATTCAAAAGTTTTGTAGATGAAGAAGAGTCCTTACTTGCTTTGGAGGTGAAAAGAAATTTTATATATCTTAATATTAGTCACATTAATAATTTTCGTTTTCTTTTTATCATTTTTTCTTATATATAAATTAAGGAAAATTTTTAAGTTTTTAGTTAATTTCTTTATTATAATATGAACGAAAAAAAATATTAATATATTAATAAATTTTAATTTTTTTAAGCGCGTTCGACGGGAGCCAGGTAGACCAGGAAATATGCCAAGACCTCGTCCGATACCAATTAGACCTAGACCACCACATCCGGTAAGTTTATTAATTATTATTATTATTTTTTTTTTAAATCTCTCTTAATTTCCTTAAATGTTCTTTCAATATTTTATCTATACCTATTTCAATTTTATCCTATACTTTCTTTTCATACTTTACAAAAATTTAATTACTTTTATATATTTTATTATTATTTATTTTATTTCAGCGTCTTTAAATGGACATTATTATTTCCATACGTATTTGAAGATCTGTATTACAAGAAGCTGTAAGTTTGTGAATTGATTTTATTCTTTAAAAAAGTTTTACGCTTTTTGAAAACTTAAAAATGTAATATATTTGTCAGTATTTATGGCTCAATTTTCAACGAAGGTGTATATTGTAAATATAATAGATTATAATTATCATATTTTAAATATGGTAAAATATTTGTAATAAAAATTCTTTTAAAATTTAATTGAAAAAATAATAGATTATAAATTCCATATTGTAAATATGGTAAATATTTGTAATAAAAATTCTATTAAAATTTAATTGAAATAAAAATATATTTAGTGAGAAAATAATATTTTTTAGTTTAATAAATTTATCCCTTGATTCCAAAATTGTAACCAATTTTTTAATTATTTAAAAAAAAATTCTGGCACGGTACAAATCGTTACAAATTTTTTTTTTTTTTAATTCTTCATATGAAAATTTAAAATGGAAACTAATGTTTAATGAACTCAATGCCAATTTATGTAAATTGATTTTATTTACATGATTTTTTTACAATCTGTGATACTCTAAGGATGTTGTCTACTACTAAAAAATTAAAAAAATACTATTCAAATATTTAAACCATTATCCTTAAATATAGGAGTAGAAATTTTTTTTCTATTCTTGCACAGATCTCAATACAGTAAAATATGACACTGATGTTTGAAGAACCTTTAATAACAAATTTCATAATAAATAAAAACAATTTTAATAATAATTTTTAATAAAATATCTGCCAACATTTTTTCCATTTACTTTTTTATATTTTGCAATAATCTCCCCCATCTTTCGCGATTGGAACATTTTTATTTCAAAAAATTTCTATATACCTTTGTAAAAAACTGTATCGAAGGTACGAATATTTTGCCAACGGTAAATGTAGCGGGTTGAGATCCTTTTCTCATTATTATAAGTAACAATTTTTTTGATTCATCTGGCAAATGGTACCAATCTGTATTGTTGTATCTAATAAAATTAATGTTTAGTTTAGTTTTTAATAATTATAATACTGATTTCATTGTATTTTGAATTTTGGAAAACTGATAATCAAAAAATCCCCGAATAACAAAATTCAGATGAATTTATAATCAAGTTTGTATTTTTTTTTTCTTTCTTTTTTTATTTTATTTTTTTTTAGCTGAGGCGCGACTTTTTGGACGACCGAAGATATCACCTTGGTGTTTCGCGTGTTAAAATATTAATTAAAGAAAAAAAATTTCGCAAACATGTTTGTTTGAAATACTGACTATCTAATATTTAAAATTATGTACAAAACTAGATTTCTTGTAAAGTATAAAAATTAATTTAAAAAAAATTTTTTTAATTAAAAAAAATATATTAAATTGATTAAAAATGAGTTGTACATGCATGTAGAAAGATTTAAGCTGTTATCCAATAAATGTTGCGTTGGGATAGTTAAAAAGAAAATATGCATCACTTGAAACAATCCAAAAAATCCAAATCTTACTCTATTTTCAGTATTTTTTGTACTCATCACAAACTAAATCATAGTATAAGATTAGAATCTAAACTAATATTCGTTTTTAATTTTACATGTTTATGGAAGAAAAACCCTTTTTTTTGTTATATAAAACAAAAATACTTACTTGAACTGCAGTGACGCTTAGCAAAATTATTTTGATTCCATATACAAAAAGATAAGCAGTTGAAAAAACATTTTGTATATCAGTGATAAATCTTGAAAAGTAAAATATTTTAATATTTTAATTACTATATAAAATATGAAATAAAATGTAAAATTATCTCTACACAAGAACAATTTGCATTTCAGAAATGAAAAAAAGCATTTCGTCATTTTAAAATCTGTATTTCAGATTAAATCCACAATAGATGAATTTTTCTTAATTATTACTGATGCAGCTAGTTTTTTTTTTTTTGCATTGATAAGAAAAAAAAAATATATTGCATTTTAAGAAAAATTTGTCTATTGTTGATTAAATCTCATGGTCTTAATAATTTAGTTTATTTTATAAATTAAAAATTTTTTTTTATACAAACAATACAATTCTTTTGTGCATTGCAACACAAATTTTAATTTCTTGCCGGAATTTTTTTTTAGAAACAACTTTATTTGTAGAATTGATATTTTCTTTTATGGCATGAATCAATTTATGTCTGTAAAGAAAAAATATTTATGTAAAATTCTTAATAATTGAATGATAAATTTCTTTATGGTCTATATATGGTTATAAACATTTTTCGGTTATCGAAATTAATGTATTGTTAAGGGATGTCAATTATTTTTTTTTGGCATTATTAGTGATCTAAAATTATTATGACTTATCAAAATTTAAAAAAAAAAAATTTTTTTCACTATAAAAAATAAAAAAAAAAGTAATTTTCAACAATTTTTTTTTATTCATCGAAAAAAATTTTTTTTTTTCAAAATTAGCCGTTTTGATGGTTTTTTTTATTAATAGAATAAATTTGAATGAACAGCAGTTAAATGCAGTTTAAAATTTTTTAAAATTATTTTTCAAATCTAAAATAATTTGAATTTACCCTATAATGTCAAATATTCCACAAGCATGCTCAAGAAACATTACAAGAAGTGTACCCCCAGTTGCAATACCAGTTGTGGAAAAATAACCAAACACATAACTGTGAAGAGTTATTAAACCAAAGTATTTTTCTGAATCTAAACCACACTCAACGGGAAGCATAAGCGGTTTAGGTTTATTATTCTTTTTCAAAATATTTATCAGCAAAGGAATGCCATGTGCTGAATGATAAAGGACAACTTGTATAAATAATCCATCTAAAAATTGTGATTATCAAAAAAGTAGATATTTTATAAAATAAATAATAATATAAAAATAATATTATAAAATTATAATTAAATTATAATTATAAAAACATAAAAGAATATTAAATATAATTTTCTAAATATCAAAAAATTTTTATAATAAAAAAAAATAACTACAAGTGTATAGTAAATTATAGGCTCTGCATTTTCTTCCATATTTATGAAGAATATCAAGTTCACTTTCCGATGTCAATAGGTTCCAGTCTTCTCGAATTTTTTCAAAAACAATATTTATCTACAAAAAAAATTTTTTTTTTTTTTAATTTTTTCCTTTACAGAAGCAAAGCAAAGAATTTAAACTGATTACTTGTTTCACATGCAGATTGCTATTCACATAAATAATTGCACTTATTGAAGAATAACATATTGGTGGACAGCATCCCAAAACCAAATCAATATCACCGTATACTTTTACAAAACCTGCAATCTAATTTTATTAATATTAAATTAAATATTAAAATAATTAAATTTAATTAAAATTTTAATTAATTAAATTAATTTAATTTTAAATTTACCCGTGTGGAAAAAGCCACGATCTTGCCCTCAAGAGTTCGGGGCCCCCGGCGGGGGCCCATGAGGGCTGATCCATATGGCGAATCCATGAGGGGCACCGTAGGGGCCCCGCATGGATCGCCCTCATGATCGATTAGCAAAATTTTCTAAGTCCAAAAATCAAATATTTTTTTATCACCAAAAAATTAATGTTTATAATGATTCACAACAATGAAAAACGCGTTTTTAATTAAAATATATTTTCACTTTTTTTGAAAATAACACTCACACTTATGGCGAATCCATGAGGGGCACCGTAGGGGCCCCGCATGGATCGCCCTCATGATCGATTAGCAAAATTTTCTAAGTCCAAAAATCAAATATTTTTTTATCACCAAAAAATTAATGTTTATAATGATTCACAACAATGAAAAACGCGTTTTTAATTAAAATATATTTTCACTTTTTTTGAAAATAACACTCACACTTATGGCGAATCCATGAGGGGCACCGTAGGGGCCCCGCATGGATCGCCCTCATGATCGATTAGCAAAATTTTCTAAGTCCAAAATTCAAATATTTTTTTATCACCAAAAAATTAATGTTTATAATGATTCAGAACCACGAAAAACGCGTTTTTAATAAAAATATATTTACACTTTTTTGAAAATAACACTCACACTTATGGCAAAATAGATGAGGGCCACCGTAGGGGCCCGCATGGATCGCCCTCATGATCGATTAGCAAAATTTTCTAAGTCCAAAAATCAAATATTTTTTTATCACCAAAAAATTAATGTTTATAATGATTCACAACAATGAAAAACGCGTTTTTAATGAAAATATATTTTCACTTTTTTTGAAAATAACACTCACACTTATGGCGAATCCATGAGGGGCACCGTAGGGGCCCCGCATGGATCGCCCTCATGATCGATTAGCAAAATTTTCTAAGTCCAAAATTCAAATATTTTTTTATCACCAAAAAATTAATGTTTATAATGATTCAGAACCACGAAAAACGCGTTTTTAATAAAAATATATTTACACTTTTTTGAAAATAACACTCACACTTATGGCAAAATAGATGAGGGCCACCGTAGGGGCCCGCATGGATCGCCCTCATGATCGATTAGCAAAATTTTCTAAGTCCAAAAATCAAATATTTTTTTATCAACAAAAAATGAATGTTTCCAATGATTTAAAACAACGAAAAACGCGTTTTTAATAAAAATATATTTACACTTTTTTGAAAATTCGCCTGAGATGATTCATGATAATAATCATAAAGCATATAATTAATTATATTTTATAAATTGCATTTGATTGGAAAATATAATTTAATATCTTAATTTAACTAAATGATGTTAAGCACTTTTCTTTGTTAGGTATTTTTGAAGTTTAAATAGCATCAAGAAGTTAGCATTCGTTTTGAAGTAGCGTACGTAGCGTAGTTGGTAAAGCGTTAGACTCATAGTCCGTAGGTCGTAGGTTCGATTCCCCCCATGCGTTAGATTTATTTATTTCTCAGGTTTGCGTTTAATCATTAATTCTATGTATGAATTAATTGAAAAATGAAAATATCCGTTAATAGTATGCATAAATTAAATATTTTTTAATTTTTTAATTAATTAATTTATTATTACTTTTAATTATATCCGACAGTTAATTAATTAGAACGTTAATTAATAAATTGAATTTGAGTAAGAATTTAATTTAAAATTGAATAATTATTAAATAAATATGTTATTTATTCATAACTTAAGCTTATTTATTATTAATTAACTTTTATTATTAATATTATTGATTAAAAAACATTATGGCAAACTTGAGGGCAAGATGAGGGCAAACGTGAGGGCCCATAAGGGCGCCCGTAGGGGCACCCTCATGGATCGCCCATGCGGGCGCCCTCATCGATGAGCATGTCGTTTCCATGAGGGGCCCCTATGGATCATCCATATGCGGCCCTCATGGCATGAGGGCGATCCATAAGGGCCCCCGCTGGGGGCCCACATCACTTTTCCACACGGGTAATTAAAAATAAAAAATTAAATATATATACCTGAGCACTTAATAATGAAAAAATTAGAAAAAAAGTAAATGATTTTGCCAAGAAATTGAACCACATAGGATGATGTCGACTCAAACCTGTTACAATTATACTATATTTAATAACATTAAAGTATGATTTGTTAACTATGTCCATCTTTTCGATGCATACAGAATATTTGCAAAATTTCGTATGATAAAGTCTTTCTTTTCTGCACCCTAACTTTTTGATATGAATCAATATTCACTTAAACATTTATCTTAAGTTAAAGTGTTTTCTTAGAATATTGTTAGAAGTACGTGTAATTAAAATAATTGTCCTTCGCAATATTAAGAAAAAAATAATGTTTATAGTCCTTCTTGTTCTTACTCTTTGTGTGAATCAATTTCTATTTAAATATTTATTAAGTATTACCGAAGAATTATTAAAAGTACATCTGCAATTAAAATAATTGTCATTTCGACATTTATACGCCTAAAGAGTGTACACACTGTAATTATAATAATTACATGTCGAATAGATTTTACCTATGTATAAGGAACAGAATTTAATCAATATCATTCTCTTATAGTGTCCCTAGATCCTGTCGATTAAAATAAAGAAGGGATCAGTTGTCTTACAATTTTTATAAAAGCAACATTTAACGTAGGAATTGTTCTTTTTTTTTTTTTTGAAATTATCTCAAAATTTTGAGCCAATCGGACAATTTTGCCATCAGATTCAGGTTCAGTGGGTAAAATTATAGAAATTCATTTGGAAAAAAAAATTTTCCTTTGATTTGTGTTTTTGAGCAATTTTTTTGAGATTATCTGTAAAATTTGAAACAATTTGACAATTCTGATTGCAGATTTGGATTCAGCGGGCGAAAATACAGTATCTGGGCCAAAAAAAATTTTTTTTTTTATGTTCCTGTGTTATTTCGTTAATTAAGCAAAGTTCAAATTGATACAAAAAAGAAAATAAAAAATAAACGCGACAAATTTTCGTATCTAAAATTGAGAGAATATATAATAGTTTGAAATGAGAAAAGTTGTTTCAAATCGTAATTTTTTATTGTATATATATAACAACTTTGTGTGACTGATCGACAACTTTAATAATGATGTATATATTTTTCTCAACATTTTTCAATTTAAAAAATATCAGCATTAAGAATAAGGTTTACAAAATAAATTTTCCGAGTTCCTTTATGCACAACAACTGTATAAATATTTTTTTTTTTACAAATAAATAAATTAAAATGGAAATTTAATTTCAATATATGAATAAAATGTGACTAGAATAATGTTGATAAAAAATTAAAAATTTGACTAATATTTGAAACTTTAAAAACAAAAAAAAAAATTGTAAATTAATTATTATTATTCGTCATTTTAATTATTAATTATATACTTATACTGCACAAATTTTCTTATTATTTTTATGACAAATTTTTATACTTTTCAACACAGAATATACAATAACAACACATCTGACACAGATATTTGTAAATTAACAAATAATAATAATTAACGTCAACATCGCAAATCAAAAGTCTTATAATTGATTTTTTAAAGTTAAAAATAAAAGGCGATTAGGCCACTTGTGAAAATTATACAGATTCTTGTCAAATATTTTTCGCGCATAAATTATTTAAAATTGATTAATTTTTTTTCTCAATGCGATGCTACGTAAATCATTCTTTTTTTATTTACTATTTTCTTTGATAAAAGCTATTAATCCATTCGTCGAGGAATCATGACTTGAGATTTTATCAGCACTATTCAATTCTGGCTCGATTGCTTTGGCCAATTGTTTACCCAATTCCACACTGTAATAGAAATTTTAATATAAAATTTAAGAACTAAAAAATTTTTAAATCTAAAACTTATTTGGGTGCATAAAAGTTTTTTTCTTTATCTTAATACTTATTTAAATGTAATTAATATATTAATAATCATTAAATTCTAGACCTAGAATTTTATTTGTTTATTTCGATTTTAAAATAAAAAAAAATTGACAGGATTCGAAACGTTAATGATTATTTAATTTTATCAATATTTAATATAATAAATTGAATAATTAAAAAATTGCACATACCCCCATTGATCGTAGGAATTAATATCCCAAATTATTCCTTGAACGAAAATCTTGTGTTCATACATTGCTGAAAGTGAAAAATTAATTTTATATCTAAATTATAAATGTATGGAAATAATTCGAATTAAATTCGAATCGGCAAAATTCGAATTGAAATCATCGTAGTAGAAAATTTTAATTAATTCGAATTTGAATTGTTTTCGATTCAAAAATTTTATTATTATTCGATTCAAAGCCTAAAATTTCTGACACTTGTCTAAATAATCAGTTTTATAATCTACATACCTATCAAAGCACCCAATGTGAATGGTGAAACTTTTTTTACAACAATACTGTTCGTTGGCCGATTGCCTTCGAACACTTTGTGTTGAAGAATTTGATTAACTTGTTCGGAAGACATTCCGGATTTTTCAAGTTCCTCCTTAGCTTGCTCCTTATTTTTTCCCTTCATTAACGCCTCTGTTTGTGCAAGGAAATTGGCGAGGAGAATTTTATGATGAAGATCACCTTGGACCTTAAAATAAAAATAATTATCATTTTATAATTTTTTTTTTTTTTTGTTTTACTTCTTCAATGCCAGGAGAATGAAAGAAAAAAAAAATAATTGTACCTTATTGTGAGACAAAGCTGGAGCAATAAAATCAGCAGGAATGAGTCTTGTTCCCTGGTGAATTAATTGATAAAATGCATGTTGACCATTTGTACCGGGCTCTCCCCAAACAATTGGACCTGAATATTTATTTAATAAATAATTTCACAAAATTATAATATTGATCCGTTTGCTTGGAGAACAAAGTCGAATTAAATGATTTTTCTAATTTTATTATTATATTTTACTTATATAAATGTAGAATAAAGAATAAAATTAAATTTCCCAAGTTTTTTTCAGTATTATTTTATAAATTATTTGAATTTTCATTGGCACTATATTTTTATGAAAAAATTTGAGATTTTGCACATAATTTTTTTTAGTAATATTATTTATCTTCTATTAAAATTTGACTAAGATGTTTTGCTTCGTTTAGAAAATAAAACTATGTAAGGGAAAAATTTATCTTCAAATTTAATTCAATTTAAATATTTCGTTTTCTTTAACACTTACATTTTTTTTTTTTTTAATGTGAAAAAAGAAAAGAACTTACCAGTTGAATAATTAACAGTATCTCCCGATCGTGTGACATATTTTCCATTACTTTCCATATCACCTTGTTGAAAATAAGCAGCAAATCTGTGAAGATATTGATCATACGGTAGTAAAGCGTGAGTTTCCGCTCCATAGAAATTATGATACCAAATACCGAGTAAGGCAAGAATTACAGGAGCCTGCAAATAAATAAACGTTCTTAAACATACATTAAAAAAAATTAAAAACTAGAGCATGTTTTGGATTTTTTTTCTATAATAATGGAACATACGTTCTTTTCCAAAGGAGCTGAGCGAAAATGTTGATCCATATAAAAAGCTCCACTAAGTAATTTCTCGAAATTCTCGAAACCTATTGATAAACTAATTGATAATCCAATTGCAGACCATAGAGAGTATCGACCTCCAACCCAATCCCAAAAACCAAACATATTTTTCTCGTCAATTCCAAATTCTTTCACTTTTTGATTATTTGTTGAAAGAGCAACAAAATGTAAAGCCACTGCTGCGTCCTGATAAATAAAACATTTTTTTTTTATCTCAAAAAATAGTCTATTTTTTGACACAAAAATAAAAAAAAATATATATTAAGATACTAACGTCCTTTAAATGTTCCAAAAGCCATTTCTTCGCTGAGGTCGCATTTGTAATTGTTTCCTGAGTCGTAAAAGTTTTTGAAGCAATAATGAAGAGTGCAGTTTCGGGATTAAGTTTTTTTAAAGTCTCAGCAATGTGAGTTCCATCGATATTGCTGACAAAATGAACTCGTGGTCCAACGTGATATGGTTTCAGAGCTTCAGTCACCATTAAGGGTCCCTTTAAGAAAATTTAAAAATAATCTTTCTATATTCAATTTTTAAGTTTATATTTCTAATTTTATTTTTATTCTTATTATTCTTGTATTATTTAATTATATATGTAGTTTTTTGATTTTTATTTTAAATTTTATTTACCAGATCGGAACCTCCGATTCCAATATTGACAACATCCTCAATTGGTTTGCCAGTGAAACCTTTCCATTCCTTGGATAAAATCTGAAATATAATTTTTTTTTTATTAATCTTTCCACAAATCAAAATAAATGTGATTTCTTCTTTTCTTTTTTTGAAATTTTGAAAACTGTAGAAACTTTTAGACTTTGAAGTGACACAGTTTTTTTTTACTTTTTTGATACTTTTTTTTCGACAAGGCTACTTTTTTACTAATAATTTCGGTCAAAAGCCACTAAATGCTACTTTTTTCAAAAAAAAATAATTTTAAAAATGACAGAATTCAAGAATTTTAAATTTTAGCGAATTTTTTTGATTCCTAAAAGCTCGCCATGATTTAATATTGCCAGCGTTAACTAATGCTTTGTATAATTATTTTTTACACGAATTTTCATTTTTCAAAATAGCATTTAAGATAATTTCTTTTTAAACAATTTTTTATTCAATAGAATTTTTAATTTATTGGTAAATTTTTTTTGATAGAATTTTTATTTTACAAAATTTTTCTTTACCCAACTGTTTTTTTTTTAATAATTCTGATTTAATCGAAATTCAGACAATAATTGAATTTTAGAGTATTTTTAATTGAAAAATGTTTTAAATAATTGAAATGCCGAGATTTTGATTAAACTTATTAGAAATAATTATTTCAACAAAAAATTTGAATCAAAATTTTTAATAATAATTGAATTTTAAAAGATTTTGAATTAAAATTTTTACAAATTAGAATTGCTGAAAATTATTAACAAAGTTTATTTAATTGAATTTTTGAATAATTGGATATGAAATTATTAATTTAGCAAAGAATTTTAGATTTACAAATTTTAAAAATAATTGAATTTTGTATTAAGATTTTTAGAAAGAATTGAATTTTTCGAAGATTTTTAATTAAAATTATTGTTTTAAAATACTAAATATTTTATATAAGCTTCCAATTCCAAGTTCTATGATTTAAAAATTCGAATTATTTAAAATTCTACTGAATGAGAATTCTAATAAATTAAAAATAAAATTAAATTAGAATTCTTTTCAAGAAAAAACAGTTGGGTAAAGAGAAATTTTGTAAAATAAAAATTCTGTCAAATAAAAATTCGGAACTTTGAAAATTCCGTTGAGTAAACATTCGTTTAAAAAAAATTCTGTATTACCTAAATGCTATTTTGTAAAAAAAAAATTTATGTTAAAAATCATTTTTATGGAATAATCATACGCTCCTACCGTTGTGTCAGAAACAAAAATTTAATTGAAATTTAACAATAGATAGTTTTTTTTTTTAAATAATCAGGAAAAAAGTGATGTTAATTTTATTCCTCAAAATTTTTTCGTTCAATTTTTTTAAAAAAGAAAATATTCACGCTTCGAAGCCTGAACTTTAAGTAATTATTAACTTTAAATTTTAATAAGAACCCAATTCTTTTTTTTTTTTTTTTGTTATTTTATACCTGCTTGGTAAATTGCTTCATATGCTCCAAAACTCCATTGACATCAGGCATCACATCTTTACCGTCAACCAAAATAGGAGTATTGGCTCTATTTCTTAAAGCTGTATGCAAAACTGCTCTTCCCTCAGTGAAGTTAATTTTCTGTCCAGAAAACATTGCATCGCGAGCTGCTTCAATTTTACGAGCCCGAGCCTAATTGACAAAAAAAAAAATTTGAAAATTAAAATTCAATACAAGAAAATTTAAAGATAATGCATATTTTATTATACTAATAAAAATAAGTTACACAATATTGTATATGATTTAAAATTTTTTTTAAATTTTTAATTTAAAAACTTAATTTTTTTTAATTTAATTTTTAAATTAACATACCAATTCAAATAAGAGGCCGAGTACTTCAGAGTCGATGCGATTTTTCGAGTAGTCGAGAAGAATTGTTCCATCTTCGGGAGTTTCAAGTTTTAAGCTTAGAAAAAAAAAAAATTATGTAAGATATTTACTTTAATTTAGTTAAATATTAAATATTTATTAATTTCGTTGATTCTTTAATAAGAATTAAAAGTTTCAAATATTTAAAATAATTTTTAAATTAGAATACTATTCAAGACGTGACAAAATAATTTTTTTTAAAACTTTACCACAAAAAAAAAATAATGAAAAATTTTTTTTTTTTTTGGATTTAAAAAAATCTTTAAAAAACTGTGAAATTAAACGATTGTGTGAGAAATGTATTTAAATATTGTTGAATTTCAATTATAAAGATGTAAAAGAAAATAAATCTTATATTATCTTATCTTAAATTATGAAAAATTGTAATTATGCAATAAAATACAATTAAAATTCTACAATTCAAATAAATAATTGAAATGATCTCTATAAATATTTAATTAATTAATTAAAATTATTATTACTTTCTAAATAAAATAAATGAAATTATTTTTAAATTTTTAATAAATTAAAAATTTTTAAATATTGATAGAATTTCAAAAAATGATTATGATTTTGTATAAAGCTGATGCAATTTTGTCATAATTTAAATAAATAAACAATTTTTGTACTAAAAAATTGATTAAAAAAAATAGAATTGAAAAAATATTCAAAATATTGAATTATTTTTACAAATATTAAAAATAAAATAATTTTTAAATTTCAATGTATTAGAGCAAATGAATAAAATTAAATTTAATCATCTAATAAAAATTCACTTTAAAGAATGATTTAAATTACACTTTAGTCACATGACACGTATAACTATTAAGATGTCAAAGTTCCATGACCCAAAGAACGAATAGAGCAATTTTGAATTGAATTCAAAAGAGGTCATTCCAAGGTTACATGTCAAGGATGATCAGCTCACCTTAAACTTTCAAAACGTCCTGGATTTTGTTGAAATAAATCCAAAATTTTAATTTTTTGACCATTATTATTGAAATATGTTTGCAATTTACTCCAAACCGGTTCTTCGGTTAATTTTGGTTTTGTCTCCATGACTAAATAAATATTGAAACAAATTCCTTTTAATTATATTGAATAATTCAAATGCTCAATCACCACGAGACTAGAGTCACGAACGAATGTGAATGAAGAGAAGAATATTTGTGATATTTGTGATCAGTAAAAGTGAAGCATGCGCGCTGTGATAATTTCTCTTCTCAGGAGGCACGTATTTCAAATTTAATTCTCTGAATGTTGAGAAAAGTGAATTAGAATGTTTTTTGTTTTTTTATGTATCAATTTAATGTGATTTTTTTTTTAATTTTTATTCATTTTCTTTTGTATGGTAAATATTTTTCTTCATATGAAAATCAATTTTTATGATTTCTAAGCGCAATGAATTCGACTCTTGAGAAAAAGAATAAATATTTCATTCTTTTGATTGATCGAAATGACTGAAATAGGTTGGATATTTTCACAATGTTTCAAGGTATATAGTAATCAAACATTTGTAAAAGAAATTAATTTTTTAAAATTCAAATACTTTTTTCAGTATGGCCGAAAGAAGAAAAATCGATAAAGAAAATTCTTCTCGAGAAAATAAAGAAAGAAAAAATTGTTTTCTAAATCATAAAAACGAAAAAGTAATAGATAAAAATTTCAATTCTAGAAAATACTGTGATAAATTATTAAGAAAAAATTGTCATCACAATTTGAGGTACAATGATTATTTCCTACATCATTTTACAGATGACAATAAAATAAAATCAAAAGAAAATAATTCATCAAAAAGTGAATTCTCAAATTTGATGAAAGATGAAAATAAAAATCGAAAAAAAGAAAAGAGAGAGGAGAAAAATGAATTTTTCAAATTGGATCAGAATTTTATTTCTTCTAATAAAAATATAGAGAATAAATTAGAAAATTTTGAAGGATCAGCTCGAACTCGAGGATTTTATTCTCCTAAAAAGAAAAAATTTGAAATTCAAAATAAAAAAGATTCACTTGAGAATTTGAAAAACGCGTCAAAATTGTACAATCAACGAAAGAAAAATTTTGAAAAACGATCAAAAGATTTCAATTCTCGTAGAAAAGGAAAAAAATATTTAGATTCAATAAATTCGATTAATTCATGTGATTCTAAAATTTTAGAAATTAAAAAAATTAAAAATTTACTTGATCTTTCAAATCAACAACTAACGAATTTCAATACAAAATATTCATATAAATCAAATAAAAGTCAATCATCCAGCGATTATTCATTTCAAAATGATGTAGAAAAATCAAAACTGTCGAAAGAACAATTTTCATTGGAAAATAATTTAAAAAATAAAATAAACGATGAAAAAAAAAATAAAGAAGAAATTATTTCAAAAAATTTAGATCACAAAAATGAAATAAAATCAAGAATTTCCAAAAAGAATAAAATTACTAAAAGAAAATATGAATATTCAAATCATAATAATAAAACTTCTCAACTGGTGAATTTTCTACGAAAACTAATTAACGATGAAGATAATAAAAAAATTGATGACAATAGTAAAAATTACAAAATTTCTAAAATTGATTCCTGTGTAAAAATTAAGGAAAATATAAAAATAGATTCAAGTTGTGAAAGTAGTGGATACGATTCGTTAAAAAATATAAAAGAACAAACTTGTGAAATAATTAACGATCAGCAATCATTTAACGAGACTAATAATAAATATGAAATAACAAAAATGAAAAATAATTTCTTAGAATTCATTAAAAGTCCAAATTTTGAATATTTTAAAAAATTTGATAATATTCAATTTATTATTGATTCGAAAAATTTTTGTTTATATAAAATTTATAAAAATAGTGAAGGCGAAATATTATTGAAAGAATCATCAAATATAGAATTTAATAAAAATGACTATATTATTGGAAAACGAATTTTTAAAAAACCCGAAGAATTAGAAGAATATCCCCAAAAAAATGAATTATTACAAAAAAATTCCATTAGGGAATTACGTGAATTTCAAAATAATTCCACACAAACTGATGAATTATTCAATAGTGAAACTTTTAAAAAAATCATAAGAAAGCACAATTGGTTTCGAGGAAAAAATTATAGAAAAAAAAATCAAAGAAAAAAAAATTATTCAATTGAATCGACGAGTAATTCAAGTTTTCCCGAATCGTCAGATTGTGAACAATTTAATTTGCCAATGAAGTTGAAAAAAAAGAGACAAGTCAATTCTTCGCCTACTGAAAAATATTTATCACATTCTCCAAAATCTAAAACAATTAATACATGTGATTTAAAATATTCATGCATGAAAATTCCGGAAAATCAAATAATAATGTTATTCAATTCCTCATCACCGGAAGTTGAAAAGAATTTGAAATGTTTGTTGAAAAGAAATTATTTTCATTTAAAACCAACTTTGGTTCCAATACCTTGGTTGAATTTAGAAAATTTTGAATTTTCTTCAGAGAAAATGAAATTAAATGAATTATTGCAAGTAAATAAAGAAGAAAATTGCAATAATTTTCAATCGACAGCTACTAATAGTATGTCAGAAAAGAAATTAGAAACTCATGATCAAACAGTGAGGAAGAAAAAAAAATCTAAACCATATTTTAGAATTTTTAAAAAAAAGAAAAAGTAATAGAGAGTAAAAAAATATTTTGTTGATATTTCAATTGATTTAGGGCAAATTGAATTCGAGTGTTTTATGAATTCTGTACAATAAAAATTCATTTAATGAAAAATTGTGTCAAATAAAAATTCAAAAAATGAAAATTCCTCTAAAAAATAATTTTATCTTATATAATTCTTTCAAATCAAAAATAATTGTAACTAATGATTTTTATGGGATAATCCACTAACTTTTTTAAAAATGTTTAAATTTGCATGAAACTTTGTACTTGAACAAAGAGGCAGATAGAAAGATAAATATATACTTTCATCCTTATTACACTCATTGTTCAACGTAAAACGGAGCGGTTTGAATTAAATCATGTAAACGCAGCCTAACAATTAAAAACAATGACGGCGCGTAAATGCAAAAACGTATTAAAAACAGAATTTTTTATCACATTATCAAAAATCATAAAACAACAAAAAAAATTTTTTTTTTAAACAATTAATTCAATTATAATTAATAATTTAATTATTTATAATATTTTATGTACAATTTTTTAATAAATATTTGTTATAAATCATTAATTAAAAATAAAAACCAATAAAATTTGTAACAAGAAATAAAATTAATTCGAAATCAAGATTTTTTAAAATAATATTTCTTTATTTCTAATTTTCATTTACACTCATCAGTTAATAAATAATATTTTTACATAAATTCATAATTATTGCAATATAGAGTATCATGTTAAAAAGGTCTGTTTATGTACACTAAAATACAATGGTTGTTATAAATTATTAAAAGAAAAAAAATTTTTTTTCTATTTTTGTACTTCTCATACAGTTGATTACAGTTTTCTTCTTTGTACTTTTTGGAATTGAATAAAAAAATATAGCAAAAATATTTATTTTTAACTCTATAAATGTACAACAGACCAATGAGATTAAGTTTCGATAAAATTGAGTTTACTACTACCACAGCACATAAAATTTCATCAATATTGCCATTATTTTTGCAAGTGTTACTGAAATATTAGAATATTGCTGCAAGTTTAGGTGCTGTGTAGGTATATTTATATTCTTTTTTTTAGAATTTACTACTAAATCTCATGAAAGTCAATCCTTTTTCAATTGTGTTTCTTTCTTTGCAAAATGTTCATCATAAAAATGATTAAGCATACCCAAAAAGAGACTTGTCACAATTACTCCTTGTGCTAAAACTCTTAATTGAACGGCAAAAACACTTGTATTTGCTGTAGGACCTTTTGTTCTATATCTGTGAATTCCATAGCTAACAGCACCTATTGTTCCCAACCATCCTGAAAATTAAATTTTTAATAAAATACCTAGTCATGAAAACTACTTTTTTTCAAATAATTAATAAATTATAGAAATAGGCTCAAGTTAAATAAAATTAATTATTAATAAATTATAGAAATTATATAATTAATTTTGACTATAATAAAATAAATTTGGAATTATTCAGATTTAACAACAAAACATACTATAGTTGTAAAAATTAACCGGCCTCGGGTCGTCTTTAAGGCACAAAAAAAAGGAGAAAAAGTCGATTTTTTTTTATTTTAACAAAATTTAATTGATTAATAAATATTTTACTTTAAATAATTAATTGAAAGACAAATTTTTTAAATTTTATTTAAGTAGGACGAATTTCTAAAAAAAAAAAAAAAATTATTCTTGAATTTCAATTTTTATAATTTTTTCAAGCCTGATTTAAGCAATTTATTCGAATTAAAAATTTTGTCATAGTTTTTAATTTTAATGGTGAAAAAAAATTCCAGCCAATACTTAATCAAGTTTTACAGATTTTTAAATAAAACCTTTTTTTTAATAATAATTTTGAAAGAGTTAAAGTTGAAATTTTTAGAAATAATTGAATTTCAAAAGATTTTGTTAATTTTCAGACAATAATTAAATTTTACAGAACTAAAAATATAATTTATCAAATAATTTTAGATAAGTTTTTTTTAAAAGTCTATGAATTTTCAAAGATTTACAATTTTGATTCTTGAAATTAATTCAACTTGAAGTGATTTTAATTTAAAATTTTTGATAATTTCACTAAAAAATTTATTAGAAATTGCAGACAAAAATAGAAATGGAAAATTTTTAAGTGAAAAATGGTTCAAATAAAATAAAGAAGATCTGAAGAAGATTTGCATTGCATACTAAAAAAACCGTATTTTATTTAAAAATTTGTTTAAAAAATGTAAAAAAAAATAAGTTGAATAAGATGCATTTTATTAAAAACAGTCGAAGAAAGTCGTATTTTTGAAAAAAAACAAAATTTGGAAAAAATCGTATAATCCGAGGCCTGAAATTATAGAAATTATATAATTAATTTTCACTGTAATAAAATAAATTTGGAATTATTCAGAATTAAAAACAAAACAAATTAATTTGTAAAAATTAATAATACACTGAAAAAACATTTATTTGATTAAAATAATCAATTTTTATTTGAAATAAATAAATTGAATCGTGAATTTCGAAAAGGGGTCAACTTGAAAAAGCATAAGTTTCCTTTTTCACATAACAATAAATAGTGAAAATGACAATTACGGTTTTCAGAGTTTCGAAATTTACTATTCGATTGTGTATTTGAACCAATAATTTCTATATTTGAAAGAAATACCATTTAATTGACTCAAATAATATTCAATTTGGTTCAAATAAATTTTTTTGCCACTGTACTTACCAGCAAAAAGAAACGGTTGTCTCTTAAATTTTTCAACAATTCGTGTTGTAAACGACTTTTCAGGCTCCTCTTTGAGAAAATCATAAGGATCGTCACTCATTTTTGTTTTTTCTGTTAATTTAATTAAAAATTTGTCAAACTGTAACAATAATATAATTAATTATATAATTTTCATATATATCATACTAAATATAAATAAAATTGCGATAAAAATTGCGATAAATAATATATGTGAAATTATATTGCGTCACTTTTTAAATATTTTATTTTTGAAAATACACTTTTCCTGATACAGATAAACTGTATAGGAATCCCATTCTCGAAAAATGATAAACATTAATTACTAGGTCATATTTCATAATGAATGGAGGACAAATATGTCAAGATTTATAGACATGTAAATATTCTTCGTAAGTTTTCTCATAAAATATTTCAAATATAATAGCGATTGAGCTAAAATTTAATGGAGAAATAAAAAATAGTGAACAAAAAAAAAAATTGGCTTGATATTTTTTCAAAAAATTTATTCTTAAAAAAAATGATGGAAAATTACATATGGCGGCCTTGTGATTTTCAGAACTTTTTTAAAATACTATTTTGATTTTTTCGAAAATAAATTTTGTTGGTAAAATATTTATACTCTTAACATGACTGTGAATCGTAATACTATTTTTGACTACTTCGCAAAATTTTAGCTTGGTAGTCTATGTATAAAGTATTTTATGAGAAAAATTTGTAAATCATTACATGTTAGCTAACAGTCACATGTTATTAATCAATTTATTCCAAATAAAATTATAATTAAGGACCTTTACGGAATAACAATAATCAATGAAAAAATTGAGGAATTTTACAGGAGACATGATTTTTTTTTATTGATTCTGCTATAGATCGTTATTTCAACTAAAGTGCAAAAATAATAAATTTTTAAATTAATAAATTCGATTTCAAATAAATGTGGATCACCTTCCGTGGAGGTCTTATTTTATTATCTAAATAAAAATGACATATACAACTATTTATTATTTCTTTAATAGAAAAAATAATTCAAACAAAAGTTATAATTTATCTATTTTAAAGTACAACAATAATTAATTATAGCCAACTTCATAAATAATTTAGTGAATAAAATGACGTGTATTAAATATGCTAAAACGTGATTAAAAATTAGCAATTTATTTAAAAATTCTCTAATAAGAAAGTATAAATTAAAAGAATTATTTATTACATAAAAATATTAGAAATGCTGTGTAATTCAGAAAAATTGTTAAATCATTCAATAAAGCATGCAATTTTAAATCAAAAAATTATAGGAAAAGTGTCCTTGCCTGTCAAATTTTATGCAGCACTTTAAAATCGAGAAATGATTGATTATTTAATTTGTTTGAAGTAACAAAGTACTCACATAGAAGAAGTTAAAAATAATTAAAATATATTTTTTGCCAAGAGTTACTTTAAAAATAGGAGGTGGGATTAAAAAAAGTTAACATTCTTCTAATAATATATACTAAATAATAATTAAAAAAAAAGGTAGGAGGAAAGCAAGGTCACAGTGCCGACAGGGTTGGATAGGTACAGCTAAATACACGTCGTTAGGTAAACCTACGTAAATGCTCTTTACGTATAAATACAAGTTACGAGCAATTAAGGTCATTTACAAAGTACTAAAAAGGACACAAATATACATCTCTTCTTTTCTATCTCATAATTTCCCTAATTAATGACATCATAAAAATTATTGTGCTTAAGCCTTTATATTTGTTTACAATTTTCTATTTTCTTTTACCTATTTTTTATATCTTATTTATTACTCTTATAAGTATAAAATTGTATAATTAATAAAATACTTTTTATATCTTTTTTTAATTAAATTTCATATTTTTATTTTTATCATATAGTCTGTTTCTATAAACAATTTTTAAGTTTAAATTTTAAAAAGAAAACCTTTTTTTTGGCAAATAGAATACAGAAAGAAATTTTCTGTTTTATTTTTATTTCTAAAAGTGTATATAAGAAACATGTAATATAAACTAAATGACTGACATATGAGTGCAATAGTAAACGTATACTTAGACAGCTGTCAAAATAAACACAAACGTCAATCTTTATTTTTAAACAAAAGCATCTCGTGCAGTAAGAGATTCTTAATTGTTGTAAAATAATAAGGTACAAACATTTTCATTTTTTCTAAGCTCTATTAAAAATTAGAATTAACTTTTATAATCACTAAAAAAAAAAAGAAAAAAAAAATTGCATTCTAACCTCAAAAATTTCTTATCACAACGTATAATTGATAATAATCTTTATAATAGAAATTTTTTTCAATTTATTGTCTCCTGCGCAATTTTAAGTCACTTTAACGATTTCTAAGACTATCTTAAAAGAATGCGAAGAATTTTTCTCTCTTAATCTATTGCTCCTCATATAAATAGTAATAAAGAATACAACCGGGCGTTTAGAAAATCAATAAAATGAAAACGCAGAAGCTTTTAGCGCACGTCAGAATATATTTTCTATATAGTTTATCATCATAATATACAACTAGTTCGCAAGGTTTGCAACCGCACCTGTTGAATTTGGAACTGTGAAAATTTCTCTAAAAAGTTCACATCAGGTTTTTATAATTTCTTATTTCTATATTAATCAAAAACTTGTTTCTTTATTGCATTACTGTGTTTTTTTTGTAAACAAATTAAAGCGGATTTTTTTTTTAATTTATACAAACGTATAATTTTATACAGATGTCTTATTTAATTGTCAAGTGATTTTTTTTGCGCTTTTTTTTGCGCTTTTTTAAAATAAATTTTTTATATTCCCTTTTGATTATATAATTTTAGGTAATCATTGCTTGCAAAATATATGTCCCAAAATTTTCCTTATCAATACCATTTGTGTTCAGGTATGTTTTTAGTTTTATTAAATATTATTTATTGCACTTAAAAAAAAAAATTTTACTTACGAAAATTTCTGTTACTTTTGTATTTTATATATTTTTTTGAATAATCGTTACTAAAAATAGAATTCTAATTATTTAGCGATAAAAGTATGTAATTTCTTTTTTTTCATTAATATTTATCAACAGAATAATAAGAGAAATTTAAATATTTATTTAATATTATTATTATTAAATAATAATAATAATATTATAAAATATAATTTATTTAAATATTTAATTTGAATATTTTTTTATTTTTGTTTATATTATTTTTTTACTTAATTTATTTTTTAATATAAAAATAATTTATTATTATTATTATTATTAATTAGTACAATCTATTCTATTGTCAGTATTTCACATGAGAGACATTTGACCTCTCAATCTATTTTTTTTATCTTGCATTTTTTTATCACATCACATGTACTATATTATTATTATTTTAAAGAAACGTTTGGTTATATACTTTTTTCTTTTGACGTTACGATCTTTTTTTATATAGAAATGGATCAAATAGGAGAACCAGCCCAATCGCAAAAACTCGAGGGTTTTAAATATTTAGTGATTGTGACTCAAGCCTTTGGGATTCTTTTGGTTATTTTAATGGCCACATGGAATTTTTGTTATCGTGATGGTTTTGCATGGTCTTCAGATCCAAAATTACAATTTAATTGGCATCCAATGTTAATGACACTTGGACTTGTCTTTCTTTACGCTAATGGTAAAAAAAAAAATTTTTACTTACAATTCTTATCAAAAAAAAAAAAAAAAAAATATAACGTAGAATACCTCCATTTTTTATATTTTAATCTATTTATGAAAAAAAAATTTTTTTTTTTTTGTTTTAACAATAGAAAAATTGTAAGAAAATAATTATAATTAAATTATTATTATAATTTTTATTCTAATTAAATTAATTAATTTCTTTTTTTTCATATATTTTAGGAATGCTAATTTACAGAACCCAAAGAAATGTTCGTAAAAGGCGATTGAAATTAATTCACGGTGGAATAATGTTGTTTGTCCTTATAATGACGATTATTGGTTTAGTTGCAGTTTTCAGTTTTCATAATAAAATGAATATTCCAAATTTATATTCATTGCACAGTTGGGTTGGATTATCGGCTGTTATTCTATTTGCAGGACAGGTGAGCAGTGATTGAGAATATAAATTGCTATAAAAATTTTGTAATTTAAAAAAAAAAATTACAGAAAAAAATAAATCGAAGTTATTAAATTATTAAAAATAAAATTAAGTTGAAGTAGAAAAAATCGCTTTTTACAATAATAATATTAGTAAAGAAATATTTTTAAATAATCATTTTGCAATAGTAATTAATGAATAGTTTTTCAAAATTCATTTGATAATATTTATTATTTCCTAAGTAAATTTTCTATTGTTTCTCTAATTTCATTTGCAGTGGATCGCTGGTTGTGTCTCATTCTTATATCCAGGAATTCAAATTACTTTGCGAGCTGCTTATATGCCAATTCACGTTTACTTTGGAACTGCTGGTTTCATTGCCAGCGTTGCTTCTTGTTTATTGGGACTTACTGAAAAAATTCTCTTCGTTGACTTCGGCAAAGAATCGTAAGTATCATAATTTCATTAAAAACAAAAAAAATTAACTATAATTATTAACTTTTTAATTACTTTGAAAATATATTTTAGTTAAAACAATAAAATAATAATAATAAAATTAAAAAAATATAATACAAATAAAAATTTAGAAATAAACAATTAAATTATATTTTTTTTCTACAATATAAAAATTAATTAGAATAATTATTTTTTAGTGCTTTGAAATATCAAAATTTACCACCCGAAGGTGTTCTTGTCAATGTAATTGGATTATTGTTCGTTATTTTTGGATCCCTAACAGTTTATTTATCATCCCAAGAGCGTTATAAACGATTACCTCGACCTGAAGATGATTTTTTATTATCAAGCCGATCAAATTGAAAAGAGGAAAAATCAACTAACTAAAAACGCAAACTTTTTTATTTTCATTTCATTTAATTTTTATTTCTCAATTTACTGTCATTTTTTAAACAACGAATCAATTCAATGTGAAAGTATTTTACCTGTTAATTTTTAATATATAACAGAAAGTTGAAGTTACGTTATAAAAAAAAAAATATTTTTAAAAAATATTTAAAAATTTTTAAATATTTACGAATATGAAAAAAAGTTCGAAGAAAAAACAAAAGTGTTTATATTTATATGCATTATGTATATATATATAATATAGTTTATTATATATTCTTGAATATATTGAAAAATGTAAAATTATCACAAGATAGAAATCAATGTTTATTATGTACTTTTGACAGAATTTTGAAAGATTTATAACTGTGAAAAAGTGATAAGAAGATCACGTAATGATTGTAATCAAAGTATCATCGATATCGTGAAATTTTTGACTGGTTATTGATTAATATTTTTGTTTTTTTTTGTCATTATTATTAATTATTTTTAATTTATAGATGAAATTCTCTATATTTGATTTATATGGAGAAAAACAAATTTTTTTTTAAACTTAATTATCAACGGTAACTAATTACTATCATTATTATAGCAATAATTGTAAAAGAAACGTAAATTTGAAATATTTTTCTTATACATTCTATTATTTAGAATGTATTTAGTATTTAAATTTACGTTTTTTTTTATTTCGTGATTTTAGTTTCTGTTTCTTTGTGATTTATACAGTTTCTAAGAGACTGATGGTGCTTTTAATTTTACTATTTACAAACAAAAAATATTTATTTACAATATACACAAATATTTTATTTGTAATTAAAAAAAATTTTTTTTTTTTTTTGTTCATTGTGAACAAACTGTGTCGAAATAAAATCTGTATTAAAAATTTTAACAGAATTTAATTTTTTTTTAAAATTTAGTTCTTCAATTATAAATTAACTTTATATTATTATTATCTACTAATGTTGATCCAATATATGCCTAAAAATCTTTTTACACTTTTTAAGGTTAATCGTTTTTAGTAAAACAAAAACGTTTAATAATAGAATTTGAAATACGCGCTTGAAATTAAGAAATCACGCACGCGTGCGCAATGTTGAGGTTTATAATTTGGTAATACTTGCATAAGCATTCTGATTGGCTATTGTCGTTTTGTATTCCCAATCAGCTGCGAATGACACTGACAGAAGCAGACACAAATGAAGAAGAGTCGTGTCAAGAAGTGTTGTATCATTGTTGTCTTGTTTTAAATTGAAGTTGTTGTTGTTTATTAGCTGTAATTTAAAAAAAATTACAATTCAATGGTTAATCAAACACCTGATCCTCAATCAAAATATGAATTATTAGTCGACATACAAAAGTAAGTATATACATAAAAAAAAAAAAAACTATAAATATCTCCTACTTTTTCCATATATAATATTATTGATTTGATACACTTTTACTTAATTATTATAAATTTATGTGATACTATAAATAAAAATAGATGAATTAAAACTTGATTGAATTGATAAAATGTGAATGACAATAGTGATAGTTTATTATGACACATTTTGTTTACCTTGGAAATTAGTATTATCTTTTTTAAAAAAAAAACAGTTCGGCTTTATATGAACATTTAATAAAATGTTTTATGCGGAAACTGATTAAATTAAATTGCCTTTTGTGTGAAAAATATATATATATATATTGTATTTGTAGACCTCGTTTGAGCAAGCAAGTCCTTTGTCTTGCCCTAACATTTTCAACAGTTGGGGCATTATTCATAACTCGTATTTGGATTGGAATTTCAACAGCGCGATCAGCGAGGGAATTTGTTGTTGGTGAAAAAATTGAAAATGCCCAGATTACTGCGTGGTTACATCGGGCACGGATGTATGCCGAATCGACGAAGGAGAACAAGAATTCGTCCCGGGATGCAAACATTAAATCAACCAATGATTATGCCCAAGATCCCTCAGGGTAATTATTTATTTCATAGTTTTTTTTTTGTTTTTTTTTGACAATTTTCAAATTCACTGTTAGTTAGTTTTCATTTATTGTAATTTACAATAATTTTATTTTTATTTGTAATTTATATTTGTAAATATAATTTATATTTGTAAATATAATTTATATTTTAGGCCTCGGATTATACGACTTTTTTTCAAAAATACGATTTTTTCAACTTATTTTGATAAAATGCGACTTTATCGAATTTTTTTTACATTTAAAAAAAAAAAAATTTCAATAAAATACGTTTTTTTAGTACCTATACAATGTAGATTTTTTTTATTTTAATGATTTAATAAATTTTTAACTAAAATTCTCAACTAAATTAATTATTTTTAATAATTTTAATTTATTACAAATTTAATTTAATTTTACAAATTCAATTATTTTAAACTATTTTTCAATTTAAATTTTTATGAAATTTAATAATTGTTTATAATTTAAAAAGCAAATTAGCAAATAAAATTGACAAATTTCTCTTATTATAATTATTGTTTGAAATTTAACACTATCTTTTGTAATTCAATTATTTTTAAAAATTTCAATTTAAAAGCTTCTAAAATTTAATTATTTCTAAAATTTCCCATCTAAAATTTTTTTGAAATTTAATAATATTTCAATTATAACTTTCCTGAAATTGAATTATTTTTAATGATTTTTATAATATTCTTCGAAAATTTAATTATCTAAAACCATTTTTCACTTAAAAATTTTCAAATTCTATTTTTCTCTGCAATTTCTATTAAATTTTTTTAGTGAAATTATCAAAATTTTTAAATTAAAAATTACTTTTTTAATTAATATCCAAAATCAAAATTTGAAAATTCAAATTTCAATTTGAAATCAATCTTTGAAAATTCAATTACTTTTAAAAAATGTTATCTAAAATTATTTGATAAACTATTTTTAGTTACTGTAAAATTTAATTATTGTCTGAAAATTAATAAAATCTTTTCAAATTCAATTATTTCTAAAAATTTCAACTTTTAACTTTTTCAAAATTATTATTTAAAAAAAATTTTTTATTTAAAAATCTGTAAAACTTGATTAAATATTGTCTGAAATTGTTTTGATCATCAATACTAAAAACTATGAAAAATTTTAAATTCGAATAAATTGCTTAAATTAGACTTGAAAAAATTATAAAAATGGAACTTTAAGAATTTTTTTTGGAAATTTGTCAAATAAAATTTTGAAAATTTCTCTTACAATTAATTCGATTCTGAAATATTCGAAATAAATTTTCTTGGTAATATTTTTATAGAATTATTATTCTCATTACAGAATTAATAAAATGAATTTAATATCTAATAACATTAGTTAAAGAAAAATATTTATTAACCAATTAAATTTTGTGAAAATAAAAAAATCGTCTTTTTTTTAATATAAATCGACTGAAACGAATTTTTTGTTGCCTTAAAATCAATCCGAGGTCTGAAATTTGTAAAATTTCTTTTTGTACAAAAAAAAAATGAAATATTTTTAAATTATATATTTATATATTTAGGAAAATCATGGTCTGCTATTTCTCCATATCACAAGACATGAACACGTCGCAAGAGCTCAATCCGTCGCACGTTGACCCTCATATTTGTACGCATATTATCGTGGGTTTTGCAAGCGTGGTAAATTGCAGTCTCAACTTGGGCGAGTACTCTTGGGTTTATCGGCAAATTGCCGATCTAAGAATTCAAGAGCCCAATCTCAAGGTGATGATAAGTGCAGGCGGAATAAATGAGCTCAATGCAGGATTTCCCGAAATGGTCAGAACACACGCCAATAGAAAAATGTATGAATTTTTAATTATTACTATTTAATTTTAAAAGATCTTTAAATTTTTCGATCTTTGTTGAATTTAACTATTTAATTTTGTTACTAATTGATAAATTCTTTTTTAATCGCTGCTATTATTATTATCCAGAAAATTGTTGAAAATTACGTTTTATTGAAATATGTTATTTAAAGGAAAAAGGAAAATATTTATCAAACATGAGAATAAAAAAAAAAAATTAATCGACTGTCAATAATATGCGGAAGTAAATAATAATGAATGTCGAAAGAAATGTTTATCAAAAGATAAATTTATTATTGAGATAAAAATCAGAATGGAATTTTGCAATTTTATTTTATTTTATTTTATTTTATTTAAAAAAAAAATAATAATTTCTAAATCTATAATAATAAATAATATTGGACAATATTTTACAGTTTCATTAAATCAGTGTTAAATATCACAAAAACTTTTGGACTCGATGGACTTGATATCGATTGGGAATTTCCTGCATGGAATGGAGCAAATAGTCGTGAAAAAATTTATTTCATTCAACTTCTTCAAGAATTGAAAAAAGAATTTTTACGAAGTGATGAAAAATTACTTCTTTCAGCAGCTGTCGCTGCTCCTGATTCTATTATTAATCAAAGTTATAATGTTCCAGAAATAGCTAAGTAAGTCAAACGTGATTTAATCAATAATCGTATATAAAATATTTTAATAATAATGGATATATAAAAATAATTTTGAGAAAAAAAGCAAATAAAATAGAAAATATAAAACGCCTTTAAAAAAAAAAAATAATATTATTAATTAAAATTTTTCTCTTCAGATATGTTGATTTTATAAATTTAATGTCCTACGATTATCATTCCTATGTGTGGTATTATCCAGTGACTGGTTTGAATTCGCCACTTTTTCATCGTTCAACGGAAATTGGATTTTTGGCAAGTTTAAATGTAAATTATTCGGCAAACTATTGGATATCAAAGGGTATGCCAAAAGAGAAAATTGTTATTGGAATTCCAACTTATGGACATTCGTATAAATTAACTAATCCATTGAATCATGATGTGCAAGCACCGGCAAAAGGAATTGGTACACTTGGTCGTCATAGTTTTGTACCATATTACACGGTTTGTCAATTTCTTCAGGGCGGTGCCAATTTTAAATTTCTTAATGACAGTCTCGTGCCATACGCTTATCAAAATGACGAATGGATATCGTACGATGATATTAATAGTGTAATTAAAAAAGTAAGTTTTTAATATCATTAATTTCAGAAAGAAAAATAGATAATTTATTTTACATTTCAATGCGAAAAATTATTTTTAATGTTCAATTTTTATTTAACAAAATTTCTAATTATTCAACTTTTTTATTAAAAAAAAAAAACAATTAATTTATAATGAAAAATTTTTATTTATATTTTCAATTTGATAAATTTTTAACTTATTCAATTTTTTATTCAACTGAAAATGTCATTAAACTTTTATTTTGTCGAAAGAGAAAAAATTATATTATTAATTTGCTTTATTTTTTCTCTCGCAGGCAAAATGGATCAAGTCAAATGACTACAGAGGTGCAATGATTTTTTCATTAAACTGTGAGGATTGGAATTCGACATGTTCGAAAAATGAAACATTTCCTTTGATTCGAGCAATTAAATTTGCAATGAATTGAAAATTTAGATCAATTATATTAAATTAAATTATAATAGACTGTGATTCAACTCTCAATGCAGTTAAATCCGTACAAATTAATTTATATATAAATATATATATATATATATATATATATATATAAATATATATATATAGACAGTATTATATTTTTTGTGATACGTGAAAATTTTCACGTACACAATTAATTTAATCATTCCAATTTGTATATTATTTTCTCTTCTTTTTTTGTTTTTTACAACAAAAAAAAACTCAACCAAAGAAAAAAAAAAATGTTACCAATTTATCTATTTATTCCTATATTTATATAGATAAAATTAAATAGTTTATTTCTACTTGCTATTACTACTACTACTACTATTTAATGAAACATGTAAATACTTCACATTTTGAAAATAACAACAAAAATTTGGAAAATTTCCACTTTTTTTCGAAAGAAAAATCTTTCAATTCTTGCCATTTTCTATTGAAAATATCTAATGTTTAGGATAATAGGAATTGGGAAGTTGAAAAAAAAATAAAGTATAAAAATCTTCGTTTCCCATAAATAATTGTTATGTACTTTTGTACGTATATTAAGTCCATCACAGTATTATTTCAGATTCATTGAACTTGAAACCAAACAAAAATAAAATAAAAAATGTATCGTCATTACATTGAAGGAAATATATACAAGCCAGAAAAAAAGTACTTTTTTTCAATTCTTCTAAAATAGTCATTTTATATTTTTAATTAATTTCTACAATAAGAAATTATTACCATTGAAAAAAAAAAAATCTTGGAAATATTCATCAATTTTTGTTACACATTTTGGGTATATTAGAAATTTTCGTGGAAAAAAAGACATTATTTACATTTTATATAACTAACAAAGAGAATTTTTCCTCTAGCAAAAAAAAAAAAATATGTAAAATTTCACTAAATATGAAATAAACTTAAAAAGTGCTGACAAAGTCTAGGAACTGCTTTATTATTAAATTTCACTAAAAAAAAAAAACTTTATAATAAGGGAATTTTAAGGAAACATCCAAGAGACGCAAAAATAAATCCTGAATTTTTGTATTTTCATTTTACCGGAAACTACATTTTTTTTATTTTACCAAATTATCATTTCGAATTTTCTTTTTGACGACAGATTTGACTAATATTAAATTTTAAAATAAATACTAATTTTTTTTGCGATTTTAGGTCAATTGAAAATTACAAAGAATGTGTAGGATGAATTATTTTTTTTTTTTTTTTTTTTTTAGGAAATAATTATGCTTTTCACATCGAACAGAGAGGTATATATATATAATATATAATGTCAAAATGAACACGACGATTGAAAAAATTCTATTATAATTATTATTATTAAAATATCCATATTAGTCCTGGAATCGGTAATTTTTAAATACTTTCGTGATTTTTGCGAGAAACAATTCTTTTTCAATATGGAATCCATATTATTATTTCACACAAAGTCGTTGTTAAATTTTGCACAAATAATTCTATATTTATAATTTATTATTATTTAATTATAATAGTAAAATAAATTTTTTTTATTTATTTTAATGTGTTTGACTTTTTTTTAGTCAAGAGCTTTTTCAAATATAAGATTTAAAAGTATACATAATTTAAAAGACATGGATGAATTTCACGTGGAATCGACAATAAAATAGAATCATTACTGAAAAGTAATAATTTTTGTTTTCTTATAAAATTATTATCTACAAACATTTATGAGAAATAATTATTTGTTCCATAGGAAAAATACTCGATTAAAAAAAAGGTAGTTCTTTCTGTATAAAAAAAATTCGGCAGAAATTACTATACATACTTAATTAAAATTTACGTATTTCCCTCTGCAGAATATATTTTAATTGATTTTATACAGAAAGTTCTATTTAAATCGAATTTTCGAAAGTTTCTCAACATTCATTATTTTTTCACAATTCTTTCTCTCAATCACATTACTTTTTTTTTGAGATACATCCAGGAATTATTTCTGTACAGCCTAAGTTATAACAAATTTTTTTTCATTTTCTTTTTAAATAATTACGTTACTTTATTAAGAAGGCGCTCTTTGTGTGTTATATTACTTTGTGAATCTAAAGCAGCGTTTTTTTTCTATACCGCTATAATATATTTTTGTATTTTCAGTCTACAAAGGATAGGCGAAAGAATCGCGGCTTAAGATGTCATGCAGAAAATAGAGAGAAAGACTATAAAAAGTAGGTGATTATATTTTCATTTGAATAATTTTTCAATTATTAATTTTTTTTTTTTGTGTTTCTAAGATTAATTTACCTATTTATAGAAAGGGGAGGGAAAAAATTTTAAAAATAGAAAAAAACGAAATTTAATATAATGGACAATTTTGCCGATCCTTCCGCCAGACTGTCCATTTCTTTTTTTGCAAAAATTTAAGAAGCAAGAATTTTTTGAAAGATAAAATCTTGCTTTCTATATTCATGATCTTTCTCATCTTTTCTCATCTAAAATGGCCTCTGAATTTTTGCTTCTTTTTTTTTTGTTACAGTCTTTCTCAATTTAAACTCGGTTGTCGATTATTGTCCCATTCAACTTCGAGATTTTGCCACTTTGTTTGCAGAACCGTTAACATACTATTATTTGAAACGCATTTTAAATTACTCTCGAGTAACACCACTTGACCTTTGTGATAAATAATTTTGTTGTCAGGATTACTACGCGATAAACCATTGTAATGATAAAGTGTAAATGTATCAGGATCAGTTGGTTGTTGCTCTGAGAAAAATTCTTCCATGAATGCATTAAATAGAATTATTCCTAGATTCTCCTTGTCTAATTTTTGTTTTATTATATCCACGCTGCAAGGGAATTTTTTTTTTTTTTTAGATATTTCATAAATAATTTATAATTATTTTCTAAAAAAAAATTTTTTTTTGGGAATAAAACAAAATACTTACTATTCAGAATCATTAACTAAATTCAATTCAGCGAGAACATCTTGTAATAAAGTTGTTTGAATGAAATTATTACCATCCGGACTGTATTTATTGAAAATTCGCTTAGCTTTCTCCGCGGGTGTTTCGGGCCTCACAAGATCTCTCTCGGGCGAAAATAAAACTGTCAAATGTGTCTCTGATCCTAAAACCCAAACTGGATGCTTTGGCGATTTGAGAAATGCGCCCACTTCACAATATTGCAAATGTTCGAGATACGCTAAAAATCCCACGGAATTTTGTTTCTCGATACCAAGCAATTCTGAAAAAAATAAAAATAAATTAAAACAAAATCGGAAAAAAGTTAATAATAATAGAAAATTAAATTTTTAAAAAATAATTTATAATTTAAAAAAATGATGAACTTTAAAGAGAGATAAATTATTTTTTTTTCAATTCTTACTGAGTCCACCGACGTCTTGCTCATGATCCCAAACGTGACCAACTGCTCGACCAGTTAGCATAAGATTTATTAAACTCTGACTTCCGTAGCCAAAAGTCGATTCAATTAAACATTCCGATGAGTCTAACATTTCCGATTGCATTCCAACCATTCCCTTTGTACATATTACTGTATAAAGTAACACAAAGACACCAAATGATTCTTTTAATAAATTGATCCTTTCCATAAAAAAATTTTCTACTTCGCCAATGCTCTCTACCGGAAGTATCCTGAAATTTTTATTAGATTTTTAGAGAAAAATTTCTATAGATTTTCATTAGACAAAATAATAATAATAATAATAATAATAATAATAATAATAATAATGCCAATAATGTTTTTTTAACGACTGTATTCTTTGGTACAAATAAAAAATTTTTTTGAGTTATAGAATAATTCTCAAGATTTAAATTTATAATTTTTTTTTTTTTTTAAATTCAGATTATCTTTCTATATTAATAATAAAATAATTTATGGTAAATAATTTTTGCTGATCAATTTTAATTTTAAATATAAAACTGCTACTCAAATTGAAATTCGAATAATTTTAAACTTAAATCAATTAAAAATTTGGACAAATTAAAATTTTAATAGTTTAAAACTTAAACCAATTAAAATTTGAATGATTTTAAACATAAATCAATTAATATTTGGATAAATTGAAAAATTAAATTAAATAATATTTGGACAAATTAAAACTTGGATAGTTTAAAATTTAAATCAATTAATATTTGGACAAATCGAAATTCAAATAATTTAAAACTTAAATCAAATAATATTTAGATAAATTGAAATTCGAATAATTTGAAACATCAATTAATTAAAATTTGCGAAACTTAAGTAAACAACGTTTATGATAAACGATTTTTAAAGAAAAAATTTTTTAAAATGAAAAATTATTTCTTTAAAAATCATTTATCATAAACGTTGAGTATTTCAGCTTCGTTAAAATTTAGAAAATTGTTAAATTAAATCATTTTGAATTCTGATAATTTTAAACTTAACTCAATTAATATTTTAATAAATTAAAATCAAATTAATTTGAAACTTAAATCAATTAATATTTAGATTACAATTTATTTAATTTTACATTTCGATCGATTTAATTTACATTTGATTGAAATTTTAATTAATTTTTTTTACCAATAAGAAATTAAAACTGATTAAAAGTTGGATCAGTTGAAATTTAAATTTAATTGAAATTTATATTAATTAAAATTTGAAGGAATTCCAATTGAATTTATGATTAATTAGAAATAGAACGAATTTAAATTTATATTGATTACAATTTTAATCAATGAATGCTTCAATTAATTTAAACTAAGATTTATTGAAATTTAGCCTAAATAATAATTTTTAAATAATAATTTTAATTAATAATTGCTTCAATTAATTGATACTAAAATATATGTATACTAAAAGTTTTGAACGTTTAAATGAATGAATTTTTTTACTTTTTGTAAGTTTGGATTTTTGTACAAAATATTAATTTACACGCAGTAAAAAATAAATGACTTATTTAATAAATATTGTATTTATTTTTTATTACCTATATAAGAATGAAATAATTTTTTGAAAATATCGAAACAGAAAAATAATTTCATTCATTTAAGCGTTTAAAACTTTAGAGAAATTAAAAATTATTAAAATTAAGGCTAAATAATTTTTAAATTAATAAATAGAATCGTGGATTAATTGAATTATTTAAATAGAAAGAAATAAAAATATAATTTTATGTTTTCTAAATTATAATACAAGATCAACAATGTTAAAAAAAAATTCTTTTTAAACTAATAAATTATTTTTCATTATTTCTGTAGTTTAAAACAATGTTTTTAAATTTGTAAATTTCATTATTTTTGAAATAATCCGCAAATTAATTGAATTTAAAAAAAGATTAAAAAAAAAGGTATAATATTATTAAAATTTAATTTAACAGAATTTTAATAGAATAAATTTGTATTTTCGATATAGGTATAAAAAATGATGAATAGATAAAAAATTTGTGATCGCTGTTTTCTTTTTTAAAATAAAAAAAAAAATTGTACAAAATTTTTGACAAATTTTTGAAATAAATTAAAAATAAACTTATTTGTATACCTTAATCGTGAATGAAAATTTTCAGAGAGAATTTCTTGTCCTTCACTTGTGCTTGGGACATTGACAGGAATTCTAGTCTCTGATTTCGATGAACATTCAGGCACTTCTCCATTAACCATATCACTAGAGTCGCTTAAAAATACGATAGAATACTTTGGATTTTGTACATCAGCAGCCTGTGCAACAATTTCAGTAATAGCTTTCACAAGTAGTTGATCACATTTTTCAGCTTTTATATCTTTCCACGTTGAAATGTCACATTCTTGTAATAATTGTTTTATTATAAATGCTTGAACAGGAGCAATCACAACACATGGCCCACCTTCTCTTTGTACGAGTGCAGTCGGTTCATCCGAACTGAAATAAAAACCTGCGAAAAAAAAATTTTCTTTTCAAAATATAATTATTATTTAAATATTAATTTTTCAAGACATATTTTGAAATACAATGAAAAACAAATGAAAAATAAACAAAAAAAAAAAAAAAAAAAAAGAGTATTGGAATTATACAAAATAGAGGTACCGAACAGAGAAAGAGGAGTGATGTAATAAAGAAAAAAGCCGTATTTATATACATATATGAAGTAACAACAAAATGTGTGAATCATTTTATGTAATAAAATTACGAGAATTTTTTTTTCTCCCTCTTTTTACTTTTTTTAAGCAAAAATAAAATAACACTCACCTTGTGCCCATCTTCTAAAGACATCTTCCTTAACACTCGGTCCCCAAAGAAGGATTTTGATATTTTCTAAAAGTTCTGCAGCATTCTCTGCCATTATCGAACTCGTGGACGAATTATATATTATTTTCTTTTTGTTTATTTTTTTCTAATGTTACAAATTTACAAAAAGAAAAAGACCACAATTTGTATTCCCCTTTTTTATTCTATTTTATAAGGGACATGATGCAGTGTAACTGATTAATTAGTCAAAAATAAAATTTCAATTTTCCAAGTGTACTAATGTTTGATAACCTATTTGGCACATACAGCAAAGTACGCCGCCATGCCAAAAAAAAAAAAACAGCAAAAAAAAAAGGAAAAGAAAAACCCCTCTTTTTTCAGTGACCACGATTTTTTGATTAAAAATTAGAATTATCGCACGCTTGCCACACCTTACATAGAAATAAATTAACTGTTTTTTTTTGTTTTTTTTTTTGCTATCAAATTTTGTTGAAATTTGCTCGAAACGCAGATTTATCCAAGCTCCGAGCTTGATTAATCGACCACGTGATCATATCAAGATCATCCATATCACTGTGTCCTTCTCTATGTGACAAGATGGGCAAAAAGCTCGTTTTCATAAGAAAAGAAAAGCTCAAAATTAGAAGATAAGTAACAATCAATGCCATTCGTTCATTTCAATGGAATATACAATTTTATTGGTTAATATTTTTACATTTAACCAATAAACATTGAGGTATTTTATAATATGTTTATTCTAACCTAGAAATATGTGGAAAAACTATTATATTTGTAAATTTTCTTTGTTAACAAATAAATCTATTGTAAAAAAAGAAACAAAAAAAAAAATGTTAATTATTACAAATTTTTTATATAGATATTTTCAATTTCTTTTTCAAATTGGAAATTACGTTAGTCACGTGACATTGGAAAAGTATTATTTTTTTTTTTTGAATATGTACCAAAAAAAACAAAAAGAAAAGAAAAAAAATTAAGAATTTATTAACGCTAAAATATTATACAATAGTTATTTTCTATTTTTCTTTTTTGTAAAAATTAGAAAAAAAAATTTTTTTTTTTAAACATTTTTTTTCGGCGAGCGCAGCGTCATCTGTCGAGTTTAATGAAAATCAATGGTCAACGATTTCATGGAGGTTCGTGGTGCTTTGTCGTTTGGTGATAAAAATCAACAATTCACATGTAATAATGCTGTAACGTATATAACTAATATTTGTTTTTCAAAAATCTAATTTTTCATTGAATTATTTGGCGTTAAAGCCGCGTTTTAAATTGATTAAACTTGGCACGCTTCGCGGTTTATTATATATACAATCGTTGGAACCGTATTAGTGTGATAGCAGCAAAATGGCAGCAAGCGAGTCCACATCGGATGAGAGCCTTTATCCTATTGCCGTTTTAATTGACGAATTAAAAAATGAGGATGTTCAGGTATTATGCATTTTATTATTTATTATTTCTATTATTTCCGGCATTAATTATTCAACATCTAGCATGCATTGATGAAGCGAAAGTTTACCGGTCATTTTCAATGTGTTGATTGAGGTTGTGATTATATAGAACCTTGTTTGCAGACACTGTTATAAACGCTTATTCAAACGTCATTAAAAAGATTTACTTGGCGGCGTTAAGAGAAAAGTGTTAATTTTATTTATTTTTCAAATTAATTATCAATATAACAGTTGTAGATGATTTTCTTTTTCTTTTGATAAAATTGAATGCGTCATTGTTGTAGTGATTCATATATTATTAAATAATAATTTTTGTAATATGTACTCTTTGTTTGTTTGTTTTTTTTTTTTTTTTTTATAGTTACGTTTGAATTCTATCAAGAAACTTTCTACGATTGCTCTTGCTTTGGGTGTTGAGCGTACACGCAGTGAGCTCATTCCATTCTTAACAGAAACAATTTATGATGAAGATGAAGTACTTTTGGCACTTGCCGAACAATTGGGAACATTCACGCCTTACATCGGTGGACCGGAATTTGTATATCATTTATTGGTAAGAGAAATATTTATTTTTGAATTATTTCATGTTAATTATTTATATTTGTTTTTCTATTTTTGGAGGGGTGAATTTTAATTGACTTTTGTCTATATATTTATAATTCTAAACATTTTGTACTTAATTAAAAAATATAAAATTTTTATTATCGAATGAATCATTCAATAAGTGAATAATTTAAGATTTTCTGTTTATTCGAATTTTTATAAAGTAGAAATTATATGAATTTTATATCGGATTTCTATTACGAAACATTTTTATTTGTAAAAATGTTTTGTCTTAATTAAATTTTTATTTATAGGAATTTTTTTTCAATAAAATTTCTTTACGAATATTCACATAAAAGAATTTTTTATTTAATTTATTTCTGATTTAATGGAAATTCAATTTAACATAATTTTTATTTAACTAAATTTTTATTATAGAACATTTTAATTTGAAAAAATTTCCATTTGTATTTATTTATTTCCATATCAGCAAAATTTTTAAATGGCAAATTTTTAAATTAACCAAATTTGCGATTTCAGAAGTTCTATTCAATAATAATTCATGTAAATAAAAAAATTAATAATAATTAATTATTTATAATTTCAGGTTTCGAAGTGAGACACATTTTTACTTTTTTGATAAAAATTTTGGGCAAAAGCCATTAAATAATAATTTTAAAAATAACAGTATTCAAGAATCTTAAATTTTAGCGAATTTTTGGATTACTAAAAGCTCGCCATGATTTATTATTGGCTGCGTTAACTAATGCTTTGTATAAATATTTTTTACACGAATTTTCATTTTTCAAAATATCATTTAACATAATTACTTCTTAAACGATTTTTTACTCAATAGAATTTTTTATTTGACAAATTTTTAATTTACAAAATTTTTTCTTTACCCAACTGTTTTTTTTTTTTAAATAATTCTACTTTAACCGAAATTCAGACAATAATTGAAATTTAAAGTATTTTGAATGGAAAAATGTTTTAAATAATTTAAATGACAAGATCTTGATTAAAGTTATTAGAAATAATTATTTCAACAAAAAATTGGAATCAAAATTTTTAATAATAATTGAATTTCAGGAGATTTTGAATTAAAATTTTTGTAAATTATAATTGCTGAAAATTATTAACAAAGTTTCAAACAATAATTGAATTTTAAAGAATTTTTAATTAAAAAATGTTTTATTTAATTGGATTTTTTGAATAATTGAATTGAAATTATTAATTTAGCAAAGAATTTTAGATATACAAATTTTAAAAATAATTGAATTTTGGATTAAGATCTTTAGAAATAATCGAATTTTTGGAGATTTTTAATTAAAATTATTGTTTTAAAATACTGAATATTTTATATAAGCTTTCAATTTCAAATTCTAGAATTTAAAAATTCGAATTACTTAAAATTCTACTGAATGAAAATTCTAATAAATTAAAAATAGATTAAATTAGATTTCTTTTCAAAAAAAAGAGTTGGGTAAAGAGAAATTTTGTAAAATAAAAATTTATGTGAAAAATCATTTTTATGGAATAATTATACGCTTCTACCGTTGTGACAAAATCAGAAAGTTAATCGAAATTTAATAATAGAAATTTTTTTTTTTTTTAAATAATCAGGAGAAAAATGATGTTAATTTTATTTCTCAGAATTTTTCTTTCAATATTTTTAGACAAGAAAATTTTTAACGTCAAACTTTGTAAACTAATTTTACTTCATTTTTAAGATGCTACTTTTTTTTATACTTTTTTCAATTTTGGGGATACTTTTTTTTAAATAATGATACTTTTTTATACTTTTTTTTTTAGTCTCTTACTACGCTTCGAAGCCTGTAATCGTTTCAAAATTTAATTTAAATTTTAGGTGATGAAATTTTTAATCAATTCCAATTTTTATTTGTCAAATTAAATTCATTAATTAAAATTTTAATCAAAATGCAAATTAAATCAATCGAATCTTAAAACGAAATTTTCATCTATTTTTGGGATTGATCGATTTTAGTTTTAAATTAACCGAATTTTGCAATTTATCGAAATTTTAATTTACCTAATTTTATAAAATTATTCAAATTTTAAATGATTTAAGTTTAAAAGTTGAAAATTTAAAATCTGTTTTGAAAAAAAAAACATTTTTATGCCTGAACGTTAAAATGAGGGAAATAATTTTTTTTTCTTTAAAAATTTTGTAAAAATTACTACAGCAATAAAAAATAAATATTACATTAAACATTTAATAAATTATTAATTTATTTTTCGATATAGAAAGCAATAAGTATTTTATTTAATTTGAATTTAAAAAAGTAGTAAATAAATTTTTCGTTCATTTGAACGTTCAAAATTTTAGGTGCATAAAAATTTACTCTTTTCACCTACTTTGAAGGTAAAAGGTACTATGATGCCTGTTATTTACAATTTTTTTTTTTCTATATTTTCATATGATACTGATTTTTCTATTTAGTATTAATTACATCACTTTTATTTCGCATTACAATGTGAAAATAAAATTCAATTATTGTTATTATTATACCATAAAAATTTGAAAAATAAAATTTCAGCCACCATTGGAATCATTGGCAACAGTTGAAGAGACAGTTGTAAGAGATAAAGCAGTTGAATCTTTACGTAATATTGCTCTTCAACACAGTCCAGCTGATTTGGAAGAACATTTTGTTCATCTTGTTGAGCGTTTAGCATCAGGCGATTGGTTCACGTCGAGAACATCAGCATGTGGATTATTCAGTGTTTGTTATCCACGTGTTAATCCAACAATAAAAGCAGAATTACGAAATCATTTTCGTAATTTATGTCAAGACGATACACCAATGGTGAGGCGTTCAGCCGCATCGAAATTAGGAGAATTTGCAAAAGTCGTTGAAATTGAATATTTAAAATCTGATTTGATACCAATGTTTATAATACTCGCTCAAGATGAACAGGATTCAGTTCGTCTATTGGCAGTTGATGCATGTTTTAATATTGCAACATTATTACAACAAGAGGACGTTGAACAGCTTGTAATGCCAACATTACGTCAATGTGCATCCGATCAATCGTGGCGTGTACGTTATATGGTCGCTGATAAATTTACAGATTTACAAAAAGCCGTTGGTCCTGAAATAACAAAAACAGATTTAGTCTCGGCATTTCAATTATTGCTTAAAGATACTGAGGCTGAGGTGAGGGCAGCTGCCGCCGATAAAGTTCGTGATTTTTGTCAAAATTTAGAAGCATCAAAACAAGAATCAATTATAATGACTGATATTTTACCTTATATCAAAGAGCTTGTCGCCGATCCAAATCAACATGTTAAATCAGCATTGGCCAGTGTTATTATGGGTCTCAGTCCAATTCTTGGTAAACATAATACAATTGAGCATTTATTACCATTATTTTTGTCGCAATTAAAAGACGAATGTCCCGAGGTACGTCTTAATATTATCAGTCATTTGGATTGTGTTAATGAAGTCATTGGAATTCAACAATTGTCACAATCACTCCTGCCAGCCATTGTTGAACTTGCTGAGGATTCGAAATGGCGAGTTCGTTTGGCGATTATTGAGTGAGTTCTTTTAATACAATATTTTCGTATTTTTAATTACGAATTTTGAAAAAAAAAAATTAAATTGTTCTTAATTTTTTTTATTATTTTTATTATTAATGATTATTTTTTTCGTGTTTTTTTTTAGATATATGCCATTGTTGGCCGGTCAGTTGGGCGTTGAATTCTTTGACGAGAAATTGAATTCTTTATGCATGACTTGGCTCGTCGATCATGTTTACGCGATCAGAGAAGCGGCGACACTCAACTTAAAGAAATTAGTAGAAAAATTCGGTTCAGAATGGGCACAGAATACAGTCATACCCAAAGTGTTAGCAATGTCAAGGGACCAGAATTATCTTCATAGAATGACATGCCTTTTCTGCATTAATGTGAGTAAAAATTTTTTAATTTTAGTTGTTTTCACCACCAAAAATGTGAAAATAATTTTTATTATCAATATTTTTTAAAATAAATTATTTCTTGTTATTGATGAATTTTCCAATTAGAATTTGGAAAAAGTAAAATAATTTTAAATGTTTCTTTCTTTTTTAGCTTTATATAAAAATTAGTAAAAAATTTTGATTTAATTAATAACGCAGGTATTAGCTGAAGTATGCGGTCCAGAAATCACAACAAAAGTGATGCTTCCAACTGTATTAGCGATGGCAAATGACAATGTAGCAAATGTCAGGTTTAATGTTGCCAAAACCCTTCAACGTATTGGACCTTATCTAGAACCTAACGCTGTGCAAACGCAAGTTAAACCCGTACTAGACAAACTCAACACTGACAGTGATGTCGACGTAAAGTATTTTGCCTCGGAAGCAATCGCCGGAATTGCAGGTAAAAAAATAAATAAATTTCAATAATAATATGTTAATTGGTGATTATTATAAATAATACCTTTTTTTTTAGCTTCAATTTTTATTCAATAATAATTTATTGAGACGTATGATTATTATAACTGTGAATTTTTTATTTAATTAAATTTTCAATTTTTGTTTACTAATTTCTACAATTCTTTTTTGTTTATTTAAATAATAAAATTTTCTAATTCAAATTTTTCATTATTTTCAAGTTGAAAATTAATCGATTTGCGGAATTTTGAAATATTTTTAAAAACATTGAAAAAAATTACAATAGAATTTTAAACTGTGAAATAAATGAATGAGGGGAAAATAATTTTCTTCTTTTTTTTTTTTTAGTAATTATAGTCACGCGTCTCCCTTGCGACTAAGCGTTTTGAATTTTAATAACAAAACAAATTGTGTGTGACTTTAGCGATTCGAGGAATTCATTCGACCGTGATGCGATAACAACATTATCCTTGCATGCTGCCTTCTATTTACTAATTGTATTCCCATCCTCTGTTTATATGATGTTTCGTATTGAACCTCTCTTGTGCATGGTCAACATTTTATAAGTTGCTTGATATTCACAAATACAAATTGTATATTTACAACAATAACAACAAAAAATCAGTGCAAAATTGTTTTTATCCCTTTTTATAAATTTTTTTTTTCCTCCAAAATTTATTAATTACAGAATTTTTACCCAATAGAAATTTTCTAATGGGGAAATTTAAATAATTTAAAAAAAGAATATAATTAAAAATTTATTTACAAGAAATATCTAATCTAATATTTTCTTCTCTGAGGATCAATATAAACTGTGAATTCCTATTTTTATTATAAATTTATAAATTTTTGTCTTAGAAAATTTCTAAAAACTTTTCCTTATCTTATGGAAAAGAAATTCTATTTTACAATATTGAAAAAAATGAATATTTTAATTGTAAGCTTAATTTAGTGTTATAAATATATAATTATGAAAAAACGAATGTTTGAAAAGAAAGAACAAGTTTATTCTTTAATGTTCGTTGATCGCGAGGAACAAGTTGAACAAGTTACCGGTTATGTAAATTTCATCTTTGAATACTTTTGCAATATTATGGTAACAATTTTTTTTTTTTTTTTTGTTTTTAAATAACATAGATGCAAATAAAACACATAAAAAGTAAAATTATTTAATAATCACAATATTTGTATTTGATTGTTTGCACTGATTTTTAAGGGTAATTCTAACATAATTTTTAATTCTGTATATAATTAAGGAATTATATTATATTAGTAGTGTAGAAATTATTATAATATTAATAATATAGAAATCATATAATAAAACACTTTTATGATAAAGTAAAATATATATAAATTAGAAAAATTATTGTCTAATAGAAAGAGAATTTATTATTCAATTTAATTTTTTACTGATAATTTAAAAAAATCATTTCAATTATTAATAATTAGAATTAGAAAATTTAATTTTTAATTTAATTATAATAATATTTTCTATTTTCAATAAGAATCGAGATTTTAAATGATTATTAATTTCATTATAATTATGATTAAGAAATTTTTATTATCCGGTAAAATTATTCTAACAGTTATTTTGTTTTTATATCAAAATTTTCAAGATCTATTTATTTTCATATTTCTAATTCTACAGGAATTTATCAAAAATCTAATTTTACAGAAATATTTTTTTAGTTTTTCTTTTTCTTTTTTTAAATAAAAAAACATTTATCACGTAAAAAATCTTGTGTTTCAGCATAATTGAAATAGGACAACCGAGTGCATTGTATGAGTAACGAACAACATGCGACATCAGATTTAATACATAACGAAAAAAAAAAGTAAAAAAAAAAAAAACAAAAAACAAAAATATATAATAATAATTAATAAACAAGCAGATACACTGATCACACTATTTCCATTCGCTATACACGGAAAAAAGCGTATATTATTAACTGCACAGGCAGGTTAAAATCCAACATGAAATTTTTCGAGTTAGCGATTAACCGTTGAATAATATTTTTAGTTCTGTTGTATTTGTATATCTATAATGATGTATTAAGGTCGAATAATCAATTTAATTATTGGTATCATGTATCTCTCGTACCTACTTAAGTCTTAACGATTAATAAAGAAAATGACTCAGAATTTTGTTTTGTTTTAAAATATTTTGTTCCCCTCCAAAGCCTCATTGAAATTATTTCTTTGAAAATTAATTTTATTCAAATTTAATGATAATTTTCCACGTCATTACATTGTTTTTAGAATAAATAAAAAATTACTATATATTACAAATTTTTATTCCATTTATATAATATTATTCTCATTACAGAATTAATAAAATGAATTTAATATCCAATAACATTATAGTTATTTAAAAAATAAATATTATTAAAATAAAAAAAATCCGACTTTTTTGGAAATATAAATTTGACTATAAAACAACTTTTTTTTTGTGCCTTAAAGTCGATTCAAGGCCTGCAGTTAAATTATTTTTTATTGAAGTAAATTAAAATTTATTTCAATATAATTTAAAAAATTTAATTGAAATTTACGTGGTCGATGAACTTTACATTTCCTATGAAAAATAATGGAATAAATAAATGAATAATGCAAATATTATAATACGTTAATTTGAAAAATTATATAAAAATTAAAAAAAATATTTTTTTAATATATAAAAATAAAATAGAAACTTAAAATTTTCTATTTTTTCAGAAAATCAAAAATCGTTTGAATTAAATAAATTGTCATTTTCATTATAATAAAATTATTTTTATAATTATTATAATTAAGAAATAATATTAATAATAATAATAATAATAATAATAATAATATTAATTATGATTATTATAATGATGAAATTTTGTAATTTACCTAAAATAGAAAAATGTTGTGTAATGAAAGATTAAAAAGTCAATATTTACACTTAATTATATGGCATTTATTGAGGGACATTTCTACTGAGTTTTTTTTTTAGTACATTTTATATTATCACAGCTTATCTCTATGTTTTATTCGCTTTTTAAAAGTAATAACTTACGTAAGCCTTAAATATAATATATATTACAATGAAATATTAATAATTAACACTTAATAAAAAGTAAAAGTACCAGACATTGTTTTGAAATCAAATTCTCAGTGTTAGAATTCGTATCTCGTTTGTACTTGAAGGAATTGAATTAAGATTAAAATTTAGTTTATTATATACGTAGATAATTCTATAATAGAGAATTGATATCGAGCATATTATATGAAAAATCGCGAAATTTTTTTTTTTTTTTTAAATCTTAACAATGAAATTCTACGAGCAACTATTTAATTGTGTATTATTATATAGATGAGAATGGGGGAGGGGAGGCTTAAAACTTTTTTTTTTTTTTGTTTTTAAAAACTGCTACTTACAATTTTTTTCTATTATTTTATACTTGTATTCATTATTATTATCTATAGATATTTTAAGAATTTTTCGAGTAACTTACTTTTTTTCTGTACGCAGGTAAAAGGGGAAAAAAAATTGTTTTTTTTTTCTCTCAATTAAATATGAAGAGGGCAAAATTATTTGCATTTTCTGAATTTTAACTTGTTTTTTTTTAAATATACAAAAGAAAAATCTAAATATTAAAAAAACAATTAATTTTCAGCTTTAGGTAAAAAAAAAAAATACAGAACTTATTGAATATAGTTATCACTAATAATATCTTTACACGGTACAAAGTTGTCTATTTTAATATTTTTATGTATATACGAGTATTTGAAAATGTTCGCAAATAATCAAACATACGAAATTGAAAAATGATTTTCACCTTTAATGTTGCATCTCAAAACAAGTGCAAAACAGTCGAGTGATTGTGAATTCTCTAAAGAGAGAATTTTTTTTTTTTCAAATGTCTCATTTGAGAAATTCAATTATTGAAAAATTATTATCCTTGAGGATGTAATTATTAAATAATAATAATAATAATAATAATAAAAATAAAATAATATTAATTAAATATAATAATAATAAAATAATAATAAAATAAAAAAAAATGATAAAACGATAAAATTCGATTTGATAATTATAATTGGTGTGTCAAGTTCAACTAATCAGTCTATGCTTTATGGAAATGCAACATTGAAGGGTCAATGTATTGTGATTTATGTAAAGCAGTTGAACAAGAAAATTCTTCAATGATAAGCATTATTGAAAAAATTCGATATAAAACCTAAAAAGCATATTGAAATGTCACGTTTAAAAAAAAAAAAAAAAAAAAAAAAAATGAACTCTGAAAATTGAACGCACAATATCAATTCAAACATTAAGATCTCACTCTCGCATTATAAGTCAAGGATTCGTTATTAATTATATTATATACTTTGGCTGGATCATTATTACAATTAAATTTCTAATTTCTATAAATAAGCCTAGAACCATTTTTTTTATTTTTCTTTAATAATTTTTTTCTATAACAATTCGGAATGATATTAAAACACAAATTCTACCTTTTTTTTTAAAAAAAAAAAAAATTTGTTTATATTCATTTTTCCCTTTTTTATAATTAATTTTTAATTTTATCACAAATTTTATTTTTATTTTTATTTATTTAACGTAAATATCAACTTTTTCTTTAATATTGTTAAATTACTTATTTACCGTGTAATTTTCAATATTTATTTACTTATTTATTGAAAAATATATTAAAAAATAATTTTATAAAAAAGTTTGAAAGAAAAATTTTTAATTCTTATTTTGAAAATCAAAGTAGAATTTGTGAAGAAATTACACTCCCTTCGAAAAAGTAAAAAACAAATAAAAATTAAATTCTAAATGACTTGAATTTAGAAATGCCTCATCAATTTGCACATTATTGATTTGAAAATTAATTGTACAAAAATAAAAGGCTATATTTATATATACTATATATATATTGCCTTATGAAGAAGGCAAATTTTTTTTTTCACTCTATATTCTGATTTTATAAGGAACAAATTCCTTACTGGGGTCCTAGAAAGTATAGAATACTATCTTTCACGCTATATTAATTTTTTTTTTTCATTTCATTGTCATCAAAAGTCTTTCAATTTGTACAAAATTGAACTGTCGAAAGTTCAATTTTTCTCCCGGTATTGCAATTATTAGTAATTTTTTTTTCTTTTTCTTTTTTTAATTTCATACTGTTGTCAAAATTTCAAAAAAATATTACCAATTCTCAATATTAGTATTTTCTTTTCTCTCATTCTTTTTTGTAATCCTTACCTGAAAGGATTCATCATCATCATCATTATTTGAAACTAAAATTTATAGAATATTTAAAAATTAAATTGCCGCTACATCGGATTTTGCCAAATCAACGCAGACAACATTGCTAATTATTGAAACTTGATCTGATTTTGTTGAACTAATGTCTGCATTCACGATATTTAACGATGAAATTTTGGCTCGTTCATACGCATCAACTGTGTTTAAACTTAAAAATCTGCAAAAAAAAAATAGTTAACAAGAATTAATACAGAATTTTTTTCAAAAATTAGAATTTAAATATTTTAAATACAAGAATTCCTTTTTCTGAACATAATTTAAATAACTAAAAAAAATTGTAGGCGAATTAAAAAAATTTTAATCTCTTTGAGAAATTAATATGCTACAATTAAATTTTTTTTTTTTTTTAATATAAAAAACTCATAAAAAAACTATTTTAATATTAATTTTAACGAACCTTATGCAAATATAAATAATTAATAATGTAGTGCCTGCTGAAAACATTCTTATAAATGGACTTTCAACAAGTTGAATAAGAATCCATGCAGCTGCAGCAGAACCACACATTGTCGTGACAATGGCAAAAGTCTGAAGCCAATGTCGAGGTGTCAAACTATGTTGCCAATCTAATCTTCTCGAATGTTCCACATTATATTTTGTGCCGCACACTTTACAAATCAAACTATCCGAATTCATTGAGCTCTAAAACAATTTAATTTGTTTCATAATTCTCCATTAAACAACAAAATTAAATTAAATTAAATCCTACATTATTAAAAATAAATAATAAAAATGCAATTTAAATCATTTTAAATAATAAATAGAAAATATCAAAAAACTGAAAAGTCGAAAATGTCAATTTTAATAACATTAATAAATATTTTTTTTTAAATAGGTAGTATTTATTATTTCTTAATTTTTTTTAAATTATTTTATTTATAATAATATTTTAGAAATAAAAATAATAATAATAATAATAATTCTAAAAAAATATAAATTTACTTAAAAATGTAAGTGAGGATATTTTCCTTTCTTTTTTTTTCGCCGAGAAACTAATCAGGGAGCAATGAAATGAAAAGAAATTAGTAACACGACACTGAACTTAAAAATACAAAAGAAAAGATTGTTGTGATTTAACGAACGAAAAAAAAAGTCAAGTGTAACTAATATGTATATACAGAAAAGAATGAAAATTTAAATTTACCTCAACAAGCCAACGACGCAGGCAATCATGATGAACGGCACTCACATCTCCTCGACATTGACAAGGTTGAATCAATGGACCAGCATCTTGTCGATAACTATCGTAGCAAATCCAACAATCTTTACTGCTACTGCCACTGCTGCATGCGCCGTCTTTCAATAATTCCGAATCGGGTGAACAATTTTTATCATTTAATTCAAATTCATTTGCAACTTTTCCCTGATCGAGATCCAATTTTTTTAACAATCGCTTTGGATTTAATATCCACAATCTCTCGGGACTTGTGCAATTCCATAAAACACAAGGAAACCAAACTGCCACTGCCAATTCAATTACACGAAACACAACGTCATGCCAATTTCTACTATATACAGGAACTCTGGAAAAAAAGGAGAATATTTTTAGTAAATGCAATTTTTTTCCATTTTTTTTTCTAATAATAAAGAATTATATATATTTCTGCCTTGATAGTGAAAAAAAATTGAAACTCATTTAAAATATATATATATATATATATATATATATATATATATATATATATATATATATATATATATATATATTTTATTAATTGTATAATTAAATATACTAATAATTGAGAAAATATATTTTAATTATTTTAAATAGTAAAAAAATAATTCCAAATAAACATACTTGGTCTTCCAAATATCACTGAGCATTTCACTAAAAAGAAATCCTCCAACAATGAGCAACATGAAAGCTTGAAAAACTAATCCGAATCTAGATTGATGCAATTGAGATGTATTGACGTGAGTTTTTAAATTTAATGTCTCTCCATTCGTTGGAGTAGTTTCGAATAATTTCGCTGTCACAACTTCCTCCTCCGTTGCTGCCGTCTCTCCAGGAATATGATTTTTAGTCGCTATCGATGTTACATGATCCTCGAATAAAAAGCCTCCTCGAACCTACAAAAAAAAAAATAAATAAAAAAACATTAACTGTCTTCGAAGCTTCGAGACTAAGAAAAGTATGAAAAAGTATAATTTTTTTTTTAAAAAGTACCCCCAAAGTTGAAAAAGGTATCAAAAACGTGAAATCTTTAAAATGAAGTAAAATTAGTTTTCAAAGTTTGAAGTTAACAATTTTCTCGTCTAAAAATATTGAATGAAAAATTCTGAGGAATAAAATTAACATCATTTTTCTCCTGATTATTTAAAAAAAACTATCTATTATTAAATTTCGATAAACGAATGTTTACTCAACAGAATTTTCAAAGTACCAAATTTTTATTTGACTCTTTCTTAAAAAAAAATTCTAATTTAATTTATTTTTAATTTATTAGAATTCTCATTCAGTAGAATTTTAAGTAATTCGAATTTTTAAATCCTAGAACTTGAAATTGGAAGGTTATATAAAATATTTAGTATTTTAAAACAATAATTTTAATTAAAAATCTCCAAATATTCAATTATTTCTAAAAATCTTAATCCAAAATTCAATTATTTTTAAAATTTGTATATCTAAAATTCTTTGCTAAATTAATAATTTCAATTCAATTAAATAAAACATTTTTTAATTAAAAATTCACTAAAATTCAATTACTGTTTGAAACTTTGTTAATAATTTTCAGCAATTATAATTTACAAAAATTTTAATTCAAAATCTCCTGAAATTCAATTATTATTAAAAATTTTGATTCCAATTTTTTGTTGAAATAATTATTTCTAATAAATGTAATCAAGATCTTGTCATTTAAATTATTTAAAACATTTTTCAGTTCAAAATACTTTAAATTTCAATTCTTGTTTGAATTTCGGTTAAATTAGAATTATTTAAAAAAAAACAGTTGGGTAAAGAAAAAATTTTGTAAATTAAAAATTCTGTCAAAAAAAAATTTGCCAAATTAAAAATTCTATTGAGTTAAAAATCGTTTAAGAAGTAATTATGTTAAATGATATTTTGAAAAATGAAAATTCGTGTAAAAAATATTTATACAAAGCATTAGTTAACGCAGCCAATAATAAATCATGGCGAGCTTTTAGTAATCCAAAAATTCGCTAAAATTTAAAATTCGTAAATTTTGTCATTTTTAAAATTATTTATTTTTTTTTTTGAATAAATTAGCATTTAATGGCTTTTGGCCAAAATTAGTAGTAAACAAGTAGCCTTGTCGAAAAAAAAGTAAAAAAAAGTGTGTAACTTTTCGCTTTAAAAGCCTGCATTAAATTAAAAAAAAAATTAAATATTATTTCTAATAAAAATAAAAATGAAAATTTTCACTGACAAAATTATCTCTTTTCTCTCCCAGTCATACGATTTTCTAATCAATAAAATTGATCTTTACTCATGTAATTAATTTAATTATTTATTAATGACTGTTTTTTCTTTTTACCTTGAAAAAGACTTCGACTCCATAAATCAAAAAAAATATAACGACAATAAAAAGAAGAACAGCATAGCACCCATTAAAAACATGTGTGTAGAAGCTCTGCAAAAAAAAAGAGGGGAAAAAATTATTTTCTTTCTTTCAAAAAAAATTTTTTTTTTATATATTTTCAATTATTTTGATACTTACTTTATCAACATCCGTGTTCATTTGAACAATGACAAATTCCGCAACCAATAATGAGTATGTAATGACATTAAATACAAGAAAACCGAAAAATGATTTCGAAAGAAACTGTGGTTTATCGTAACGAATATCACGTAAGTGGAATACTTCTGCCCAAAAACAGACAATTAACGATGATCCACTTAAAAGAAATGGATAGTACGCTGATAAAAGACTTCTTGACCATCCTTCTTCAAATGCAGTCTTAAAAAAAAAAATAATTCCATTGATTATTTAATTTTACTGATAATTTACAAAGAATAATTCAATTTCATAAAATAGCATTTTTAATCAATAAAAAAAAAAATAAATAAACGTAAAAAGAAAATTATTTCTTATCATTATTGAAAATTTCATTGATATTGATTATTAAATTAAAATACTGATCATTTATTTAATAAGCGTAATTCAATTCAATTTTGATAAAACAATAAAAAAAAAAGTCAATTTACTATTTTCCAAATAAATACAAATCGAATCAATTTCAAATATTGGATAAAACAGTAAAAAAAAAATAATAAAAGTCAATTAACTATATTTCCAAAAATAATAAATACAAATCATATCAATTTTAAAACGTGGTATTTTAACTATTTTTATAAATCAATAAAACGATAAAAGTAAAAAAAGAAAACAACAATTTAAACGAATATCGTAATAAAAAATTCTTTTTACTTTTTCTTTTTGTTTAAAAAAATTAAGTAATTTATCAAATTATATATCTTTTTCTTAAAACGAGATTAAAAGTTTATTTCATTTTTTTTTAATTTTAAATACTTACAGGAGATGTAAAGTAAGCACCACGAATAATTGAGGCGAGAAAAACAACAAAATATAAAACTTTTTGCGTTGTCACTTGACAAGCACGCAGAAGAGATGGGGTTTTCATTCTCTGCCATTCGGCAACTATACACATTATTAATTGTAATAGACAAACAAAGGCAAGTAAGAAAAACATTGATGCAAATCCAATATAATAGCTGAAGTTCGGAACATGACATTCTGATCCATCGAATTGAATCTGTAAATAAAGAACTCTAAAATTAACAATATTTTCCTTAAAAACATAAAAATTATTATTAATTTAATTTATAAAAATAAAATTATATTTTTATAGTAAAAATAAGAAAATTATGTTTAAAAATAAATTATTTCAAAATTTGTAATTAAACAAAAATATAATATTTACATTTTTATTAAATAATTTCAAAAATGTATTATTATCCTTTATATTTTAGTCTTTTCAAAACTATTCTATTGTATTTAAAATAAAATTGAGAAATTGGTTTAAATTTAATTTAATTCAAAAAAAAAAAAAGAATAAAAACTCACGAACTTTGAACATTGGGAAATAAAATATATGATCGTGTTTTTGATTATTCATTTTACTTTCTATTTTAATAAAGAATATATAATTGGGAAATTTCACAGTATCATATAGACAATATAGATTATTAAAAATGATTAAACAGGAGAATTATTATTATTATTATTATTATTATTATTATTATTATTATTATTACCTCGCAGAGACAAGTGCCATTATGACATTCTCCATGACCGGAGCAATTTCCTATCCCGCAAGTATTATTCCACGCCATCATTCCAAATTTCATCAGCAGTGATAATGGATTTTGAGTGCTTAAAGCAATCATTTGATCCATTTTCACTGCCTTCAATCTGAACTGCCAAACAGCAGTGCTAAAAAAAAAGAATTTTACATAAATAAACGTTAAATTATCATAATAATCATTTATAATTGTTAATCTACCAATATAATATTTACACGAAGCTGAAGTACGCAATGTTTATGATAAACGATTTTTAAAGAAATAATTTTTTGCCTAAAAAATATTTTTTTATAATTTGTTGATTAATGAAACTACAAGAAATATTTTTTAGGCAGAAAATTATAGAATTTTTCATTTTAAAAAATTATTTCTTTAAAAATCGTTTATTATAAACGTTGCGTACTTCAGCTTCATATATTTACAAGAGAAAAAAAAATTTTTATAATAAAATTAATAACTTTTTTACACTCTACACTTGAATTTAAATTATGCTTTGAAAAAAGATGTTATTCAAAAATGTAATGAAGTCATTTTTTTTAATTATTCACTGTATATCTCTTTTTTTTTTTGTTCTCTCACGGAACTTTAATGAGGAAGATGACCAACAAAATATAATTAATTGCGTGTTGCATTACATAAAAAAAAAAAAAAAAAACTTTTAATCGATGTAAATTAGAAACTTTATTTTCTGAATTGAAAAATGACTCTCGAAATGTTTAATATATTCAATACACGTTTTTGAATAACGAAAACGAAGATACGTTAACGCATAAAAAAAAGTAAAGAAAAATCTTAATTGTTATAACGAAACAGATAAAAAAAAAATAGAAAACAGTGAAATGTTTATACTAAATAAATATGTCCTTCATTTGTACTTTTGTTTGTAAAACATTAAAAGATAGTTAAAAAAAAACGGTACAGTGAAAAAAAGGTAATAAAAATAACAGTGCAATAAGAAAAAAAGTAGTAAAAATTCTACATTAAAAAATTATTCGAAAAAAATTCTAATATTTCGTAAAATTGGAGAATTAAAAATATAGAAAAAATGGTCCATAGTTTCCTTTGTTCGTATATCTAAAAACATAATTCCAAAATTGATATTGATAATAAATTTTACTATTTCACAATTTCTTATCGTATCTCAGAAATTAATATTGTCAATATAAAATAAAATTGTAGTTCCTTATTTATTTTTTTTAATCTCATGTTCCGAATAAAGCAAAATAATGCTTTGTATACATAAAGGGACGCCATTGTTTATATGTTTCTTTTTCCGAAAAAATATATAGAAAACAGGAAATCCTCACTTTAAAAAAGAGCGTATTACACTTTTTATACAGACTCAATCTAAACAAGTACAGATGAAGGACATTTAACGCAGCAATGACGTTCTTATCAATTTGCCTCTTTCATATATGTATATGTATATGCACAATTGTCATCAAAACAAACACACAAAAAAAGGAGAGATCAATTAAGAGAGAGAATGCAACAAAAAGAAAATCGAAACAACAAAAAAATGACGATAATTTTAGAAATTAAAATATTTGCCTTAAAAGACAATTAATGATTATATGCGTAATATATAGTAAACTCTCATTGCTATAAATAAAAATTGAGTGCATAAGTACCGATGGAAAACTATAAAAGTCTAGTCACCACTTTGGTTCACATTCGTCAGCTGTCTTGTTGAATCTTGGGGAAAAATAATTTCGTTTCCTTTTATTTATAGAACTCCCTTCTGGTTTGTCACACACACACAACACAAATTTTTTTTAATGAAACACAATTTTATAATTTTTTTTTTATCTTTTACACACAAGGGGAAAATAATCTTAAAAATCCACTAAAAAAAAAGATATGACATTTACGCGATCACAATCACGTCAACTTGACTTCCATCAACTTTTGACTTGTGACTGCTTCTGACGATTTTAAGAATAAAACACGTACAAGAACTCACCACTACTTTTCATATACGCTTACTGATTAAACTGAAACACATATATGCAATTCTTGCTTGCATATGTGAACACAATTCTTTTCTTTGTGTATATACACATGTAAACGTGTGTATGTGTTTGACACTTGAAATGCACGAATCAAAAATACTTTTCTAAAACATGTTATTCTTCCTATTCTCCTTTTAGTTAATTTCTAATTTTGTAACAATAATTTTGATTTTTTTATGTACTTTTTTAAAAATATCTTTCAAAAATTAATAAAAAGAAATTTCATTTGTTTCTAAAATGAAGACTGCGCACAATTACTTGCTAAACCAATGAGAAATATTTTGTCCATTAATTCGACAAATTAAAAATCACTTGTCCAATACTGTAACCAATCATTTTTTACATATTAAATAATTATTCCATTTTTTTCTTTTTAATTTGCAAGTATATTTATATTAAAAAAAAAAATTGTTTAACAAACTATATTTGATAAAGAAAAATAAAAGAAATTGAATGAAACAATTTCATTTGACAGTGGAATTTGTCAGGAAAAACAAAATCCACCAATCACAGTACAGTAGAATACAATACAAGAGAAATAATAATTTATATTCCATTCTTGTTTTGACAATATGAATATCGAATTTTAATGCTAATTATTTGTTGTAAATTTAAAATTATCCTTCATCAATGTATTGTTAAAAAATAATAATAAAAAACTTGTTGGAAATAATTTTTGTAATTTAGTTAGAGAAAAAAAGGAGGGGGTAAAAAATCCCTTCTTCTCACCCACCTTTGTAACTCTGGATATATTATCGTGTGCGTGACAATTCTTTATTCTCAACAGTGTTTTTATTAAATTGGTGATTATTTTTTAATATAAAAGGCAATCTTTCAATTAAGGTATGTTTAAAAATATATGATATCGTTTATAAATTGTCAATTTTACTAATTGTTGAATACTTTTAATAATAATTATTACATAACTTTTTTGTGATATCTTAAGGAATTTTAAAGGTACACTGTAAAATATAATGATTTTTTGTAAAGATCAAAGACTTTGTTTTATGTTATGTATAATTTTATAATTATTGGAAAATAGTTTCCAATATGTTTAAATATCTATATTTTCTATGCAAAAAATGTTTTTCTATGATCGATCATTATATTTATTTATTATCAAGGGAAACAAATTTATATATTAACAGATTATTGTTAATAAGTAATAATTGAATAATTTATTTATTTTTTTTTTTTTATATATAACAGATGAATTTATTTAATAATATAACAATTTTTGTTACCTTATGACAACGAATAGATAATTATTAATTTTCCTAAATTTCCTAAAAGTATATTTTAAAACCTTTAAAACAATTTAGGTAACATAACCTAAAATTTCCGTTTCTATATACAAATACAACTTTCTATGACTCGTAAAATATTTCTTACATTTACAAATAAATGGTTATTTAAAATTTTAAAATACGAAAATAATGTAAAATTGGAGTAAATTTTTGTTAAATTCTTTTTTATAACTATATATAATGAAAATAAATTACCATTTTATATATGATTCAAGTAATTTTCTACCTTTTCTACATCGATATTTTTTTTATTTTAATTTAAATTTTTTAACTGCTATTCTTATTATTTAACAATTATTTTAGATGCCTGGGCCAATTGCAAAACCAGTAATGCGAGGAATGCATATAGCATATGTAACGAAAGGTATCTATGCAGGAATTGCAGTAGCATTATTGAGTGGATTTACATTTAAACACTTTGTCATGGATGCAAGAAGGAAAACATATGACGAATTTTACGCGTAATTGAAAATTTCTATTATTATTAGAATTATTATTTATTTATGTTTATTGTAATTAAATTAAATTAAAAATTTTTTTCTTCATTTTAGTACCTACGACGCGAAGGCAGCTTGTGAACGTTTGAATAAAACCGGTTATATGCGATCGTCACCAGAAAATCTTGCTAAAAGAAATTAAATAACATTTCACATTAAAGTCAAACATTAGAAATATATATCTATATTATGAATAATTTATTGTTATTTCTGTCAGTAAATAATATAAAAAATTATTCCCATTCTATGTAAAATGTAATTTTTTGTTAATATACAGGATTATAAAAATTGAAATTTTGTTTATTAGTTTTAAGGTTAGTTTTCTATAATAACCATATATTTAATTCTGTGAATTTGAAATTATCAAATAGTTTATGTTTGTTTTATTTTTAATTTTATTTGTAATAAAAAATCTATCTTTAAATATGAGTTCCTGATCAACAACTTTTCCATCTTATTAAATTTGTTTATTAGTGTATTGAAAATTATTATTATATTTTTTCAGAAAAAAAAATTACACGATAATTAATAGTAATTTTAATTATGTGGAAAATTACCTTTAAAATAAGATCAAGAACTGTAAAAACCGTTTATTATTTTACGAGTAATTCCAATTTTACTAAAACATTGAAAAAGACACTTTTAAATGTTTAAAAAAAATTTTTAGGTTCTAAAATTGTTTTATGAAACCAAAAAATACAAATTGATAGGATTTAAAATATAATTTAACAAAAAATCGATCGCAATCGTTTAAATCAATTTTCTTTATTTATAATAATTTTAATTTTTCACATCACGATTTAATAATAATATTAATATGCGTGTAAAAAAAAAATTGAATTCCAAGAGAAATGTGTTTAAATTGCATTTGACATTTAAATTTTCAAAAACTATCAATTATTGCAAGAAAAAAAAAGAGTAAAATTTTTATAAAATCCAAAAGAACTTAAAACTTGTAGATATTTTTCTGGCAATCATTCTAAATAAATTATTTAAATAATAAAGGACAAAGGTCTCTACAAATAAAATTGAGGTTAAATTCGACAGCTATCAAGACACAAAGTTGAAGTAAAAAAAAGGTGTAAACAATCGAAAAAGCAAAGAACAAAATCAAAATAACAATCTAATGGAAAATAATGACAGAAAATTTTTAATTGGCTATCAATGATAACAATAACCAATCACTATTCTTCTATATTGAAAAATCCTTTCACCCAGCGTCTTTGGCTAAATAATTTCCAACAACAAAATGTCTTCAAAAAATCACCTTTTTTCACCAACAACTTTGGTTTTAAACGATTGGCAAGATGGCGCATAAGTTACCCAGTGTGCCCCGCGCGATTGATTTGCGCATGTCAAATGCTCGCATTGCAAAATGGCGGCACCTTGTTATTGTTCCTGGCGTTTTATGACTTGTCCCTTTATATTGCCGATTATGTCGAGTTTTTTCGCGATTTGTGCCGCGCGCCTTGTGCAAAAAGTGCAGTAAGTTAAGTTCTGTGTACTTTAGGTGAATAGAAGTGTTTTTATGTTTTTGTGGTGATTATTTGGACGCGTTAAATCCCTTACGGAATTGCAGGAGAAATGGGGTAACGTTAAATTTTCCTGGTGTTCTCATACGGTATTGAAATTTTTTGTGATGTTACAAGGACCCAAGTGAGGCACGTCGCGATTATGCTATCAAGTTTCATTAGTATACTTGGTGTGCGATTGTCGCAAATTTATTGTGGAACAACAATTTTTTGGAGTTTTCAGCATGCTTGAGTCCACTTCACGACACCTCCCCCGACGGGACAAAATGGTGGCCCCCCGATATCCAATGGTCTGGGAGCCTTATTTTGCTGAAAATTAACGCGAAAAACCTCGGCAACAGGAGTTTCTTGTTGATAAACAAGTGCATTTCAGCCAAACAAATCTTCGGATTAAAAATTCTGAGTGAGAAATTATTGCCTATAACCTATTTTAATCGTGTATATGATAAACCCCGAGCCCCTGTCTTATGGCCCAAAAGATTTTAATTGCCGTTCGTCAATGCAATGAGCTTTACCACCCAGACTGTTTTCTCTGATTTTGGTGAATTTGCCATATTTCAAAATCTCTTTAGTCGCTTGTCTCTTTATTTTTTCTTAAACTTTAGTCATTTTCTGTTGATTAAATTAATTAAAATCAAAAAAAAAAAAAAAAAAAAAAAATCGTCATCAAGGTATAACCTAAGTACGCGACGGTTGCCTCACTTGTGTGTTTATGCACTGTGTTTTTGTGATTGTTTTCGTAAATAGAACTATTTTTACCTGCCACCTGTACTTCTTGTTACTTTTTACATTTTATTTGAAGAGTTTAATGAAAAAAAAAAAAAAAAAATCGAGGCGTGGTAATCATATGTCGGTAAAATTTCATTTTTTTTTCATTTATTAAAAAAAAGAGTTTTTGTGCACTTTTTCTCAGAATAATTTTTTCGTTTTTTTTTTTTTTTTTTTTTTTGGAAGAGGGGTGGGAGGGATTTCTAGTTTCTAAGCTTCTTACCCGGTTACCTCGTCACGTTTTGTGATAAAACTTATAAAAGCTATAGTTTTTTTTTTTTTTTTTTTTTTTATCACGCAATATGAATTTCTTTTATCAGTGACTTTAGTAATATTGGCAAATCGGAACAAATATATTATCAGATTTGCAATATTTTTTGTTTTGTTTTATTTTGTTTATTTTTATATTCATTTCATGTAAACATTTAATTTTATACTTGTCTGATTATTTACCCTTTCGATTGATGATTGGTTTTGACATTTTTTTTTTTTTTTTGGAAAATTATTTATTTCCTTTTTTTATAGACAACTTGGTTATTTGGACAATTAGATATAAATTAATTTTTTTTTTTTTTTTTTTTTGATGAAAATAAAAATAATTTCATATGTAAATAATTTTAAATAAGAATAATTAATTTTGTGAAATGTTATTTAGTCAATTGTTTTTATTTCCTTTGATTAATAGAAAATTTCTAAGAATGAACAGTAAATATTGTGTTTATTAGTTAAAGATAGATGTAATTTTGTTTGCCATTTTCATTGAGAATTAAATTCTATTTAAAGGTAATTAAAATTTTGTAAATTAACGACGTGACTAATTAAGTGAATTATTGTCTATTGTTATTAAGTCTTTTCTTTTTATTTAGAGTCAAATAGACATTATTAAAATTTATTTTGAAAATATTCAAATTATTTTATATTTAATTAAATATTTATTTTTTAGATTTTATTTCTTAAAAAGTTTTTTTAATTTACATTTTGGTTTAAACTAATTATAATATAATTAAAAATTTGTATAATAAATTAATAAAAAAAAAATGGTTATGTTTTACAAAATTAAATTAATCTTTTAATCAAATTGTTATTTTATATTATTAAACATTTTAATTACCTTAAATTTAATTATTTATTAATTACTTATTTAATTAATTATTTATGTAATAAATATATTATTTTCAAAAAAATTTTATTTTAACTAAAATTCTATTAAAATTTATTGAATCGTGGACATTTTTAGTAATTTTTAACCCCCCCACCCCCCTCCCATCCCTGTAAAGTGTCCACGTGGTATATGAACGGCCCTTAAATTGTGATGCCAAAAATTTTCAAATACAGTTTTTTAAGTCGGTAAATTGTATATATATATATTTATTGAAATTAATCAGACTGATAATTTTTTGGTCAAGTAGTATTAATTTCAAATTTGATAACATGTTTAAAAAAAATTAATATTTTAAAAAATGAACTAAAAAAAATTAATACTTTTTGTTATCATTTTGCCAAAGGAAATTACTGAATAAAAAAAACATTTTAAATATTGTATTTTGAAGGTAAACGTTCATGTAACGTTTTCTCTTTTAAAAATTTGAATTATTATTTTGTCTTTATTTAAATAATTTCAAAAAGTTTAAAACTATTTTATTACAGTCATTTTGATATGTAATATTTAAAAATAAATGAAAAAAAGAAGAAATTAAATCATCGATACAGATAAATTGATAACATGTTATTAAATTTTATTTATGCTAATTATGTAATTTATTGAATTTTAGTTAATTAATGAAAATAAATTTTTTTTTAATTTTTAAATAAAAGAATATTACTACATTTTTTTATAAAATTAAAACAATATATTAATTTTTTTATTTATATAAAGATTTGATCAAAAAAAAAAAGAAAATTTAATTCACTTATGATATTTAACGAGCAAATAATTAGTGTAAACGTAATTAGTTGTTTACTGTTCATCTTAAACAAATTTACATCCTTTTGATATCCGTATTTTATGTTTAGATGTAAATTTTACCCATATAGTAAAAATTAATTACCAAACTGTTCATTTACTTCTGTTTTATGTCATAATTTTTTTTTCTACGTTTGTTTTAAAATTTATTTTTTTCCAACTTATTTAAAACTTTTTTCATATAACAAATATTACAAATATTTGTTTTTTTTATCTTGTTATATTTTTATTATTAAATTTTATTTTTATAGTTTAAATATATTATTATTTATATATTTTATATTTAAATTTTGTATTTATAATATTCATTTTCTGTATTTAAAGCTTGTTCAATGAAATTCTTTTAATCTTCATAATATTAAATATTTGCAGCAGTTGTGAACATTTTTTTTTTTTTTTTTTTTTTTTTTTAAAGAAAAGTCACAAAATATAAAATTTATAAATAGAAAAAGAAACTTACAATTTTAGTTTATTTTGTTTGAAATATTACGTAAAAAATATTGTCTGACTTTTATTGTTATTATTTTTTTTTAAACCAAAAAAAAAAATAAATAATTATTACAGAATAATTATTATTCTAAAAATATTTTTGTCTTTTTTTTTGTAAATTTTTTTTATTTACATTATTTATTAAAGAAATAATTTTTGAAGATAATTTTTATTAATTTTTTTGTTTTCTTTTTTTGTTGACAGTAAAAAAGGGTGTTAGTTACATTGCACTGGAGTGGTTTTGGGGATTTTTGTCTGATATTCGTCAAACGGACATCTCGTCACAGAGAAATTGCACTGATATCCATAGACGTTCCCAGGCTACCCGGGTAGTTATGTGATTATTGCTTGGTAAGTAACCATATAATCATTAATCATTCTCCGTTCTAATGAAACTTCATTTTCAACTTTTTTTTTTATTTTTTTTTATTTTGTTTTCTTATTTCTATGGCACACATTTCCTTTTTATATCCTTGATAATTTCTGCAATTTTCCAGCTTCTCAACTTTTGTCTATTTCAATTTGTACATTGGGTTTATTAATTTTTCAAAAATTCAAAATTTAACACAAAAAAATCCATCAATATTTAATAAATAATTCATTTTAATTATTTATTATTTTTTCACTTCATGATTTGCATTTAAATACCAAATTTTCTATCATTAGAAAAAGAAAACTAAAAAAAGAAAAATTTTTACCAATTTAAAAAGGGAAAAAAATGTAATTTTACATATTTTCAAAATCAATTTTTTTTAAATAATATCTTTATGAAAAAAATGGTAAATTTGATTTATGTTTTTAAATAATTTAATTGTGTAATAAATCATTTTTTTTCGATTTGTAAAAATGTTTTTTTATATTAATTAATTTTTAAACATGAAATACATTTTTTTTGTTGTCTTTTTTTCTCGTAATTTTTTTTTTTGAGGAATGTTTAACATCAATTTCGCACATTTTGTTCTACAGTCATGGCGGCTGACAGTGATGGTGATCTGATTGAGACGGTGGTAACGTGTGAAGGAGATCTTGGTGATCCAGATTTTCCACGCAAGTTTCATGTCATCGTTAATCGTCTCAGTTCCCTTGTCTGTAAAGGTAAACGAACATTTCTTTTAAATCTATTGCCTTCTTTTTATTTTTTCTATTATTTACAAGGATCATCAATCTTTATTTCAAATGTCGTTCTCTTAATTGTATAGAAGAAATTTTTTTTTTGTTGAAAATTATATATAAATCGATTTAATTTTTTTTTTTTTCAAGAAAATTAATTTATTTTAACAATTATACAAATATAGAAATTATTAATGAAATATTATACAAATATAAAAATATTGAAATACATATTGTAGAAAATATTTTGTGAAATTAGAGAAAATAATTTGTTCCTTTTTTCAGATAAGGGTGAAAAATTGAGAATTGACAAAGTAGAACCATGGAATTCAGTGAGAGTGACATTTTCTATTCCCAAGGAAGCTGCTCTCCGATTGCGAGAATTAGCTTCGCAGGGATCATCGACACTCACTCAATTGGGTATCCTCTCAGTTCAAGTCGAAGGAGATCAGGTAAAATTAATTAATTTTGGGAAAAAAAAATTTTTCCAAAATTATTTTTAACAGTTATTAATAATGAGAAAAATTTGTTTTGTTTATAGGTAATCTCTTTGAGGATAGCAAGTCGATTCGGAGGAGAGGCACAAGAAATAGTTTTGCATTCAGGGCCATCTCAGGAAACTGGGAATAAAACCCAAAATAATCCCGCGAATGGTGCATCAAGTGCAGATGGAGATTCCGCTGCTCCAATACCTGGTCCTAGTAATGCATCAAGTTTTTCCTCCACATTAAGGAATGTTGCTCAGATAATAACAGCCGGTATGTAATATTAAATGAATTATTGATATTGAAAAAACTGAATTTTAATTGTATTTTTTTTTTTGGTAGGTACATCAGCCGAAAAATCACCCCAGTTTCGTTCTCCAAATGTTGTTGCACCAACAGACTGTGATCCGATTCCATTACTCCTCCCAAAAACAGTTCAATCAACGGCCGGCGGTAGTGGAGCGTCTGGTAATCAAGTGACACAAAATTCAAATCCATCGCCACGGACAAATTACAATGGGCCATTTCCCTTTGCAAGCATGACACACGCGGCACAAGCGATTCATTCACGTGAATCGCAAGCCGTAAAAACGGCCGTGCAATTTAAACATCATACACAACCCCCACCGCCTTATCCAGCTCAAGACACCGTGGCAAACGTTACTGCCTCCCCATCATCGACCATCATTCAAACGACAACGCAGTCCATTTCAACTGTCAGTCAAGCACAGTACAAGTCGCCAAACATTATGGTTTCTAGTCCATCGCCGAGTAATAATAATAATAATAATAATAATAACAATAACAGTAATAACAACAACAACAACAATGCCGGCTCTCTCACGGGAACATCAAACGGAAGTGGTAGCAGTGGTGGTAACCAAGTCGCTCTCTCGAGTCCACTTCTCGTTAATCTTCTACAAAACGATGGCTCATCACATCCAAACAATATTTCCGTTCCCGATCAAAAAATGCTACCGCCAGCGTCCGTTGTCGATGGCTCAGCAATTGGAAATCGTGTCCGACCCACCAAGAAACCAGTACGAAGGAAAGATGTATCATTGGCTAATGAATCGCCACCAAATCTCGATTCATTAAGAACTGAGGATTTAATTGGTTCAACAACTGCCGCCGTCCCTGATTTATCATCGCAAAATCCCTCTGCGTTCGCTACGGTTAACGCAAGCCAACCCTCGACAGTGCCTCAGCATTCGGCTACTAGTGTTATCGCTCCATCATCATCATCATCATCATCATTATCATCATCATCATCATCAATTCCCGTTGTTTCAGCAGCAGCAGCAACCACACAACTTCTCAGTTCCACCGCAGCCATAACTCAAAATATCCCAACGCAAGTACAAATACAACAAAAGTTTCCCGTTCGACAGGAACTGACTTATAGAACAACGCAAAATCTCGCCGCCAGGTATCCTGTCAATGGACAACAAGTTCGTACACCCCTTCAACAACGACAACAACTTTTAATTCAACACCAACTTCTCACGCAGCAGCAGCAGCAGCTATCCCAACAAAATTCACCAGTAATTCAAAATCAAGTTCAAACAAATCAAATAATTCATCAGCAACAAATTTTGGTAAATCAACAGAGACTTGGATTTCTTAATAATCAACGTCAACCAACACCGCCTCCATATCCACGGCAATCAACCACCACAGCCACCACGGGACAAAATTTAAATGTTCAACAACAATTACATCACAATCAAGTGAAAAATATAAACGTTAATACAAGTACAACGAGCGATTTTCGTTATGGACAGAGTCAAAATATTCTCAGTAGAAATTATCAATCGGATAATGCAAATGGGACCACGTGGAATGTACAAACAAATGTTCCTCAAGGTGCGCAGGTAACTGCTACTCCTCAACAACAGCAGCAACAGCAGCCGCAACAACAACAACAACAACAACGTTTGCCAACCACAAGTTTTTCTAATCAAGCCGGGACTTTTTCAACATTGAATCATGTCTCGGCGATAAAAACCGAAGATCAAATTAAAGATGAATTAAAACAAGAGGAAGATGAAGATGAAGAAGAGGAGGAACCACCGGAACCTGTTTATACATCAACGGGTAAAATACGACAATTTTTAATAAATCCCTTCTCTGGTGAAATAGAACCAATGCCAAGTGAAAGTTCCGATTCGGAACCAGAAAGTGCTGTTGACAATCAAGATGATTTTTTTTCATATCCCTCGCCATCGAACGATCGTTCAAATTCAATGTTCTCTGATGATGATGCCGATAGTAATTTTTCCCGACGCAATGATACAACAACAAATACAGATCAATCTGATTCGGAAGCAACTGTTAAATCAACAGCAAGCGAAGGTAGTTTAAAACATAATCGCATTAAATCATCACGTGAAAGTCCAATGCCAGCTGAAAAAATAAAATTAAGAATGAAAGTTGAAAAATCAGATCCATTTAATCCAGCATACAAGGTTGATGTCTCATTTGTAAATACGCCACCATTGAGAAAAGTTGATAAAACATCATCGAAATTATTTACAAATATATCAAATTCAGGATCGGGTGGTGAAGAACCACGTGTGCCTCCATTACATATTTCATTGCGTGGTCGTAATGCATCGGTGGTGCAAATAAGAAAAAAGGAGAAAAAATTAAAAGAGGGCATCACCGATGAGGAATCATCTAATTTAAAACAACGCCGTGGGAAACTTAAGAAAATGAAGGACGGTGTCGATGGACATAAATTACTGCAGAAGAAACCATTGAATATGATAATAGGTACGTCAGCAACGAACAAATTACCATTGTCAAATTCTTCACTTGCAATTAATAATTCTACCACTACTACTACTACTACTTCTTCTTCTTCTACTTCTTCTTCTACTTCGTCATCATCATCATCATCATCATCATCATCATCATCATCATCATCATCATCATCATCATCATCAATAATTAATAAAATTAATAATACATCATCATCATCAGTGCAAAATATCGCGACTAAAACGTTGAGTACATTAAAATCGGATGTCAACTTAGATGCAGGAAAGATGATACAAAGTGGAAATAATATAAAAGCAAGCTCGAGTAAAAGTGGTGTTGGTAGTGGTGGTGATGTTGATGATATACCATTGAACAGTAGAATACCTTCACCATTGAAGCACAAAATGACTATTTTAAATCAAACCACAACAACAACAACTACTACTACTACTACTACTACAACAACAACAACAACAAACCCACAACAAGCTTTAACCAAAAGTCAAGTAGACATTGATGTTCAAAATCATACGAATGAACATAAAATTGGCGGAGGTAAGGATTTTATTTTGAAAAGAAAAAAATGTCCTGCTTTAGGAAATCAATTAATTAGGATTCTTATTTCAAAAGAAGGACTAAAATTTTGAAAAATTTTACTTTTGATGTTAGATTTTTTTTTTTTTTTTACTTCTACTGTGATCAAAATAAGTTTCTGAAAATATTAGACCAACTAAATTTTTTCTGTTAACCAGTGAAATTTCAGCCTATTGAAATAAGAAGTGCAAAATTTTTTTTTTTTTTTCCCCCGGCATTATTTAGAATCTAAAATTATTATATATTAGTAAAATTAGAAAAGATTATTTTTGATGGTTATTTGAATTTTGCGAGCCTTACGCTGGCTAATGCGAATCTCTGAAAAAAATTCGTTTCGAAAATTTTATTTGCAAAAATTAAAATTGTTTAAATCCATACGCAGGCTTCAAAGTGATACACTTTTTTTTTTGTTAATTTTTTGATACTTTTTTCGATAAGGCTACTATTTTACTACTAATTTTGGCCAAAAGCCACAAAATGCTACTTTTTTCGAAAAAAAAAAAAAAAATTTTGAAAATGACAAAATTCAAGAATTTAAAATTTTAGCAAATTTTTTGATTCCTAAAAGCTCGCCATAATTTATTATTAGCCGTGTTAACTAATACTTTGTATAATCATTTTTTACACGAATTTTCATTTTTCAAAATAGCATTTAACATAATTTCTTTTTAAACGATTTTTTATTCAATAAAATTGTTAATTTAGCAAATTTTTTTTGATAGAATTTTTATTTTACAAAATTTCTCTTTACCCAACTGTTTTTTTTCTTTTTTTTTAAATAATTCTAATTTAACTGAAATGCAGACAATAATTTGAATTTTAGTGTATTTTGATTTGAAAAATGTTTAAAATTAATGAAATGCCAAAATCTTGATTAAAGTTATTAGTAATAATTATTTCAACAAAAAATTGGAATCAAAATTTTTAATAATAATTGAATTTCAGGAGATTTGGAATTAAAATTTTTGTAAATTAGAATAATTGCTGAAAATTATTAACAAAGTTTCAAACAGTAATTGAATTTTAGAGAATTTTTAATTAAAAAATGTTTTATTTAATTGAATTTTTGAATAATTGGATATGAAATTATTAATTTAGCAAAGAATTTTAGATATACAAATTTTAAAAATAATTGAATTTTGGATTAAGATTTTTTTTTAGAAATAATTGAATTTTTGGAAAATTTTTAATTAAAATCTGTTGTTTTAAAAGACTAAATATTTTCTATAAGCTTCCGATTTCAAGTTTTAGGATTCAAAAATTCGAATTACTTAAAATTCTACTGAATGAGAATTCTAATAAATTAAAAATAAGATTAAATTAGAATTCTTTTCAAGAAAAAACAGTTGGGTAAAGAGAAATTTTGTAAAATAAATTGACAACCCTATGCACAAAAGTAATTTCGATGGATTGAAATTTTACTGGTCTCTCTTCTTAAGGTCATGTGATTGTGATTTCACATGTAAATGTGGATTTTGTAGTAAATTTAATGACTTGCCGTCGTGGTATTAATTTTGATTAGATTAATTTTAATTTCAAAAATTGAAAAAGAAATCAAATATTTCATACAGTTTGACTATTTTTAAAATATTTAAAAATATCTGTAAAAAATAGCTGAAATTTTATAGACTTTGATACCAAATTATAAAATATCTTTAATGGTTTAAAAATTATTTAATCTTTAAAAAAAGGTCATGAATTGGGCTTAGAAATTCACGTTGCTAAGCTTTATTCGAGCTTCACAATTTTTTTTGTAAATTAAATAACTTTTAAACCATTAAAGATGCAATTTTACAATTCGGTATAAAGAATCTCCACAATTATACTATTTTTTATGATATTTTAAAAATTAACATCCTTGACGTTCACAACGTTTATAATTAATGATTTAGAAGAAAAAATATTTTTGTATCTATAATTTTTTTTTTTGCAAGTTTCTCTATCAACTTCAAAAAAATGAAGAAAAAAAAACATTTTTCTTCACTAATATTATTAAAAATTTATTTCGATGATACCAGGATTAAAAAAATGATTTAACATTGAAAATTAATTATTTTTTTTGAAAAATTTAGTTCAGTTTAAGAAATTCTGACCCATTATTAAAAAAAAAATAGAATTTTTTTTAGACAGGATTTTTCAAAATTAAAAAAAAAAAAGAATCGAATGAACAGTCATAACAAAAGGCAGTTCAAGTTTATATTGTCGTATTTTTATTAAAAAGAAAAGAATCGTAATAATAAATTTAAAAAATTAAAATTCATTTTTCTACCAAAGAATGTAAAATTTATTCTTTGTTTTAAATGTAAATTCTCAAAGCTTCAATAGTGGGAAAAAAAATCTGTGAACTTCGAAAAAAGTAGCTGAAATAAAAAAATAATTATTTTAGTCAATTAAAGTAAATTAAACGCTAGTTAATTAAAATTTGGAAAATAATTCGTCTCGGACAATGGTTTTAAAGCTTTACATATTATACAGGGTTTGAAAATCTGATTGAATAGTTAAATAAATTTTTAAGACTTACAATTTACAGTTAGACAAAAACAGGCAATTTATTGAAAACAATTTTTTGACATTAATTTCCACCAAGGACAATTTTTTTTCCATTCTTTTTGAGACAGAGGAAACTTTGATTTTTCAAAATAGTTAATAAAAAAAAAAAAAAAATTTTTCCCACCACAGTACATTAAATTTTTTAATTGTAATTTCAACCAAAAACTTTTGAATATATCAGTTACCGAGCTGTTTTTGATTTTAATGATAAAATTTGTGCAGAATTAATTAAAATCCACATTAACAATTAGTTTTAGTAATAATAGTAAAATTCTTTTAAATATTCATTTATCAACAAATGGATCAAAATTGATTCAAAGAAAATTAAAAATTGACAACGAAAGGAAAAAGAAAATTTTGTTTTTTAAAAAGTAAAATTCGAATCATTTTTTTTTGTGTTTTTTGCAGGCAAGACGAAAAGAAGAGATTCAAAGAAAAAATCGGAAACAGGCGATAATCAGCATCGTGAGCAAAATTTATTGTCCGGTGGTAGAATTGTTGATAATCAATCAAAGTGGAAGAAACTTGGTTATAAAGGTGATGCTGCCACACAGGGAATAAAGAAAACAGATACAATTTTATCCAGCAATGATTTAAGTGCAACGAGAAAAATTGGTGAAATTCGAAGAACAAGCGATGGCGATTTAACACGATCAATGAGCGAGAAAACGAATGTTCTCAATGCAGTTGGATCGAGATTGGCCGAAGTCAATGGAATCAGAAAGGATCTCGTTAATCAAGAAAAAAGACGACGCTCGAGTTTGATTGACGAGAAGGATCTTAATTTATCTGGTAGATATATTTTTTTAACATAATTGTTTTCCTTTTTCTATAATAATTTTAAATATTAATCAATCAATTATTAATTAATTATTATTACTAATTTCTTATTATTATTATTATTATTATTATTTAGTTATTATTATTTATTTCTCAGACCTCGGATTATACGACTTTTTTCGACTTATTTAAATAAAATTCGACTTTTTCGATTTTTTTTACATTTTTTTTACAAAATTTTTAAACAAAATACGTTTTTTTTACTATACAATGCAGATCTTTAATTCAATTATTTAACAAATTTTTAACATAAAATTTTTCTCTAAATTAATTATTTATAATAATTTTAATGAAATTCTTCACAAATTCAATTATTTTAAATTATTTTTCAATTACAAATTTTATGAAATTCAATAATTGTTTACAATTTTCCAAAAAATCAAATAAAATTACAAAAAATTTCAATTTAACATCTTTTAAAATTTAATTATTTAAAAATTTTTCTATTTAAAATTTTTTGAAATTAAATAATTTTAATTATAACTCTTTCGAAATTCATTTTTTTAACGATTTTTATAATATTCTTCGAAAAAGCAATTATCTGAAAGGATTTTTCAATTTAAAAATTTTAAAGTACAATTTTTTTCTTAAATTTTTAATAAATTTTTCAGCAGCAGAAATCATCAAAAAATTTCCATTCAAAATTACTCGAATTCAATTATTTTCTAAAATTTCGATTTAAAATCTTCTAAAATTTAATTATTTTTAAAAATATCAAATTTTAATGATTTTAAATGTTTTTTTACACAATTTTTTCAAAATTGAATTATAATTTAATTTAATAATTTAATAATTATAATAATTTTATAATTTAATATTTGATAGAATTTTTCAATTAAAAACTTTTGAAATTCCATTTTTTTGTAATCTCTAATTTTTCATCACCAAAATTAAGAATCACTTGAAGTTCAATTAATTTCAAAAATCTGTAGTGTAAATCTTTGAAAATTCATTTACTTTTAAAAAATGTTATCAAAAATTTTATTTGATAAATTATTTTTTCATTTTTGTAAAATTTAATAAAATCTTTTGAAATTTAATTTTTTTCTGAAAATTTCAATATTTCTTTAAAAATTTAATTATTTAAAAAAGTTTATAGAATTAAGAAATTAATAAAATAAATTTAATATCTAATAACATTAATTATTTAAAGTAAAATACTTATTAACTAATTAAATTTAAAATAAAAAATTCTTAAACTCAAACCGAGGTCTGATTTCTTTATTAATTAAGAGTTTGTTTATATTAATTGATAAAATTTATTTTTACAGAATCTCAAAACGTAGAGGCTTCATATTTTCATAGTCAAAAGACAATATCAGAGTGTTCAACGCAAAATTCACTTACCGCCTTGAAAGTAAACACCAATTCATCGTTTGATAATGATAGTCCAACAGCGGCGACAAAAGCTCCAAATTTACCATTACAAAATAATCCACACGCCGATGTGAAAGTAACATCGCGTAATGAAAGTGCCGTTAAAGGAACATCGCAACAACAACAACAGCAACAACAACAACAACAACAGTCATTAACAAGGCTTGTGCCAGCTAAAACAAAATTAGAATTGGAAAGTATACAAAAAAATTCAACACTTGCATCATCAAAAGTTCAGGGTATTTCGCAAAAAATGAAAAATCACATAATCACAAAAAATGATGCAAACGTTGTTGTTCCTGTAAATAGGCACAAAGCAGATAATCAAATACAACAACATAAGAAAATTATTCAAAATCATGTTGTAAAACCACAACAACAAATTGATCGTGTTCCATCGATTAATAAAGTTGTTGATGTACAACGTGTAAGTTTATTAAAAACAACTCCATCAGTTTCGGATCAATTGAAGGATTCTGATTTATCGTTGAATAAACCAATTCTTCCAATTGGTGAAATTAATGTCACCGAGGCAAAAGTTAAACAAAAACTTTTGGAAAATACAACGACGACAACGACAACGGTATCTGTTGTTGGAATTGTTGATACAAATACAGAGAGAGTTGGTAATGGAAGTGGCAGTGGAAGTGGCGGTAGCGGTGGTGGTGAAGATTCAGGAATTGAATCAATGGACGCACTTTCGGAGAAATCACCAAATCAAGGTGAATCACCATTACATAGGCCCGCTTCCACCACGGAAACAGTGACACAAAATAAAAATCCAATTCAGGGGGAACCACCTCTGCAAATCATCAATAAGAACAACGTGCCTTCCTCAACTAGTGTTGATATGTGTTCAAATTCGCATTCGGACATTGTTAATAAAACTCGCGGTGATTCAACAAAAAATTCATCATCAAGTCCCGTTCCAATTGCCAACTACCTCGAGAATCATTTGAATCACGAGGCAATTATTGCCGAAATAAATAGCAAAGACAATGATATCGATTCAATAACAAGAACACAAATTGATAGGGATTCTTTGCGAACAATTACATCGTGTCCATTAATCACTGGTACAACAACAATTATCACAAATTCTTCTTCTTCTTCTCTAAGTGAAAGTGTTGGTGATGATAGTGATAAACTAATAAAGTGCGCGAATGATAATGATAAATTAGAACACGATCAGGGTAAAAGTGACAACATTGTCGAGGACAAATGTGACAATGTAATTAGATTAAGTGATGAACCTCATGGACAAAACAATAATAAAAGTGTGCCTGTAGTTCAGAACCACGTTTATAGTACCGATAATAAAAAACAAGAGAAAGACATTGGATCCTGCTCAAATTTTCCCAATTATCAAGAGATTAAAATAGAACCAAAACTCGATGATACAAGGCAGGAAATAAAAATGGAAAATATTGCCGATGTGAAAATTGTTCAAGAAATAAAAGAAGATAATCCTCTAGAGAAAATTGAAAAAATTAATAAAATTGAAAATACACACGAGGAAGATGAAAACCAAAAAGCTAGTGTACAAAGTCATCAGCTAATAAGGGAATCGTCAGTGAATTTACAAAAAGTAACGGATGATTTGGTAAAAAAAATAGTGACCGATACAAATGATGGCGTACGATCTCCCCTGGCCGATGATCCACAACCGATCAGGATAACGCCACCTTTGTATACATATTCAAATCCAGTTGTACATTCACGTGACGATACACCAAGTCCAGCGTCACATAATCCCGATCCTGATAATACAGGTGGCAGTGAATCGGAGCACGCAAAACGTAAAAGACGACGAAAACAAGAATTGGAAGGACGTCAGGATGTTATTTGTATAGAGGATAATGATGATTCAACAACAACAACAACAACAACAGCAACAACAACAACGGCGGCACAATTTGTCGAGAGATTAAATCATCCAAATAATGCTGATGATTATGTGAAAAGGCCACATAAATCATTACTTGAACAATTATTGATTGATATACCCGGTGAGAATAATGAGAAACGATCATTGAGAACAAGATCACAGAAACTTAATAGTCCTGATATTAGTAAAACACCTAAGAGCAGTCCACATGGGACTGGTAAAATTGAAGAGAGACGAAGTATTTCACCGTATGCAAAAGCAAGTCCAAAATTGGGAGCATCGAAATTATCGCCAAATACAACATCATTGGGTAAAGGTGGTAAAAGAAAACGTCAAGAGAGCGAGAGTTCGGTGGCGTCGAGTACTGCTGACGATTCACAACCAAGACCTGGTAAACGAAAATGTTCGGAGAATGCCGCTGAGCTTATTAAAGCTTGCATGGGTGTTGAGGAAAGTGGACTTCTCAAGAAACAAGTACCTATTAAGGAGGAACAATCGAAGAAGGGATTTGGCATATTAGCCAAGGCTAAGAAAGGTTTTTATTTTTTTTTTTTTATATTTAATTAGATTTCGAAGAAAAAAAAGCAACGTTATTTTGGAAAAACAAAAAATTTTGTACTTACTACAAAACATTTTTTCTTTTTAATATGACAAAATTTTAATTCAAATTTGATTTCTTTAAATTTTAAAAGATTCCAATCCAAAAAAATTAGTTCAACTGTGAATTTTTCAAGAAAAAAATTATTTAAATTTAAAAAAAAACTTGGGTGAATATTCAAACAAATTAATTATTTAAATTTTGTTAACAATTAGAAATAAATTAAAATTTTTTTATGCATAGGATTTAGGTAACAAAACCGAAAACATTATTTTTGATGAGCCAAAACTTTTTGTAGGTTCAAAGGAACGAAATTTTTTTTGCAACTTTTTTAAGTACAAATTTTATTACAAAATATTGTTTTAAATATCTAAAAAGAAGTTATTAATTTAATAATTGTTTAATTTAATGTTTTTTTTTTTTACATTGCCATTATAATTTTTAATAATTTAAAGATTGAAAAAATATTTTGTTCATTTGAACGTTCAAAACTTTTGCCTCATTATTTTTGTTGTTTAAAATTTTTTTAATTAAATTATTTGAAAATTCACCGAAGCTTTTTTAAAATTTAAATAATTTTTATCTTTAAAATTACAGAAATACACAATTGAACTAACTTTTGTTCCGATTCATTGTCTAATTCTTTCTTAACGAAAAGTACGTAATTTTTAAATTTTAACAAAAAGTACGAAAATTACGTAATTTTGAGTAAAAATGAAAATATGTCGTCGTTTTTTTTTAATCAACAAATATTTCAAATTATTCGATTTTTCAACTTTTTTTTTTTTTACTTTTGTATTAAAAAATAAGTCTTATTTCGGTTTTTATAGTATCAAATTGGTACTAATGGATTTTTATTTTATTTTATTTTATTTTATTTCTTTTATATGATAAATCAGAATTATTTTAGATTGTTTAAGCTTAATTTATAGAAAATTGTTGAGTCAAATAATTACAAAAAAATTTAAATTAAAAAAAATTTTCCAGGTTTAAACTAATAAAAAATTTTTAATATTCTATCTCAAAAATAATTTTTCAAAAATGATTCATAATTATTTCTTTTATTCTAATAATAGTTTATAATTTTTATTTTTTAAAAAAAAAAATACCTAATTAAGCAAATTTTTACTGAATCGATTGAGTTAAGTTAAATTTATATTTCGCTAAAAAAAGTAAATTAGTCATATATGAAAAATTTCGAAAAATGAAAATTTAGTGAAATAAAAATTATTTCTTATTATTATTATTTATTATTTTTATTATTATTTTTCAATTATTTCATTATTTCATTAAATAACAATTTAGTTAAAAATAAAATCCAGAAACAAATTCAAGTCAAATTGGTTTGGTTAAATTTTAATTCAGTTAAATAAAAAAGATATTTTTTCGAAATATTAGAAAAAATTTACATATTTAAAAAAATTTTAATTCTAAAAAATGAAAATTCGTTGCAATAAAAATTTTATTTTTTATTATTTTTTAAAAAACTGAAAAAAGAACGCATTGAAATAAATAAATTAAAATACCGATTAAATTGACAAAATAAGTAACAATTGATTAACATTTTTTATTTGTTTCAAATTTCAGGTCCTATTGTCGTTGAAGTTGATTCATCAGACGACGAACCTCTCGTTGAACTCGCGGGAAAAATGAAGAGAACGTTAGAAGATACGTCGGTAGGATCTCCAAAGCCCAAAGATCAAAAGTAAGTCGTATCACAACAAATAGTATGTTAATTATTTGAAAATAATTTGCTTTTAAATATTATTTTCAAGTTCGTCATTTAAATTATTAATTAAAAAAAAAAAAAAATTTGCTCATATAGAAAAATAATAATGATAAATTTCAGGTCTCAATCTGGTACAAATGTCGCTGGTAGCCAAATTCATTCCAGTGTGCAAAATTTCAGTGCCAGTAATCGAGTGCAAAGAGAAAGTCGTCTTTTAACGACGAAACAGCCGAGCACGACATCAACATTAACTGTTGGCAAAGAAAGACTAAGAGGCACATCTGTATCCAGTAACGAATCGATTGGCGAAGTCACGACGCGAAGGTCTGTTCGACAAAGTACAGCCTCGCCTTTAGCAACTCCAGCGAGCAATACAAGAGGCGCTTCCCGATCATTGGAAGATGTAAATAGAAGAAAAACTCGTAGTGGAGCTGGTGAGTGAATTGTTGCCTTTGTAATAATTTCGAATTTATATTATTGTACAAAAAGAGAAAATTTGTCGAAAAAACAAATAATCTCAAAAGTGATTTTAAACAAAAATTTGTCCGATAATAATTTTTTTATACATTTTTTTTTTTTGCACTGATTGCAATACTGCAAAAAATAAAAATAAATTCTTTTAAAAAATCAAGTAATAAGAAAGTAAAACCAAAAATTTTCTTTTGTGCAAGAAACAATTTTATATCTTAAAAGAAAAAAAACTGAAAATATTCTTTTTAATCGTTTTAAATTTTGAATTTCGTTTTATTGAAAATAATTTACCAGGATTGTCAAAGATCAGTGAATTTTATGAAACTAACTGGAAAAATATCAAATTTCTAATAAATGTTACTAAAATTATAATTTTTCAAATTTTCGAATCAAATTTTTGCAACTAAAAATTATTGTCTTAATTTTTTATAATCGAAAACCTCTTCAAATTTTTTTTATTAGGATTAGGGAAAAAAAAATTTAATTCTAACTAGAAATCAGGGAAAAGTCAGGAAATGAATTAGTTTTTAGAATCGTATTGATAGTTTTATTCAAAATAAAAAATATATTAAAATTATAATTGTAAATTAAAAAGATATATTTTTGAATAAATAAAATACAAAATATTTATTATATTTTTATTAAATATCTAAATATAATTAATTATATTTAAACAGTTAAATTAAATTCAAATTTACAAGTTTTTAAGAATATTTGAATCTTAATTAAATACATAGCACGCGCATAAATAAACTATGTAAATAGATGAACAAAATTTAAAAAAAAAGTATAATAATAATAATAATAATAATATAATTAATTCAATAATAAAATGAAGAATAAAATTCAACAAATTGAATCTGAATTGTTTTAAAAATAAAATTTTAATCACATATTTTTTAGAATCACTTTCTTTTTATTTTTTTTTTACTTTTTGACATTAATTTATTCTGAAACATAGAACATTTTTATTTACGGAATTGTAATCAGTAAGAAAAAAATGTAGAGATAATAAAGTTTAAAAATTCTATTTTTCTTTTAAAAGTATCATAATTTAAAAAAAAAATTAATGGATAAAAACTTTGATAAAAATATAATAATCAAAATGACTGTTACAAATATATTTTTTTTTATATATATTCTTTTATTTAACTTTTTCTATTATTTAATCATGCGCTTTATATCTACAATGATTATCGGTAATTTGTATAATTTTCTCATTTATTTATTTAACAAAATACACACGTGCTGAGATAGTTAATTCCTATAAAAATACTAGAAAAAGAAAAATATAAAAATATACACAAAAAGAATAACGTTAATTATTATAAAATCATTTTAATCATCATCATTTTTATTATTAAAAATAAATACAATTTATTAAATTTTAATACAACGATAAAAATTAACTCCTTAATATTCATTGTTCTAGTAAATTTTCAATTTAAAATTCTGTCTTTCAGACAAGAAACTTTTATTAGTAAAATAATGTGTTTCAAAATAAAAAATTGTGTGTTTTTTAAAGAAAAAATTTGATCCTCAAATGTTAACTTTGAAAGTTCTATTCATTTGATTATTTACAAAAAATTTAATTGAATTTCATGAAATTAAATATTGAAATTTTTATGATTTTCAATGAAAAAATTTGAATTTACATTTGAAAAGTTTCTGTTTTTTTTTTTTTTTTGAGTTACATAAACATTTTTTATGAATATAAAATTATGAACGGAAATATTCTAATGAAAATATAAAAAATATCATTTGAATCTTTTTTTTACAAAATTTAATTTAATAACTAATTTAAACTTTTTAATTCAAATTTTCATTTCTTGTAAATTATTACGAGATTCGTCAAAAGAAATAATAAAGGAAAGAAAATATATAGAAATTATCGATAATTTTTGTACAATAAATTATTTTGGTATTTAATAACTTTTTTTGCCATTCGATGAATAAGCTGCAAAAGTGAAAGAATTTGTAAATAATTAAATAAAATATTTATAATTAGTACCTAAATTATTGGATAAATTTTCTAAAACTGTTTATTCGATTTTCATTACTTAATAGTGAATTCCCTATTTTTTTTTGTTCTTGTTTTGAAAGATACATTTTTGTATAGCTTCTCCATCGATTGTGATATAAAACCAAAAAAAAAATATTGCAAAATAATATTAAATGATAATTATAATAACAATATAGCTTATAGTAATATCATAAATATCGCATATTTCTTTAATTAAAACACCTCGTACAGCGGGAACGATTTTTTAGTGACAGCTGAGACAGCAGAGCAGGCGAAACGGAGGCGAATATCTCGAGAAAACAAATGACGTTCGGAAAGTGACCTTGACAGTGATTAGCTACCGTTGCTCCTCTCTCGTCAAGGCCCTGACACTCTGGTTGTCTGTCTGCTATCAAATGATTATTCGATGATCACTGCGTGGCTGGACCCCACATGCGGTGAATCTGTCATTAGCGCACAATGTAAACATATATATGTTGCTTACCAAGTCCCTGGAGAGAAGAGCAGCCCCAAAAAAAAAAAAAAAAAAAAATGAGAGGAACTCCAGAGACTTTAAAAAAAAGAAGAAAAAAAACATTCTATATAGAATTAAATAAATCCAAATTCATTCATTCATTATTAAAAAAAAAAAAAATAAAAATAAAAAAAAAAAAACGAACAAATGAAAATTCGGATTTTTGCACGGCAAATAAACTCTGGTTATGCTTTAATCTTCTCTGCTCTAAAATTCAAGATTTAGTTATTTAGCGAAAAAATTATTCTCAACTCAATTTATTAAAATTATTTTTACATTCTCATCATAAATGAGAAAGTATTTTTAAATTCTTTTAGTTTAAAATTTAATTATAATAAAATATTAAATTAAAATTGAAAGAAAAATATTAATTCAATGATAAATATTTAAATTAAAAAAAAAGTTCAAACTTTAAAGAAAAAAAAAAAAAAATATTGTAATGGACGACGAATATTTTCAAAATTAAATAACTAAATCTTTTATCGCAAAAACTGCCAAGTCGATTCAAAATTTATTGTTGAATGCATCCGTTCGTGCATCGTTCCGTTCTTTTGTCTCTTTTTTCCCGTAAGCGTTTCTCGTTTTTTTTTCTTTTTTAAAATAAAAAAAAAAGGAGAGAAAGAAAGAAAGAGAGAGAAAAAAATGTGTGTGTGGTGGTAATTAATAGACTGTAGACTTCAGTGCATTAGAAACGTTCTATTCTTGAAAACGTTTTCGATTAAAAATGGATTATTAAAATAAAAAAAAAAAAAAAAAAGAGAAGAAAAAAAGACGTTCGCGGTGGTTTCTCATCTGCCGAGATTCAAATGTGTATATTTTTTCAAGAAAAAATAATAATAATAAAAAAAAAAAAAAAAAAAAAAAAAACAATGAAAAAAAAGAAACAAAGAAAAAAAATAAATCAAAGAATCTTGCAAATAATGTCATCAATTTATATTATATATATATAATTCTATATCAAAGAATTTTCGATATTTAATTAACAAAATATAAATAAAAAGCCAATTGTATTCTTCTATACGAGTAGAAATCAATGTGAGCTGTAAAATGTGTGAATAATTCAAAAAATTTACTGCCAATGAATTGTTGGAGGTAAAACAAAAATGTTTCTTTAAAAAAAAAAAAAAATAATAATGTTTATTGACCGCTGGGGACTTTAATAAGACTTCTGACGACTCCACACTGTCAGACTTTGTTTCCATTTAGAAAAAAAAAAATAATAATTTCTGTGTTATTTATTTCAGTTTAAATGTCCATTTGGATTGTTTTTTGTCCTTATAATTGTAAATATTTAAGAATATTCTCTTTTTTTTAGTACAAAATTTTTAAATCATCTCCGTTTTCAATGTCTTTTTTTTTTCTTAATAATGAATTTTTGACTTTCGAACTGCAAATGGGTTTCTTTATTGATTCATAAATTTGTGTATATCTCTTAATATTGGGGAAATTTTTTTTTTTTCATCAAAAAAACTTAAATATCATTGATTACATTTTATTCCAATTAATTAGACAATATCAATTTAAAATGATTTAAATTAAAAGTGAAAATAATAATTTTTTTTTGTTTCATTAAAAAAAAAAAAATTTTTTTCTAGACATTTTTATTTTAAAACGATCTTATTAGTTCTTGATAAAACAATTTCTATAAATAATAATAATATTAAGAAACTTTAACAAATTCGAAACATTTTTCTAAAAATTGATAAATTTTGGAAAAATTGGAAAACTTTGCAAAAATTTGATTAAATTAATTGTCAATAATTGCGGTAAAGATTGAAACAATGAAATTGAATTGTAAAAAAAGTTGTTTTTTTTTTTAAATTGCAGATAGTAAAATTATTATTATTATTTTTCTTTATTTTTTGTTTATATTTTTGTTTGATGTTAATTTTTCAAAATTTTTATCACTTTTTTCTCGATCATATATTTTTTTAAATTAATTTGTTTTTTTTTTTGTTATTTTCGCTTTTTTCATTTGTTACGTATTTTAATCGCCCATTTCATTCGAATTTCTTTTTGTCAATTTATTTATTTATAAATGAAAAATATTTCACAATATCGAAAGATCTCATGTTGAAAATTGTCTTTTTATTATTATTATTATTATTATTATTATTATTATTATTCTAAGTGTGTTGTCAAAATTATTTCGATACAGTCACTGAGAAAAACTCGTTCGATAATAAAAAAACAAAAAGAAAATTAATAAAATTTTTTTATAATGTCCGTTAATACATAAAATAAAATAAAATAAAATAATTTATTTGTTTAGTCAAAAAAAAAAATTCAACTCTGTAAACACAGTCTTTCAGTTAGAATGTCGTCTTGAGTTATTCAACAGTGGGACATATAGGAATATTATTAAAAAAAAAAAGGATTTATTTTATTTATATATAAAAAAAAACAATAGAACGTTGGTATGAATCAAGCATAAATAAATACGGAGATGATGATAAGAATAATTATTATTAAAAAAAAAAATAATTAATACAATGTTAATTTGATAGGTAATATATGAATGAATATATTTTGTAAATAATTTCTTGTAAAGTTTACACAAAAATACACACACACACATAAACACACACACATACACATACATATACACAAGAGCACTTCTCATTGTATATATGCAGAAAAAAAAATTGTTTAAAAGTTTTATTATTAAACAAAAACAAAAAAAAAAATAATTGAAGTAGCTCTAAAATTAAAAAAAAAAAAAAATGTGCAACTTTTTTTTTTGTCGATAATAATAATAATTATTATTTTTTTTTCCTCGTAATATTCTTATATTTAGAGTTTACAAATCTTTGAAATCTTCCTCGCGTATAGCATCAATTTATTAATTATATACATATATATATACAGACGAGCAATATTTGCGATACGTATGTATGTGTATACGTATTGCACATTGATGTATAGTTGTTTTTCGTAAATAGACGAAACTAGATTTATGTTATTATAAAAAGAAAAATAAAACATATAGTGAAAAAGATTATTAAAAAAAAAACTGTTTTTACGGATCGAAGCAGCTTCGAAAGCCATTAATCTCATTGTTTCATTATTATTAATAATTGTATCACTACTTTTTTTTTTATTTTTAAATTCATAAAATTCTCTTTACATTAAAATTTTTTTGATTTTTTCAAAATTTATTTAGAATTTATTTTTTTGTATAGATTTTTTGTTTCCGATGATTATTTTTGTATAGAATTTTGAAATCTTTCCAAATTTTTCCATTTGATTTGAATTAGTATAATTAATGGTTTCTTTTTTTTTTTGATTATTTTTTCTTACTTTTTTGTCTTTTTTTTTTTTGTTATCAGCTTTTACAACTGTTATATTTAATTTTTTGTGAATTTTTTTTTTTTTTTTTTAATTTTCTGAAAAGATTTAATATTGAAATAATTAATTTTGAACAAAATCAGATTTTGAATATTGTTGATATATTTAATAAATAAATAAAATATATTTTTTTTGCAAAGTATTCTTTTTGGCAAAAAAATATTTTTTCAATTTGTAATTTTAACAAGAAATTTGGAAAGATTTTATTATCTTCTTTTGTAAAATTTGGTTTTTGATGTGATTTTTGATTTCCAATATAGGTTTACATTTAATCGTTGTATCGCATAATATCTAAAGAGCCGTGGTCTCTAAAAAAAAAAATGAAATAAAAGTGTTATTAAGAACTGAATCTAATTAGAGATCTAGAATTGACGTTTAGGTGAATTTTTACGAGATTTTTGACTCGCACTCTTTGATTCGTTCTAATACTGAGACTGAAGCGGTTTTATCACTTCGAGTCGAGTCACTATATATATATATATATATATATATATATATATATACATGATATATATATATATAATTTTCTCCCGCCACGAATAGTAGCTTAAATTATTTAGTTTATTACATCACTCGTCATCGGAAAATTATTATTTTTTAATGATGACGATGATAAAAAAAAAAAAATAATAATAATGATTGAGAATATAAGAATATAATATAATAATGACGATGACAAGGATGATATAATAATTTGATAATGATGATGATAATCGTGAGGATGATAATGATAATAATTATAATATTAATTATATAATAAAATCCACTTTTGTAAATAGTAGCGTGCTTATTTTATTAAAAAGTAAAAAAAAAAAAAAGAAATCGATCCGCAAAAAAGAGCTTGTGTGTATATTGTATGAGAAATGAGAGAATCACATTTAATTTTTGGTCCATACTCTACATTGTGATGGGATGAAGTGTAATGTAAAATCTAGTGCTAGGATTATATTATTCGAAGAAGTAAAAGAAAAGAAAATTAAATTTAAGAAGGATCGCTACGAGAAAAAAAAGAATTGTAATTTCGTTGTAAAATATTCTCTTCTTTTTTTTTGACACTATAGGTAGGTTAGGCATTATTATGTTACAATTTTATTATTGAACATTACATTACATATGATTGTATAAACCATTAAAAAAAAAAAAAACAGAGGATAAGTTTCACCTGTAAATACAAATAATTAATATTGATATAAGTGAATTTATTCGAGAAATCTAGATAATATTAAGAGGCTCGTGAATTGCTTCTCTGAAAATGGACAAAAATTATACAAATAAAATTTATTAAAAAAAAAGAAAAATCTCAAATGATTTAATAGCAAAATAAATCAAATTGAGAGATGAATAACAACTTTTTTTTTTCTTTTCATTGAGAAGCAACAAAAATAAGCACGCGATTAATTGTACGACGCAAATTTAGTGCTTTGTAAATAAATCTTGACAAGTGCGAAGTAACATTTATTATATATATAAAAAAAAAAAAAAACATTATTTTTGTTCTCGAGCCTTTTAATTTTATAAGAATTACTGAAAATATATATTATATATATAAATATATAAATATAAATATAAATATTATAATTGCGTAAGGAGAATGCGCGACAAAAGCACCGGAACAACTATAAAGCGAGAATAAAAGTTCCGATGATTTTGATGCTAATTATATATGCAAAAAAAAAAAAAAAAAAAAAAACAATTTGTATTTTTAGTATTCGATTAAATGATAAAACAACAACAACTAGGTGTGAAGGTAAAATTGATTGATAATAATCCACGAGGATAATGTAAAACAACAACAACAACAAAAAAACAAAAAAAAAACTAAAATATTAGATACAATATTATATTTGTAGAAATGATCGAGCACGTGAGAAAAAAAAGAAAAAATCGCGCTATAATTATAAAGAAAAAAAAAAAATATTACGATTATATTATTATCTATTATTACACAAAGTGAATACACAACATAGTAATTTGCTAATTGTACCTTTTAATAATTACTGTAGACACATTGATGAAAAAAAGGTTTTTTTCTTGTTATTAATTATTAATTACCATAGACTTATCAGAAAATGAAAAAAAAGTGTTATAAAAAATTACAATCACTTGTTCTGTCTTACACATTCCCACCAATTTCACAGAAAGAAAAAGAAAAAATTCAAAACGACCAAAAAACAATAATAAAAGTGCGGGACAAATTCTTTTTTTTTTTCTTCTTTTTTTCCTAAATATATAGACGACGAAAAAAGTCTCGATTCTTATATAGAAACATATTTATAATATGTTATAATGTTGGAATTTTTTATTATACACTGTTTTATAAATTCTTTTAGAGTCGATTGTTTTTTGTGCGATGGTTAAATGTTATATTTGATTACTATATTTCAATAATTGTCGCTTATTTTTAGAGTATACGATATATTATTATTATTATTATTATTAATATTAATATTAATATTATTATCCTTGCGAAGTACTTATTTATTTTTCACAACATTTTAAAACGTACAGACATTTCATTTTTCATTTTGGTCTCTAATTGTGTACTGTATATCATGAAAAATATAGATATAAATTATTTAATTAATTTACATATTGTTGCTCATTAATCATAATATAAAATAATTTTTTTTCTCTTTTATTGCGATTGTTTGAAAAAAAGAGAATTTTTTTGTCTAATAACAATTCATAATTAGGTCATCGGGATTTTGTAAATATTAATTTTATTTAATTGTATGATTCCAATTTTTTTAAATTAATTAATATAATTGAAATTTAAAAAGAAAATATTCTTATGTTTTTGGTTTTGAAGTTTAAATTCGGATTTCAAGTAAAGAAATAATTTTTAATTGTAAATATATGGTTTTTTTTTTATCAATTTTCATTAAAAATATTATTAATATTTTCCTTTTAAAAAGAAATTATATAAATTTATTCCCTATATTCAGTTTTATTTTAATTTTTAATTAATAAATTAAATATAAATTATCAATTAAAAATTCATACGTTTTAATTTTATTGAAATTTTATATATATATATATTTACTTGAATTTAAAAAAGGATTATAAAATAAAAGTCTGCATTACATAACAATTAGAAACATTAGTCGAAATTCAAAAATTTGAAGAAAAATTCGTTGGATATTATTGAAATTGCCATTAATAAGGTAAGTTAAATTAATGAATTTATATTTCAATTAATTTTGTTGAAGTTCGATAAAATTCTGAAAAATTGACATACCAACAGGAAAAAGGAAAAATATTAAAAAAGATAAATGCATTTCTTTAAATATGTAAAATTCTTTTAAATTAACGTTTTTTTAAGAATTTTAAAAATGTATATTAAAAAATTTAACGAGATTATTGAAATTAAATATTGAAATAGTTATTTATTTATTGAAAAATATACGGCAAAGCCAAAAATATAATTTTTTTTTTTCAAAATAGACAATTACAATAAAATATTCAATTAATTTTGAAGTTTTATTTGAGATAAATGAAGAAAACTTACCGTCAATGTTGCTTAAGGTCATGTGATTGTTGTGACGTAGAGGAAAAATTTTGATAAATTTACTTTAAATTTAAAAAAAATAAATTTACCTCCTCCTTAATTAAATTTCAAACTGTTTTATTGCTACTTTTTAAAATACCAAAAAATTTTTTTTACATAATATTATTAATTTTAATTATATTCTTATTCCATACAATTTATTATAATTAACCTTCTTCAATTAATTTTTTTTCCGTTTATATTAAAAATTTATTATTTAATGAAGTCTAAATTTAATATTCATCTTTTTTTTAAAAAAAATCCCTATTTCCATTTATTAAATTTATAAAAAAAATTTATTTATTTTTTTTTAATAAATTAAAATTCTTTGTGAATTAAAATTAATGTACGTTGAACTTTTTTAGTTTAAATTTTTATTGTAAATTGAAATATTTCTATGGATATAGAATAGTAATAATTTAATTGTAAAAAAGTTTCAATTAAAACTTTGACACATTATGATTATGAAAATATAAATATATTTTTCTTAATTACTCAGTTTTCGAAAAAATTTTCATTAAAAAATAATGCTGAAATTCACGTTTATCATCAACGATTTTTAAAGAAATATTTTTTGAATGAAAAAATTTAACAAATTTCCGTCACAAAAATATATTTTTCACATTTATTGCTATATAATTACTTTAAAAAAACATTTTTTTAAATAGAAAATTTTAGAACTTTTCCGTTTTATAAAAATAGTTTTTTTTATAATCGTTGATCATAGCGGATTAATAAAAAAAATACTAATTTAAAATACAAAAAAAAAAATTCACAATTGACAAAACTAACATTAATTTATTTTTCATTTCTGATAGACAAAAACATTTTTTTTTTTTTTCAATGATATTAAAGACAGTGACTTTTATACTTATTTGACATATAATACAGTTTTTATACCACACATTTATTTTATTTATTTTTTTCCCAAATTAGCGTCTGCCTATTTATTTGTAGGCCCCAAAAAATTGACCAAAATCCAAATTCCAATTTTTTTAATACAATGACGATGATGATAATGATAGTTTCAAATGGAAGTTGAGGGCTCTGAATCAGTGTCCGTGTCGCCATCACTACGACGTTCATTATTAATATTTTTTAAAACACTACTATTCTCAGGCCAATTTGTTGAAACAATTTCACAAACTGTTGATGAATTTTCATAATTATCAGCAGTCTCCAATCTAATATAGGGTGTTTTTGTTTTTTTATTTCTCAATGATGAATTATTTGTATTTTTCATTGATGTTTTTTTTAATAGAATTCCATCATTTTTTTTAATATCCAATATTGGTGATGTTTTACCATTTTTTGGCGATGTATCACCATTTAAATATTTTTTCATCCATTTTGGTGGTTCACTTGCATAGGCATGAGTTTTTTTTGTATATTTTGGACTCGATAAAATTAATGGACATTCAGTTTCAATAACTGTTGTTATGACTTTTTCATTTTCATCAAAATTACTTTCAAGATATTTTTTCTTTGGTATTGTTACTTTATTGACTTTAGCCAATCCAGTTGTTGAACGTCCGCCTTCAAATTTTGTTTCTGTTTCATAAGTATAGGCAAAATGACGTTGTATATGAACTGGTTCTTCTTTAACTGTATTTTCATTTTTTAATGTACTTTCACGTTTTAAAAAATAGTCTTTCTTTTCTGAACTTTCCTTTCTGCCAAGTAAAAGTTTTCTTCCACGATTTTCCTTTTTGCCAGATGATTCAATTGTATATTCCTCACTTACTGACATTCTTGCATTTTTATCCGCCACTTTACCAAGTGCAAGTGAAAGTGAATTTTGCCTTAAGGTACAAGCAGTGATGCTATGCCTTTGTTTCAATATCGGTGGATCGAGAAGACGACGTAGACTTGCACTTCTTATTTCCGGTACTGAGAGCCTCTCTCTTGGCGGTGGTTTTGGTAAAATAAGCATTGGCGGCGATGATAGGGGTAAATTTGCCGAATGCTTACGATATGGTACAATATTTTTTTGATCGGACGGATGTAAAATGGGTGTTGTTGTAATTTTTAAAACATTCTCAAGTCCCTCAACAGTGGGACTTTTGGCTTTTAAATTTTGTGCCGTGCCAAATAATTTATTTTGATGTACATTATCAACTGGTGAACTTGCAATTGGTAATAGTGACGATCTACGTCTTCCTGTTTGTGGATTTAATTGGCTATCCAAACTAAATCTTTGCTTTGGCGTACCAGCCATTGCTGCTAAATCATTTTGTGTTTCCAATTCGGGTATTGAAAAACGATCGCGATTAAATTGTACCAAATAATTGGACCAGTCTTTTTGTACTCGATAACGAGCCACAGATCCAAAATCCAATTGCGATAGACGTTCACGTTTTGAAATATGAGTGCCTTGCGATGTGGCTGTAAAGGCGGGGAATCTTTTTTGTTTGGCAAACGTTGGCGAACGTAAAAATGATTGTAGATCACGATCGGCAATTCCCAATGTTGGTTGAGAGAGTCTTTGTTGTGATATACTAACGGGATAATAATCGCCAGTAACTAATGTTGGTTGTGAGAGACGTTCTCGCCGGCCACCTTGAATATTGCTACGTGAAACACGCGATAAACGTGGACTCATTAATTTTCCACGTTCTGGTTCCTTGACGGTGAGTAGACGATCTTCTTCTTGTAAACTGGAGAACGATTGACGAGCTCCAATTGCACAATCAAGTGCTAGGGGAAAACTGCTGGGACATAGTGTTGGTTGTGACATGCGAAATCGTCGATCGGCACGACGACTATCGGTATAGGGACCAAGGAAGCTTGTGAGATTTGGCTGTGAATGACGACTTCGACCACCACCACCACCGGGTGATGGTGATACTGATTGTTGACTTGTTGTTTCGGAATTGCTCATTGCTGTACATGAGGAATCTTCAATTTCAACTTCGAGATGTGTTCGTGGATTCTCCGGCAGAGGATGAAGATCGGGATGTGAGAGTCGTGTCATTCCCTTTCGTCCGGTGCCTTGGTACTTTCGTAAATGATCATCAAGATTGGGTTGTGATAGGCGAATACATGGATTTGGAGGTAGTGGTCTTAGATTTAAATACCAAAGATCCCGACGGGAATATGGCTCACATCAGAGAGTGCCTTCCTCACGAAGACGACGCATAAAAACTGGCCTTACATCTTCGAAAAATGTTGGTAAATCTAATTCAGCTGCTCGTGCAATTCCACCGTCTTTACAAACTAGCCAATAAGTGTCCATTGATCCTTTGCCCTTGGAAAAAAAAAAAAATATTTAATTCAAATAAAAATATTTCAATTTTTTCAAATAAATAATAAATTATCATTGAAAATTATTTTTAATTATAAGATAATTATTTACTTTTACGTCAACAAGTCCTCGATGTTCAATTCTAAATCCACCGACTGCATCCAATGCTTTCTTCATTTCCAAACTGATGTGAATTCTCAGAGCTGAAATTTTTTTTTTTTTTTTTTTTTTTTTTAATCAAAACTTATCTCAAATTCTTTTTCTTTCTGTATGAAAATTTATATTTATAAGAATTTAATTTTAAATGAAGAATTTTAAAGAAAAAAAATTAATTTAGCAAAGAATTTTAGTTAAAAATTTGTATATAATTTGTATAATTAAATTTTGGAAGAGCTTCATTGTATACTAAAAAAAAGTCGTAATTTATTTTAAAATTTTGTAAAAAAAAAAGTCGAACAAAAATAAATAATAAAAGATACGAAAATTAAATTTAATTTCAAATTTACAAAAAGACTGAATAATAATTAAAAATAGTAATTAATTAAAAAATTACCTTCTCCAGTCGATTCCATACGACTCGCGGTATTGACCGTATCACCAAATAAACAATAACGTGGCATTTTTGTCCCAACAATGCCAGCTACAACTGGCCCCGTGTGTACTCCACTTCGAATTTGTAGTCGTTCTCCAGGTCGTTTTGGTACTTGAAATACAGAAGATGCTGCCAATAGATCCAAAGCCATTGTTGCAATTTCCGAAACGTGTTTATCACCTTTAAAAGAATATTCAAATTATTTTCATATAAATTAAATATTGAAAAAAAAATAAAAATCAATTTTAAAAAATTTAACAAAAAATAAATATTATAAATAGATATTTAAATGTATAGATAGGTATTAAAATTCATTTCATTTTTTATTAGAAATATTAATATTCATTTAATTACCAAAGAAAATAATTGTTCAAAGTAATTAAAAAATAAAAAAAAAATTAAAGAACTAAAGAAATAATAAGAAAATGAAGTTAAAATATTTTAAAAGAAAATAATAATTGTTATTGTTAAGTGAAAATTGTTAAAAAATAATTTCATAAATTAATTTTTATAATTTTTTTTTTTTAATTTTATTAATTAATTTTTTTATATTAATTTATATTCTTTTTCATTAAATTATAAATAGAAAAATAGAAAAAAAAGAATTCCTCTCTTACCATTTCTAACTGGTAAGCCTGAAGCGACCATGTACGAATCGCCTATTGTCTCAACTTTGTAAACATCGTAGCACTCAATTCGCGCGTCAAAGAGTTTATAAATTGAGTTGAGAAATGTTACAACCTAGAAAAATGTGTAAAAAGAACCTTGAAGCCTTATATATTTTTAATTAAAACTCATGCTCTAGAAAAAAAAAGAAAAAATAATAATCGTTCTTTTATGAATTCAATTAATTTGACGTTTAAATAAATTTTTAATTAATTTTTAAATATATTTATATATTATTAAATAAGTTTCAATTTTTTTACAATGAAATTAAATCAAAAATTTGAATTTAATTAAAATAATTTTTTCAAAACATTGTTTTGCAAATTCCTAGCATTTTTCTTTTATTGTTAAAATTTGTTTAATTAAATTAAATTGAAATTCGTTAAAATTCATATTAAATATTAATAAATAGGTCACATGCTTGTATAGTAAAAAAAAAATAATGAAAAAGCGAAAAAAAGCCTGTAATATAAAACTTTTGATAAATCTAATCAAATTCAGGTGCGTGTCTTCTTTCAAAAAGAATTCATGCCGTTTTTCTTGACACATAGGTATATACTCAAATTACCAGAGTCTTTTTTTTTTATCTCTCTCTCTCTCTATATATATATATAAAATACAACATACCTCGAGAGGTGTATTTTCTGCAGCAATTTCCGTAAAACCAACTATGTCACTGAAATATACAGTAACAGCTTCGTAATACTCGGCAGGTACCTGTAAATTAAATTGTCTTAATTTTCAATTAATTTCAGCTAATATAATACTACGATAATAATTAATTTCAAGATGACCTGCAAATATCATATTGAAAATAGACAAATAAAATTTATTTAAATGAATAAAATAAAAAAATAAAAATTTATAAGCTTTTGCTTCCTTTTCTTTGAAATTAAATTTCATGTAATATATACCTGTTGAGTTTGCTTTAATTGTTGAGCAACACTTGGTGGTAACATTTGAAATAAAAGTGTATCACTCTTTCTTTTTTCGCGTTTTAATTCACGTGCTTTTTGCGCCAAATTTGCAGCATACATCTGTTTAAAAAAAGAAAAATATTTTTAGCCGTTTATTTAATTAAAAAAAAATATATATATATATATATTCGCGATTAAATTATTAAATTCTGTAAGAAATAAAATAATATTTAAAAAAAAAGAAATAAAAAAATGCGCATATACGGAAATAAATTAATATATATATATGCAATTTTTGACAATAACAATAAAGTAATTATAAATAAAAAGAAAAATTGAAAAAAAAATTCGTTACTTTAAATTTAAAAAAATTAATTTTATAATTAAAAGTATTACCTGAATGGTGCCAACAGCATTTCGCATTAAAAATATAATAATTGGTGAAACTACTAAAACCAGGACCACTATTGCGATTCCAGCCACTTCACTGCTGCTTGCATCTTTCAGATTCGAATTAACGTACTCTCTGTTATTTCAAAAAATAATTTTAATATAATTAAATATTTCAGTGAAATATAATTAATATAAATTGTATATATCAAATTATTATACAAATTTATTTATATATATGTATATATATTAATATAAATATTTCTCTATATATTTTTTACTCTTCTCATTCATTATCCAGATTCAGTAGTAAAAGTCAGCTATGTAGTCAGACAATGTTTTAAATTCTTAAATTATTTGTAATTAAAGAAAGATAATTTGTAATTTCTAAATATGATGTTGTGGATAAAAGTTATAATTTAATTAAAACATATAAATTTTCTACACTCTAATAATTTTTTTATCACTACCAAAAAAAAAAAAAATCAATTTTAGTCAGACGATATCAATTCTTAAAATTTTAATATCACAGTAGCTAACGTCGGGTTTAGGCAGACAATATTTTTTTCAATTTTTATAAATTTATTAACAGTATAATAAAAGGACAATAAAAAATTAAAATCTTACCAATACGATGTTTACAAACAAAAAAATATTTTTAAAAAACCATTTTGCATTTTTTCTGAATTTATATATTATAAATTGACATTTTTATATCAAAAAAAGGAGAAAAATATTTTCTATTATGGTTTTTTTTTTTTAAATAAAACTTTTTACCAATAATATATCGCAATAATTTTTTTTTTTAAACTAATAAAATGAATTTTAATTTCATATACATAATTAACTAATTAAAAAAATTGAGTCTATGTGTTTATTAAAAATATTCTTTAAATTTTTATTCTTTTAAAAATAATTGTATTAAACTGAAAACAATATATATATATATATATATATATATATATATATATATACTGAGAAGGGTGGTCTCCAATTTTCATCCTTCATCCCTGCAGGGTGCATATATAGGAAATTTGTGGTCTATGTTTTTGAAATAATTAACCCTACCTACCCCCCCCCCCCAACCCTTCCTTCTAACAAGTCTGAACTTTCAAAGTGAGCCAAAGCATATACCTTATCATACGTCGTAGTTCTCTCTGAAGTTTACGAAGTTCGTCAATATATGTAGCCATCGAATCAAAATAATCGATGGCGTCATTTACACTCGGCTCTCGTTTTCGATTTTTCAGTATCTCCTCACGTCTGCAAAAAAAAATCCAAATTATTAATTTTTTTACGTCATTAAACCCCCCCCCCCAAAAAAAAATGTCAATAAAATAAATAGTAAAAATTGTGAAAAAGTATAATTATGTAAAATTTTTCGATTATAAATTCGAAAATGGTCAAAAATTAATATTTTCTCTTACTGACTATTTTTTTTTTAGGAATTTAATGACACAAAATAAAATATTACAAATTTCTACGATCATTTAAATTTAAGAGGTGAAAATAATAAGGTAATGTCTTGCTTTTTAAAAATAAATATTATTAGTTTAAAAAATTTTAATAATTCAAGATTTTGTTACAAAAATTCAAGGAATTGCAAGAATTTTCAAGGTCAAAAAAACAAAAATTCAAAGGATTTCAAGGTCCGCTGGACCGGAAATTGCAAAAAAAAAAATTTTTAAATTCCCTGACTTTTTTACTAAAAATTTAAATTCCGTTGACTTTTACATTTTTCCCCTGAATGTTAGATACCCTGAATTAAATATAATTGTTAAAAATTTAATTATTTTTTAAATTACAAATTTTTAAAAATCTTTATTTTTGATATACAAAAAAAAGGAAATAATCTCTTTAGAAGCTTAGAAAAATAATTGTTATAAAAAATTTGATTTTTTTAAAAATATAAATGGTTTTCTCTCTTATAATTTCTCTGATTTCATTTATATATAAATATATATATATATATATAAAAGATGAAAAGATATATAATGAATTGAATTGAAAGCGCATTCATTACGTTGCTTAAGTCCACAACGTTTATGACCGACGATTATAAGAAATTATTTTTTAAAAGGGAAAATTATGGAATTTTTTCTCAAAAAAAAAAAAAAAATGTTTTTTATAATTTTTTTTATCAATAAATTAAAAAATATCTTTGAGACAAAAATTCCTGTAATTTTTCATATTTTTATATTTTCATATTTAAAATATTCATTTATTATTATTACTTGAAAAAATTTGAAAATCGTCTATTTATCAAAAAATTGAATTTTATTCGAGAAAACGATTGTAAACGTGCCTTGATTTAATAAGTCCATAATTATCCATAGTACGAGTGAGATTACTGTAAAATTGTTTGAGGCCTGGCACGTAGGTGAGAGATCCGTTAAGAAGATCTCGTCCAATTGAATCGTGGCGTACGTAGCTGACATAATTTTCACCCACAAGGATTCCTCGGCCAAAGTAATTGATTCCGTAAACCGAGGCTATGCCAAGGCTTTCGATGCTTCGTAACAAATTTTTGAACGCAATAAGATATCTAAAATCAAAAAAAAAATTTATATTATTTTTGTTTTTCTTTTTAATTCAGATAAATTCAATTACAAAATTTTCTATAAAAAGAAAATTTATTTTATTGTTTGAATAAAAAAAAAGAATGAGAAAATTTTGCAAAAAGTTGGTGAAAATATATAATTAAATAAAAAAAGGATAAATTAATAAAAAAAAAAAAATCCTTTCTTATTTTACTCTCAAATCTTTTGAATTTAATGATTTCCTCTAATCGAAGAGGTAAGAGACTTTTTCAATTATTAATAGATCATTTTCTCTGACGTGCTCGGGACTTTTTTTTTTGTTCAATTTCTTCCAGCTTATATACTAGACATTGTAACCTTTTGAGCGTAAGTATTCACAGATGAATGGTCACTTGACTCGCTCATCTTCATAGTCTTTTTTTTTCTCCCTTGAGTATAAATCAATCTTGTATTTTAAAATTCAATTTCGAAAAAGTGGAATTTTATCAGAATATTCATTTAAGATATAATATATATTTTTATTTTAAATGAAAAATATTACCTCCATACACCACTATTATCAGTCTCTTTAATTTGATTAGTTAAATGATCTAGCATTGCTGCGTTTACACTCGTATACCAAGTCATCACTTCTGTTATGCTTTTCTCCTCGGAACTGATTCTCTTTCTGAAACGAATTAAATAATTTTTTTATTATTTTAAAAGATGAGAGATATTATTTCAAAATTTTGAAATTTAAATGACTTTTTGTAATTTCTAGTTTATTTATTTATATTTTATTTAAGTTTGACGTTAAATAATATTTTGTCTAAAAAAATTGAAAGAAAAATTCTGAGGAATAAAATTAACATAATTTTTCTCATGATTATTTAAAAAAAAAAAAACTATCTATTGTTAAATTTCGATTAACTTTTTGTTTTTGACACGACGGTATAGGAGCGAATAATTATTCCATAAAAATTATTTTTCACATAAATTTTTATTTTACAAAATATCATTTAATAACAGAATTTTTTTTAAACGAATGTTTACTCAACAAAATTTTCAAAGAACCGAATTTTTATATTAAAAAATTTCTCTTTACCCAACTGTTTTTTTTTTGTTGAAAAGAATTTTAATTTAATCTATTTTTAATTTATTAGAATTCTCATTCAGTAGAATTTTAAGTAATTCGAATTTTTGAATTCTAAAACTTGAAATCGGAAGCTTATAGAAAATATTTAGTCTTTTAAAACAACAGATTTTAATTAAAAATCTTAATCCAAAATTCAATTATTTTTAAAATTTGTATATCTAAAATTCTTTGCTAAATTAATAATTTCATATCCAATTATTCAAAAATTCAATTAAATAAAACATTTTTTAATTAAAAATTCTCTAAAATTCAATTACTGTTTAAAACTTTGTTAATAATTTTCAGCAATTATTTTAATTTACAAAAATTTTAATTCAAAAACTCCTAAAATTCAATTCTTAAAAATTTTGATTCAAATTTTTTGTTGAAATAATTATTTCTAATAACTTTAATTAAGATCTTGACATTTCATTAATTTTAAACATTTTTCAATTCAAAATACTACAAAATTCAATTATTGTCTGAATTTCGGTAAAATTAGAATTATTTCTAAAAAAAAACGTTTGGGTAAAGAGAAATTTTGTAAAATGAAAATTCTGTCAAAAAAAATTTGCCAAATTAAAAATTCTATTGAGTAAAAAATCGTTTAAAAAGAAATTATGTTAAATGCTATTTTGAAAAATGAAAATTCGTGTTAAAAAATAATTATACAAAGCATTAGTTAACGCGGCCAATAATAGATCATGGCGAGCTTTTAGAAAATCAAAAAAATTCGCTAAAATTTAAAATTCTTGAATTTTGTCATTTTTAAAATTAATTTTTTGAAAAAAGTAGCATTTAGTGGCTTTTGGCCAAAATTAGTAGTAAAAAAGTAGCTTTGTTGGAAAAAAATAGCGAAAAAGTAAAAAAAAAATGTGTCACTTGGAAGCCTTAAATTGTGATAAATGATATTTTGTTATTGAATTTTTGTTATTCTACTAAAATGAGTTTTGGATAAAAAATTTTTTTTTAGAAAAATTCTATATTAAAAAAAAACCTAATTACAAAATGATATGAAACGGCGACCAAAAATTTATTATATATTTTATTCTTATATGATATAACTTGGTGCGACGACAATATAAGCGCATGACGAAAATTAATAACGTAACAACCAATCATAGAGAAGGGTTGATTTTTCTAAAAATATATGTCAGATGCTCCGAATGTGCAATCATGTATAACACCCCTCCGAACTTAAAAATGTGTCTGTAATATTCACTTGTATATATATATACAAAGATTATATACAACGAATACATTGATTATATAAATGCTCTTGGTCTACTCGAAAGTATCATCACTATAGAGAGTAATTCTTTGAACGAGTTTATTACGCCCCGTTGTGTATACATGAAACGATCAATTTTCGACAAATTTACGTTTTTAAAAACACATTAAATATCCCCACGAGATTTTTTTAAAACACTAATCAAATATAACATCTTCGCTCAATATAATATAATTTTAGTTAATTAACAAATAAAAATTTATTGGAAGTGTAAAATTATTCATTAATTAAATTTTATTTTTTTGATATAATTTTTTTTTGTTTAAAAATAAATTCTCTTAAATGATAATTCGAAAAAGAAAAATTTATTTAAAAAATAAAATGATATCTAATAAAATTCTTGGAGATGAAAATTGTAACTAATTATTTTTATGGGAATAATTATGCTCCCCTTCTTAACATTTATATTCATTTTCCCAAATATTTTTAAAATTAAATTTGTAAATATTTAAGTAAGAGAAAATGCGTCATTTTTTATTATTTTTTCTTTTCACAAAAAAAAAAAAAAAAAAAAAAAAACGGTGATTTTTAATAATTATATTATATAATAATAAAATGCTTGGTCTGTCCTTCTGTCCTAACTTGAAGTTGGCCTTTTCTGATTTCACGTGTTTTTTTGAATAGTAATAAGTAATCTTATGACGTGTCAAATTTTGACAATTATTCTTTTTCTCATTTTTGCCAAAGTTGTATAATTGTGTTTCCAAATTTCGGAATAAGTTTCTTTAAAATTCCAAATTCAAAAATTCAATTCACGAAGCTGAAGTACACGCAACGTTTACCAACGAAATTTTTTTTAAAGTTGTATATTGATTCAAAAATTGTATACAAATACAAAAAATTTATGATGAGAAAAAAGATGCGCCAGGAAATTTCGTACAAGATAGTAATTTGAAAAAAATTTATTTTTAAAAATTAATTTTTAAGGTACCAGGGGCCAACGAATACCTATTAAATATTAATTATAAAAACACAGGCCTCGAATCAACTTAACAACACCAAAAGTCGTTTTAGACGATTTATATTCCAAAAAAAAGTGGATTTGTTTTTTATTTTAACAAAAATATTTTACAGATTATTAAATAAAAATTTTTTTTTAAATAATAATCCTTTTCGAAGGGTTAAAGTTGAAATTTTTAGAAATAATTAAATTTCAAAAGATATTGTTAATTTTCAAACAATTATTAAATTTTACAAAACTAAAAATAATTTATTAAACAATTTTTGGAAAATATTTTTTAAATTTAATTGAATTTTCAAAGATTTAAAATTGAGATTTTTGAAATTAATTGAAACTTTCAGTGATTTTTAATTAAAATTTTAGATGATTTCACTAAAAATTTATTAGAAAATGCGGACAAAATACAATAATTTGAAAATCACTTTTAATTGAAAAATGGTTTCATATAGTTGAATTTTGAAAGAATATTATTAAAATAGTTAAAAATAATTGAATTTCCTTACAGTTATAATTGACATTATTAAATTTCAAAAAAAAAAATTTTCGATGGAAAATTTTAAAAATGATTAAATTTTAGATGCTTTTAATTCAAATTATTGAAAATTCAATTAATTATGAATTCAAATTTTTTAGAATAATTAAATTTTATTTGATTTTAAATTTGGAAAATAATTGAATTTCAGTTCATTTTGAATTGGAAATTTTGGGAAATAATTGAATTTTAATTGAAATTTTGGACAATAATTTAATTTAAGTTCATTTTTGATTGAAAATTTGGATAATTAATTTTGAATAGAAATTTTAGAAAATAATTGAATTTTCTTTCATTTTAAATTGAAAACTTGGTAAATAATTAAATTTTAAATTGAAAATTTTAGATAATTATTGAATTTTAATTGATTTTGAATTAAAATTTAGAGTAATAATTGAATTGAAATTTTTAAAAAATAATTCAATTTTATTGTGATATTTTTTTTTAAATAATAAACAATTGTTAAATTTCATAAAAATTTTAATTAAAAAATAATTTTGATATAATTGAATTTGTGATGTATTTAATTAAAATTATTAAAAATAATTAATTTAGTGAAGAATTATTTTAGTTCAAAATTTGTTAAATAATTGAATTGAAGAAGATTTGAAGAAGATCTACATTTTATACTAGAAAAATGTATTTTATTTACATTTTTTTTCAAATGTAAAAAAAATGTCGCATTTTATTAAAATAAGTCGATAAAAGTCGTATTTTTGAAAAAAGTCAGAAAAAGTCGTATAATCCGAGGCCTGTAAACATATAATTTTCATTATTATCATTTAATATGTAATAATATTCTAATAAATTAAATTATTATTGATAATATTAATCTTTAATTTCTTTATAATAAACAATCAAATACTCAATTTGGCGCGCTTGCGCGCGTTTAATTTTGCTAGTTGTTTACTAATTTAATTAGTCACGGATAATTAAGTATCGAACTTTTGGGTGAGTTGCACGTAAGATGAAGAGAGAGGCCTCAATATAGTGATGTAACGGATTTATAGTCAGACCGAATGACTCTAGTAGTTCTGGTCAGCGTGTCGTAATTTTGTAACTAAAACCTGCTAAAAGTTATAAACAATTAAAATTTTTAGTTGTTTTAAATTAAAAAAAAAAAAAATTCTCGAGATCCAGCTGACAAAAAAAACCAAATTTTTATTATTAAATTTGTCAATTAGATCTCTCGAGAAAATTTTTTTTTTTTTATCGAACACAGCTAAAAATTGCAAATTGTCTGTAACTTTAACAGCAAATTTTTTGATCTATTTTCGGAAACTTATTTTGATCACAGTAAAAGTAAAAAAAAAAAAAAAAGATTTACCATTGAAAATGAATTACTTTTTAAAAGTTTTAAGTGATCCATTTGGAGAATTCTGACCCATATATTTTATTTATAATAATATTTAAAAATAAATATTTAAATGTCGATTTCGACACGTATATATAAACGTTTTTGTTTAAAATGTCATTGTATCAATTTTCAAAAATATATTAAATTTTTTTTTTCTAAATTGAACTTTCATGTTCCTTTGATATGTGCGTATTTTTTTGTTTTTTTTTTTGTTTGTTAATTTTCAAAGCTTGTTGGACTTTTATTTCATCAATTTTCCGTTTTTGCTCTTGCAAATTCAGGCATTTAATTGAAATTTTAAAGCGTTTTCTCTCTCTCTCTCTCTCTCTCTCTCTCTCTCTCTCTCTCTCTCTCTCTCTCTCTCTCTCTCTCTCTCTCTCTCTCTCTCTCTCTACTCTTTTAATATATCAATAAAACCACAATACCATATATGATAAAAGAATTCAATATTTTACAAAAATGTAAATATTTACTTTATAATAAAATTTTTCTATACTCTCTTGTGTATATTTTACAAGGGAAAAATAAATGAAAAATTTGTTATTTTTCAAAATTACCTGAAATCATTGAGTTGCTCTAGAAATGCTTCTCTCGTAACAACATCATAGGTTGCAGTTTTGCTTTCATCACTTGGTACAGAAACCAATGGCCATGTTGTCATGTTGTAAAGTGTCTCGTCAGTTTTTAAAAAACGTTGCGTTAAATTGGACCTGGAAAATTTGAAATAAATTTAAAGTAAATATTTTTCTCTAAATTATTATTTTAAATTATTAATAATTTTAATTTTACTTTTAAGAATTTTCAGTTTATGCATTTTTATATTTAATTTAGCCGTTTTTAAAAAATACAATTTAATAAAAATCAAATTAAAATTTTTATTTTTACTCTGAAATATTATTATCACTTTAATAATAGTGAATTAAATTTGAATTTTTTGCAAAGAAAAGCAAAAAAAAAAAAAAAAAAAGCAATTTAAATCTTTCTTTGTAAATTTAATTTAGTCGTTTTAAAAAATTCATTTCAAAATAAATCAAATTAAAAAATTTTATTCCTATTTTGATATATTATTACTGTTATCATTTATTAATAAAATAGAGTAAATTAAATTCGAATTTTTTGCCAAAAAAAAGCACTTTAAATCTTCCTTTGTAAAATATTTGAATTTTTAAATTTAATTTAACCGTTTTAAAAATACAATTTAAAAAGAATCAAATTAAAAAACTTTATTCCTAATCTGAAATTTTATTATTTTTATTTTAATAATTTGGTAAATTAATTTTCAATTTTTTTGCAAATAAAAAAAAAATGTTTTTGTTTTACTATAGAAAAGAAGAAGTAAAAAAATGAAGATAAAGAAGAAGGAGGAAAAAAAAGAAGCCTTCCAGAGTTAATGAAGACACATTTCTTATCATGAATCCACAGGTAGATATTTACATTGTAGCAAGACGTTGGTATTGATTTTATAGTGTGTCCACGTGGAGAGACTGGGTCGATATAAGTATATAACACATCAGTGATCGTCTTCGTTGGGTGACCTTATATATTTTAGATGAAAAAGGATGAAGACGTTCTAAAGATGTGTATATATCTCAATCCATATGCAATAGAACATATGTGTGAAAATCCTTTACAAAGGATCAAAAAACTTGGATGATAAAGCTCATATCAAAAATAAGCCACTCAATATATTATATATATTTTATACGCTTTTCATGACAAGAAAAGAAAATTTTTTTTTTTTAAAATATATTATTTATTTTATTTTTTATATTAAACAAAATTACACTTTTTTTTTTAATTTGAGAATAAAAATTATATAATTTTAAATTTACGTAATATCAATTTAATCAGGCAAAGCATTATGAAAAAAAGGAGAGGAAATCTTTAACTGAATGAATCAGAGTTACTTCGAGGTCAATTCAATAATGAGTAATACTTCCAACTAAACGGATTTGAAAACTTGAGAGGCCAAGGGAAAATGTATATTTATATGGATGAAAATTTAAAAAAAAATATAAATTTTTGATTTCAATCTAGCAAAATTAATGGTGTTTAGGGGTGTCAATTTTTTTCTGACATTATTTAGGACCAAGAATTATTAAATATATTGTTAAAATTTTCAACAAAAAAAAATTAGTTTTTACCATTTTTGAAAAATAATAGGAATTATGAGAAAAATTGAAATTTTTTGCAAAAATTACGAATTTTATTTGGTAAAAATTATTAATTTTTTTGATTTTTAATGTTTTAAATTATAAACTTTAATTTTAAATACTAAATATTTTCAGGAAGAAAATTGATACCTTCTAAATAATATTAAGTTCGTTGGATTGAAATTTCGCCGATTACTTTATTTAAAAATTAACAAATTTGATCGAAACAAAGATTAATTTGAAAAAATTTATTTTATTGAAAGAATCGATTACTTGTCAATTATCAAATTAAATAATTACTTGAACCAAATAATTTTCATTTAAATCAATTAAACTGTATTTGTTTCAAATATACAGAAATTATTGATTCAAATACAGTTTATTTAATTCAAATAAAAATTATTTAATTTAAGTAAATATTTACTTGATAATTAACGAGTAACCGATTAAATCAAATACATTTTTTTTTTTCAATATACGAAAAAAATTTTTTTTGGAATCAAATATACAATTTTTTTGTACACAATTTTTTCGTATATTTCAAACAAAATGAAATCAAAGAAATATTTATTTGCTCTAAATAAATGGATTTATTTAAATAAATTTTGCAATTGAAGAAAAAAATTGGAATGAACCAAGTAAACTCTATTGATTGATGCAAGCAAAATTTGATTGTTTCGAACAAATTTTTTTCTGAGTGTTTATAGTGAAAAAAAGAAAAGAATGTTTATCATTTGGAAAAGTTAATTGATGTCAATGACCTTTGATGTTGGGATAGTCTTTAGTAAAAATTTTTGTATAAGAAAAAAAAAGCTTCTTATTAGATTTCTCAAGGGGACGTTGTTGTTTTTAAGGGTAACCTTCTCAAGTTACATGATAAGATCTTTTAATTGAAGCAATCACACCTACATAAAAGTTTCTTTATAAGCTTTTGTTTTTGTCCTTTTTCTTTTTTTTCTCTTTTTTCTATTGGCACACACCATTGACGCTTCAGTTTCTAAATAAAAGTTGCAGCATTCCATCTATTTTCATTTACGGAAGCAGTAGGTTATACGAACTCCCTTCTAATTGATCGTTTACTATATACGTATATATATATATATATATATATATCGAGATTGAAACGCGATAGTGGAAAAAATAATGAGACAAGATGTATCATCTGGACGAATGTAATATAGTTATATATATAGCGACTATACTATATAAAATGTTGACTCTAATAAAATACGATTCCCTCTAAAATATTTACAGACATACGGATTTCTCTGTTATAGTCCGAAATAATAATACAACATTATTTTTATACCTCAAGGTACTTCCATTTGTGTAAATGTAGAATGCCACTTCTGATCTTTCTTGTTGCATTCTTGTCACCACTTTACCCAAATCTGTTGCTATTGTCACCTGTAAAAAATTAATAGTACATTAATTTATTTCAAAAATTAAAAATGCGATTAATTGTTCAAAAACAAATTTTTTTTTTATTTTTTTTTAATTTGACAATTTTATATATACAATACAGAAAAGAATATTTACTTAAAACAGCGAAATATTTCACTAGAATAGTAAAAATTAATTAAATAGTCAAAGTAAATTTTAATTAAATCTTTCACTATTCTAGTGAAACTTTTCAATGTCTAAATAAAAATTCTGCGAAATTGATAATTGGTTAAAATAGAAATATTGTAAAATTAAAATTCTTTATAATTTCTTTTTTGCAAAATTAGGATTTTTTTTTAAAATTACTATTCTGTAAAAATAATATTATCTAGAATTTTATTTTCTATACAGAATGCAAAAAGATTGAATTTTTAGAAATTCGAATTATTAAAAATGTTCGAATCACCAAAAAAAAAAATGAATATCCAAAAATTCGAATTCTCCAAAAATGGAATTTCTAAAAATTCAAATTATCAAAAGATAAAAAATTATTGTAAATTCGAATGTCTAGTTGATTGAATTTTATTTATTTATTTATTTATTGAAAATATATTATTTTAAAATATTTAGATTACAAAAAGATCCGAATATTTAAAAATTCGAATTACAAAAAGATCAAATTTCCCAAAAATCGAATTTCTAAAAGTTCGCATTATCAAAGGATCAAATTTCTAAAAGTACAAATTATCAAAAGATTGAGTTTTCAAATGTTCGAATTATTAAAAATTTGAAAATTACAAAAATTACAAAAAAAAAATCTTTTTAAAATTAAAATATACATGTATTAAATAATAAATAAATAATAAATAAATAAATAAATTAAATAAATAAATCAAAAATATAATATTATTTCAAAATAAATAATTATCAATTATAAAAAAAAAATGATATTAAACTTTATATAATAAATATTATTCTAAAACTGTGATAATCAGAGTATATTGAAGTATTGAATTTATTTTTTTTTATTAAACTAATGTATTCTGATAACATTGTCCTTGAGTTATTCATAATACTAATTAAACAATGAGACAATTTCTGTTAATTAACACTGACCATCGATGTATGAAAATTTTTTTCTTTTTTCGCGCATTTCGTGAGTTATCGCAATAAAAAAACATTTCTGTCTTCTTTATAGTTTCATTTAATTATTTTTCTTCAAAAAAAAAAAAAAATATATATATATATATATAATAAACAACATTTAAAAAATATTTAAAAAAAAAGTTTATTTCGTTACATTTTAATTCGAAAATTTTTGCTTATGATAAATTTTTAATTTTTTGGGCTCTACGAAAAGAGGAGAAAAAAAATGTATTTTTGTATTAAAAAAATATATTAAAAAATCGCAAAATACGCTAATTGAAAAAGATACGTGTTTTCTACATCTTAATTAAGAAATTAATTTCTATCAATCTCTTTTGACATAATAATAATAATTAATATTATCTTTTTCACCAGCTATTTTTAAATAGGAATTATCTTGTCGAGAATATAATATATAAGGATTATTTGTGCACTGGCATTTGAATAAGAATTATATATTGTCCACCTAACTTCAGTGGGTATTGTTTTGCCCGGAACTTTGAATTGTATTGCAGGGAAATTTCAATAAGAATTATCTTTGCTTTTCTATTTTAATAAGGATTTTATAAACGAGAATGACATCGATGTAATAAATTATTATAAATAATACACAGGAAATGGTTATTTATTAAAAAAAAAAAATAATAATAATAAATATTTCAATGAAAGATAATTGCGTAAAATAAGAGAATTATTCTTTGTAGAGAAAAAAAACAGTATATATAAGATTTTCGGATAATATCTTACGAATTAAAAAAATGAAAAAATAATAAATTTATTTAGGTCAAAAATTTTTCTAATCAAAGTTATTTGCATATATAGAATGTGAAATAATTGAGGAAAACTCCTGTTCTCGTCACGTTGTCAAATCGATCGACATGATCCTAGCACAAATTATTGATATTTTATGGTATTGAAACTACATTCCCACTGTGGTCATAAATTCCAGGAAACTCTCAATAAATACCGAATGGTTTTTAGATTTACCTTCATCACTTATATATATAGGTATATTTACATAGCAATAACAAATATTGTTTGAAAGCAACACGAGCATCTTTTGGTTATATTTTATGTTAATTGAAAAAAACCTTTTACATAATAGACTAAATTTTTTCATAACTGATATGGGCACAAATTAGCATTTGATAGATTTTTTTTTTTAAAATTTTTATTCAATATAATTTTATTGCTACTCAATTTTTATTTTACAGAATTTCTCTTAATTTTTTAATATTAAACTAGCAAAATTAAACGCGCGCCAAATTGAGTATTTGATTGTTTATTATAAAGAAATTAAAGATTAATATTATTAATAATAATTTAATTTATTAGAATATTATTACATATTAAATGATAATAATGAAAATTATATGTTTACAGGCCTCGGATTATACGACTTTTTCTGACTTTTTTCAAAAATACGACTTTTATCGACTTATTTTAATAAAATGCGACATTTTTTTTACATTTGAAAAAAAATGTAAATAAAATACATTTTTCTAGTATAAAATGTAGATCTTCTTCAAATCTTCTTCAATTCAATTATTTAACAAATTTTGAACTAAAATGATTCTTAACTAAATTAATTATTTTTAATAATTTTAATGAAATACATCACAAATTCAATTATATCAAAATTATTTTTTAATTAAAATTTTTATGAAATTTAACAATTGTTTATTATTTAAAAAAAAATATCACAATAAAATTGAATTATTTTTTAAAAATTTTAATTCAAAATAAACTAAAATTCAATTATTACTCGAAATTTTAATTCAAAATCAATTAAAATTCAATAATTATCTAAAATTTTCAATTTAAAATTTAATTATTTAACAAGTTTTCAATTTAAAATGAAATAAAATTCAATTATTTTCTAAAATTTCTATTCAAAATTAATTATCCAAATTTTCAATCAAAAATGAAATTAAATTAAACTATTATCCAAAATTTCAATTAAAATTCAATTATTTTCAAAAATTTTCAATTAAAAATGAACTGAAATTCAATTATTTTCCAAATTTAAAATCAAATAAAATTTTGATTATTCTCAAAAATTTGAATTCAAAATTAATTGAATTTTCAATAATTTGAATTTAAAAGCATCTAAAATTTAATTATTTCTAAAATTTTCTATCGAAAATTTTTTTTTTTGAAATTTAATAATTTCAATTATAACTCTAAGGAAATTTAATTATTTTTAACTATTTTAATAATATTCTTTGAAATTTCAACTATCTAAAACCATTTTTCAATTAGAAATGATTTTTTAATTATTTTATTTTGTCCGTATTTTCTAATAAATTTTTAGTGAAATCATCTAAAATTTTAATTAAAAATCACTTAAAGTTTCAATTAATTTCAAAAATCTCAATTTTAAATCTTTGAAAATTCAATTAAATTTAAAAAATATTCTCCAAAAATTGTTTAATAAATTATTTTTAGTTCTGTAAAATTTAATAATTGCTTGAAAATTAACAATATCTTTTGAAATTTAATTATTTCTAAAAATTTCAACTTTAACCCTTCGAAAAAGATTATTATTAAAAAAAAAAATTTCATTTAATAATCTGTAAAATATTTTTGTTAAAATAAAAAACAAATCCACTTTTTTGGAATATAAATCGACTAAAAAGACTTTTTGTGTCTTTAAGTTGATTCGAGGCCTGTGTTTTTATAATTAATATTTAATAGGTATTCGTTGGTCCCTGGTACATTAAAAATAAATTTTTTTCAAATTACTATCTTGTACGAAATTTCCTGGCGCATCTTTTTTCTCATCATAAATTTTTTGTATTTGTATACAATTTTTGAATCAATATACAACTTTAAAAAAAATTTCGTTGGTAAACGTTGTGTACTTCAGCTTCGTCAATTGAATTTTTGAATTTGGAACTTTAAAGAAACTTATTCCGAAATTTGGAAACACAATTATACAACTTTGGCAAAAATGAGAAAAATAATTGTCAAAATTTGACACGTCATAAGATTACTTATTACTATTCAAAAAAACACGTGAAATCAGAAAAGGCCAACTTCAAGTTAGGACATAAGGACAGACCAAGCATTTTATTATTATATAATTAGCAGAATTCTCAATCAAGTTAATTTTAAGGTATTCGAATTTCTAAATACCAGAATTTCTAATTCACCGAAACTTCATTTGAATTTTTATTTACACGACTAAAAAAAATATTTGATAATAAAATATTTAAAAAAATAAAAAATATATATTTGAAAAAACGCCAAATTTCCATTTGTCCAAAATTTTAAATAACCGAAAAACAAACGACAGAAAGATTTCGGTGCGAATTTAAAAAAAATTATCGATTGTTTCTCGGCTATTTGCAATTTTGAAAAAAATAGAAATTCGTCGTTTTAAAAATTCTATCAAATAAAAATATTTGTGCAAATAAAAAATTTGCACAAATAAATAATTGTTGAATTTGAAATTCTGTCATTTAAAAAATCTGAATCCCATAAAATTTTGTTGAATGAGAATTCAACTAAATTAATATTCAACATTAAATTATAATTTTTTAAACAAAAAGTTGGAAAAGAAAAATTTTGTCAAATAAAAATTTGTTTAAAAAGAAATTCTGCACTCAGAGAAAAGAAATATTTGTCTCAACTGTCAAATAAATTTTAATTTAAGATAAATAAAAATTTTACTCGCGCTAAAATAAAATTTTATTTTTTGCTAAATAAATTTTTTTTTTATTATGAAATAAATAAAAAATTATTAGGCTTTTGAGACAAATATATTTTTATTTCCTTCAAATGAATTTTGTCTCAAACAAACGTCAATAAAATATTTCTATGATTGTGTCAAATGCTAATAAGAAAATTGAAAATTCTTTTAAAAAATAATTATA